CGTGCGCGCTGTTTCATAAAGTCTGTCATTGAGTCAATTGGCGTGGTTTCGATTTTCGGTTCTATGTAACAAGGAGTAGGGTCGCCTGTCCAGCCTCGTGGGTTTTCTCCTGGTCCTCCGGTTTCCTCCCACTGCTAAAGACCCCTACGCGCAAGCGTATTATGGAAATAAAATTGAAACATATGTTAGTCCCGAAATGACCTAGTTTGTGTCGAGTGGACGTTAAACCCCATCTCTCTTTCCCTCTCTCTCTCTCGCTCTTTCAATAATTATTCTATTCATTGTGTAATTGTTGATGTGTGGCGCATATCTAGACCCGATTTTAAAATTCAATTTCATCACACCAAGCAACTAAAAGTTTAAATTTACACGTTTCATGGAAACAATAATAATTGAAAATTTTATACTGCCATTTAGGGCCCTCCACCTGGACCCCCCCCCCCCCCGCTTGAACATTTTATACTGCCATTTTGGGCCTTCCACCTGGACCCACCTGCGCTTGTATATCCAGACCGCGGTTATATAACAACTCTTTCGGGTCCTAGTGTAGTAAAGACAAGTAAAACGAAATTTTGAACTATAAAAAAAACGAAACGAAATAGGTATTTGCTGAAATCTTTTTATCAGCCTATTTTTAACGTGACTGGATCCAAGCCGGAAGATTATCTTCTGTTGATATTTAGAGGTTATCATTATTAAATGTAAGGTTTCGATAAAAGAGCTGGTCGCTCATGCTATATAGTTGAAAATGGTAAATAAATGAATATATTACTTTATTATGAGCGAGGGGGGTTGGATGGCTAATGGTTAGCGTGTTCGCGCTGTATCATAAAATCTGTCATTGAGTCAACTGGCGTGGTTTCGAATCCCCGGTTGTACGTGACAAGGAGTAGGGTCGACAAGGAAATCACGTAGTTTGTGTCGAGTGGACGTTAAACCCCATTTCTCTCTCTCTCTCTCTCTCTATTATAAGCGAAGTTATGAGTGTTGAAAGATGTAGTGTGTAGATTGTTTATTATCGCAGCAACGGTACTGGACAAACGAGACAAGGTCTTTGAATATTCACTAGGCCGCGACAATCACTGATAAGGATGACATCGATGCGACTTAATAAGCCACAAATATACTTTTTTCCTCCGACAAATTAAATTCTAAAACATTTTTTTTATGTATTAGAAAAATAAATAAAGACGTTTGACGTATTTGTAGGTAAAACTTATTTCCTATTTAGTGTAAATGGGTATTAAAATGAGAAAAAGGCGCCATTCCACCCGAACCAGTAAAGTCTTACGTTAACAGTGCACGCGCCATTGAGTCAATGATTGATGCCGCGTGATGAGACGTCACGTGTTGAAGGCAGTCGTCTTTTACAGATATATTTAAAGACTTTCGTAATCCTCTGTGAAACAGATTGAAACGATAATTGCGCTTATATTTCGAAAACTTTTGAGTCAGATTAATTGCATGTATTGAGATCGATATCAAAGTAATATAATACTATCGCTAGTAATATAATGAGATGAAAAAGTAATCTAATATCGTATATTGAAAGTTGGCTAAATATGTCAGTCAATGGCTTCCGTGGCGTGAAATGTTTTCTCTTCGCGGGAGAATTGTCAAAATCGCATAGACGTTTGGGCCTACTAGCCATGGGGGTAAATGACAGTAATGGAAAGAACCTTGTACAGGTCTCTATTTTATCAGGTACTCTCATGCACCATTACAATATAATTTATTTATTCCAAACAATAATAATCAAAAACACAAGTTGGGCTGTCAATCATATTACCGGATTTAGCTTTTCTGGTTAATTTCAACCAATCATGAGGTCGATTTATGAAACGGAAGTAAGGGAGTTATCTCCTTTTGTGAAAGTAAAAGCATTGTCATAATAAAATGACCATTTTCCGTGAGAAGGGTCGCGAATTTGTGAGTCTCATGAACAAAACCATAGGTTAGATAACACGTCTGATATATAGCGGAACCACAAATGTTAATTTTCAAAGAGTTTCACGAGTAATCTTGTTTTTCCAGGATTTTCCAGTACTGGAAATCACATTTTCATTTTTCCAGGATTTTCAAGGAGTATGAATAAAAGCGGATCTGAACATTCTGAAGTCTGTAGTATAGAAAATGTTTCATACAGTATAGTATTTGCAATTTTTTTTTGTTTTAGGTTGATGTGGGACCAAGCTATCCATAATTGTCGGGTCCAAATTTTCCGACTCTTTTTTGAAATCGGGGCCCTCTGGCCGAGGCCATGGCTATCCCCGCCAATAGTGGTTGGATTTTCATGTCCTGAAGTTCATTCTTGGATTCTGTCATTATGCCGACTCCATCTATGATACACTTAAAGCGAATGGAAGTGGTTTTCATAGACTTCCGGTGGGATATATCAATTTCCGGTGTCAAACTCGGTTCGATTTCAGCTTAGAGAAATCTATCACACAGTACCACTTTTGTGGCTTCTGAAGCATGGTAAAATGTTTCATGCGGTCATTTTTGATTGATTAGAATGTTCTGTAATGAGATTCAAGAAAAATTTGACATAAGAGGTTAACGCATATTCCTCACAGTGTTTCATTTGATTAGACCAAATCCCACTCAAATACTGCTGTAATAGAAGCAAACTTCTGTTCCAAATTACGACCGGCCAATAGTCCGATTAACAATCAATAGCTAACTACGTAGCAATATCATTAGGCTTTAAACAGAGCTCCAAATTGAACCAAATATATTTACATAACGTTATGTCATGACTCACGATTTTATTATGCCCAATTAACCAGTGCATAGCAGAATATTGCAGAAAAACTAATTGAGTGACAAACGATTTTATCAATACGGATACAATGTAAACAATACTGTTTGGAGACGAACAGTATTTTGGCCGTTTTTAATACCTTAAATCAAAGTTTTAGGGAAGACCCCAGATTAAAGGAAGGGCTGTCGTGTTGCTGGATAGATTTGATTGAATGGGAAGAATAGACCCACTCCATCAAAAGCTCAAGTATCAGAAGTCAATCCAGCAATGGCCGGAGAGGGATTTTTCGGGCCATTGCTTGAAGAATATGAGGTTAAAGAAGCATTATTATGTAAGATTTAGATGAAGGGCTGGCCTTCTTGCTATAACAAATTTAGTTCAAAATAGATAGTGAAAGATAGGTTGCCCGGCAACAAAACTCACGCCCACAACAGCAAGGTTGCCAAGGCAATTAACACGAGTTGTCGCATATTTTGTCGGTAATCAAACAATTATAATACACTAAAATCTGATTTTAAAGAGTAACAATGCATTAAGTAATTATCAGAAAATCATTAGAATAAAATTTAGTTCTATCCCATGCTAACGTTTAGTATACAAAACATTTAATATCATGGATTTAGCTGTTGAAATTATCAAAGATAGGTTGCCAGGCAACGAAACATACGCCCACAGCAGCTAAATCGCCCAAGCACTCAAGAGTTGTCACATATTTTTACTTTTTTCGGTAATGAAACATTTACAATACATTAAAATCAGATTAAGAGTAACAACTTATTAAGTAATTATCAGAAAACCATTAGAATTTTATAAAGTTTTGCCCCATGCTAACGTTTAGTATAGGAAACTTTTAACATCATGGATTTAGCTGTTCAAGTCATAAAAATTCATTGAAAATCAATATACTTGTTCGTCTCATGACCTCAGACACTGTGTATATATTTAAAGTCAATCGGATACTAACTTTGGCCTCTAGAGCGCACACAAGATTTTTCAAAGTAATCAAGGGCCATAACTCTGGCAGTAATTATCGGAAATCGCTGAAAATCAATAGGCTTCTTCGTCTCATGGCCCTAACACTGTGTATAAATTTAAAAGTCAATCGGATATTAACTTTGACCTCTAGAGCGTCCACAAAAATTTTTTTGAAGTGATCAAGGGCCATAACTCTGGCAGTAATTATCGGAAATCGCTGAAAATCAATAGGCTTCTTCGTCTCATGACCTTAAACACTGAATAATTTTAAAGTCAATCGGATATTAACTTTAGCCTCTAGAGCGTCCACAAGCAATTGTGGACGCCGGACAGACGGACGGGGGCGATGACAATATACGACCACGTGGGCGTATAAAAATCACTGAAAATGAATATACTTGTTTGTCTCAAGACGAAATTTAGAAAGTCGGCTCTGGTAGAGCACGCTGCTTAAAATGACCATAAAATGTCACTTGAACACAAAGATCGACTATTTAAAGATGTAAAACCACAACAGTTCCATCAGAGTTCCGACGAGTAATACGGGTGACGTAATTAAAGTAAAAAAATAGTATAAGGAATGTTTCTTGTTATTGTTATATTTTATGAATGTATAAATAAATAAATAAATGATTACACGTGTTCCTGTATTTATTACGGGGGTGGGTTGGTATAAATGTCGATGTGACATTGAATTTCTGTGGGACTGTCCTTGACCCAATTAAACCCGATTGACATTTCAATAGCGTGTTTTGTGCCTTTTATTATGTGCTAAAAATAGCACCACTTTCACTGTGTGAAAAATGACCGACTGGGAAAATTTTGAAGTGGAGGCCCTGGAAGAAAGTATTGACAAAATGTAGAGTCGTTTGTTTACTGTTTATTCTTTTAGCTAAAGTCTCGATTATCTATTTTACATTAAACTTTTAAATGGGTGCAGTATCAAAGCCATTCGATAGTCTAAAGAGTCGACTATGGGCTTGTTATATTAACCATACATTATGCAAGAGCTAAATCTGCCAATTGCAGGTCTTTAGGCCTGAAATGTTACCTAAATTATTAATTAGACATTAACTTATCCAGACCATAATCAACTCTCGATGGCATCGCTAGCCTGCGATATTTACTGGATTATTATCCCATTTGCTGCGCGACTTCCATTCATAATTTAATCATGAAATGGATGATCGAGACTATGTTTTTTTTTTATCGTACAGACTTCAGTAATGACATCTGCTCAAATTATAAACACCAAAGAAAATAAATTTTAAATATTTTTTTTTATTTTTGTACAACTATGATTTTTATTTTTTGCCAGCTTTATGTGCCTTTAAAACCTTGACAACTATTCTCTGTTCTTCAATAAGGAAGGCTCGGAGAATCCTAAAAATACAAAACAAATATTTTATATTGATCATACTTCATTTCATTGAATAAATTCAAAAATACCCAGACATTTGCTGACCATGCAATGTCATGGTATTGAGAGAGAGAGAGAGAGAGAGAGAGAGAGATGGTATTTAACCTCCACTTGACACAAATTAGGTCATTTTAAGACTAACACATGGTTGAATTTTATTTCAATAATTTGCTTGCGAATAGGGCTCTATAGCACTGGGAGGAAACCGGAGGACCTGGAATAAAACCCACAGGGTTGGACAGGCGACTCTACTCCTTCTCACCTATAACCGGGGAATCATAACCATGCCTGATGAAACAATGAAAGACCCTAAAAGTTAAAGAAAATCTCTCAAACTAGATTATTAACAATCATCCATTTAAAATAAATGCTACTTTTCATTGCATACATCATGAAATGGTAAAGTACAATACTTTGGTCATTTTGAGATTAAGATGATATTTTTTATTTCAATGAATACATGTCCTATTTCAGGGTGAATTTCATCCAGGCAGCAACATTCCTGTCTACTATCCGTCAAAATGTTCAATAACGTGCCAGCTATATTACAGCACATTCTCCTTGAAAGCTCTACCAAAGGAAAAACCCGTTTGTAAAACATATTTAAACAACTGACCTAGATCTGACACATCTGTGACATCTGGAACCACCGTAAGCTCGGCTAACTGTCTTTCGTTTCTTGGACATTTTAGGCATATCAACGGGTCGGCATGGTTTCAACTGTAATAAAATATTTTAAATGCAGTTTTCAACTCTTCTCGACTTGTAACTTAAAATATTTAGTAAAAATAGACAATTCGCTAATGGAGGCAAATGTACGTCTCATAGTGTGCTACAAGATAATATATATAGTGTGCTACAAGATAAACCCAACATTCCACCCCTCAAGGGTAGAGAGAGAGAGAGAGGGTATAACGGACAGACAGTCCCAGGATAGGCGGAGATATGGTTCAATTTTATTTCAATAATTCGCTTGCGCGTAGGGGTCTTTAGCAGTGGGAGGAAACCGGAGGACACAGAGAAAACCCATGAGGTTGGACAGGCCACCCTACTACTTGTCACGTTGAATCAATGACTCGCTAACCATTCGACCATCCATATAGAGTTGACCACTAATTAGGTCATGGGACCTCAGTTTTTCAACTAGACCCTTTTTCTTCCCAGACCCACCATCTTGTACCAATGACAAGGGGAACTATACTGCAAACTTCTCAAGTACTTTCTCTGCCAGCAATGTGACAGATCCCAGGACCTCTTGGCTTGTCAGCCACCGCATCTCCTATTTAGGAGAAATGAAATGAAAAGGGGTTTTATACAACGTCTTACTGTTCTGCTCCGATCTGGGCTAATGAAGACGGCATTCACCATATTGATTAAAGATAAAAATATATTTATTTAATAGTCAATACAAATAAAGATGACAACAAAACATCTGTCTCTTATAGAGTTATAAGGGAAATATCCATGGTAATAATAGTTTATAAGCCTTAGATTATGTCAAATGAAATGAAATGGGTTTAACGTCCTACTGTTCTGCTCCTAACCTGGGCTAATGAAGAAGGGCATACGCCATACAGTGTGCTATGAGGGAAATTTTGCCCAGGCAGCGGCACTACGACCTACTCTTGTATCGAATTCCAACTGTCAAGGGATCTTTTGTGCACACGGGACCTCGATTTTCCATCCCATCCGAATGACCAGACTGCTGTCCTTGTCAGGCCCTCTGTCCTGCATAACTGACAAGGGGGATCCACGCTGGAAAATCTAGATGAAATTTTCCGGGCAATGCAGGGATCGAATATTCGATCTCCTATTTAGGGCTCCCTCTTCTGCCACTTAAAGACGAAGTATAACTCTTGGGAGATCACTCATCAGAAAACCAGCTGGAATATAGAGGATCAAACCCGATACTTCCCAGTTAGTGAGCCAAGGTCTTCTGACCCACTGTGGCTTTCGCACTGGGGACTGAAGTATAGGTGACCTTTAGAATGGACCGGAGACAATTCTTCCCTAATTGTTTTTGGTATAAAAAAATGAAATGAAATGGGGTTCAACGTCCTACTGTTCTGCTCCGAAATAGGCTAATGAAGACAGGCTTACGCCATACAGTGTGCTATGAAGGAAATTTTGCCTGACAAGAGGCACTACGGCCTACTCTTATATCGAATTCCAACTGTCAAGGGATCTTTTACGTGCATGCCAATGTGTACACGTGACCCCTGTTTTTTGTCCCATTCTAACAACTCGACAGCTGGGTTTTTTGGCATAATTGGCTTACATGTATATTACAATGTTTCTACTAGTAGTACTTACGCCTTTTAATGACTGTTTACAATCGCCACATTTAGGAACCTTGCCTCGTTTCTTGGTGTAGATATAAACTTTTTTACCACCTAAAATACAAAATCAAAACAATTATTAAAACATGTCATTCAATTTGAGTTCTTGAAAGTTACAAAGATTGGATATTAAACCAATGGGAAAGAAATTAGTGCTAGATACACAAGATTAAATGATACCTAGGTTACAGTGTTACTTCCATACAGAGAAAGTCGGTGGGTATATATAAAATCTCAATTCAATTTTTGATTTCTTGAAGTTTACTTTTATACAGAAATGAAATGGGGTTTAATGTCCTACTGCTCTGCTCCGACTGGGCTAATGAAGACGGGCATACGCCATACAGTGTGCCATGAGAGACATTTCACCCGCACAGCAGCACTACGGCCTAATCTTACATCCAATTCCAACTGTCAAGAGATCTTTTACGTGCATGCCAATGTGTACAGGGGACCTTGGTTTTTCGTCCCATCCGAACAACTAGACATCCGATAAGGGAATACCACCCCGGAAAATCTTGAAAAACTTTTTCAGACAACACGGAAAGCAAAACCCGGGACCTCCAGGCTAGCGAGCCAGCATCCATCCCACCGTGACCCCCCAATTCAATCTGAAATTAATATGAGTTTTTCCACTGTGTTTCGGCTTATGTGAAGAGCAGTTCTTCAGGGGGTTTCAGAAGACAATGAGAGATGGCCACCAACTAAATTTCAGCTTGTAAGGTCAATAACTTGTTATTTTACGACCTTTTTCTATTTCAAACTTCAACCATGTTTCCCTCGGACACAAAATTAAAGTTTGTGATGTAGGACTTCAATTGTGCTGAGCGTTTTGTTATTTCCCTGTCTGTTAACCTTAATACTTGCCTACCACCATTTATAAAATAAAAAAAATATTCCCAAAATTACCTGGAGTTCGAACACTGTAATTTCACATCAATCAAAATATGAAAAAAAAGAAGACAAATTTCTAAGTTCAATTAGTAATGATGATAGAGCTTTTTACGGTAATCATATTTTTCTCTTCCTGAGTGTATCAATTCTAAGGGAAGGCAGATCTTTTTTTGGTTGGAGCTACATATGACTAGGAGAGCTCTTTTATGGGAGCGATTTTTTCAATTTGTTCATTAAGGGAGCTTTTTCCGGCTCTCCTCTAAAATACAAACGACGACTGTTTAAGGGCGCGCATGCACTTAATATTTTTTGTAAGAAATGACATAAATTTGCTGAACCAATTTTGGTTTTAATACTTGGAGAGCGTTTAGAAAAGAAATAGAAAATGTCTAAATTTGCTATTCAGTACAAATTAATACTGGAGATCTCAAGTTTCTCTTTATATTTCATTTTAACCATTTAAAATAAAAAATCAACTTACGGAAGTCTCTGATTTGACTTGGTGTTGTACGACAATCGTCGTCTTAAAGTTAAACGTTGCACCATCTGAAATACAAATATAGAATCGATTAAAGGATGCCAATTTGTTATCATTTCATAGCTTTATATGGCAGGAGGGTGGGGGAGAGGCGGGGGACGGAAATACGTCATCCACTTTGATACAAAATCTTATTTCTGGATAAATTTTATTTCAAAAATGTCTTTATGAATGAGAGAAAATTGGAGAATCAGAAGAAAATCCAGATGTTGGGCAGGGAATTTTAGTTTGTATCGAAACCATGTCACTGACACAATGTCAAACCTTACAGCACTATGTGAAGAGTTACTACAATAGAAATGACATTTTCTATGGCTGCTAAGTCTTGAAAACCCAGACTCAACAAAGATCGTCTTCAAAACAGTGTGGGGGTGGGATGGCCTAGTGGTCTAGAGTGTCACACTTCAAGCTCTAGCTGGCAGGTCACCTCAGGCTTGTGGTCATGGTTTCAATACCTGATGTGAACGTATGTGGCTTGGAGATAAGAGTGCTTTCTCTACCTCGTGGATTTACTCCATGTACTCGGTTTCCTCAAACAGGAGAGACACCTGCCTGTGTGCTAAGATATATAAAAGACTGATCTGCTTTATCACCCTCAGTGGAAGTGGACGTTCATATTTACTAATACGGTAGTTGGCGGTGCACGAAAAATTATTTTATCAGCCAATAAAATAAAAGGAGATCATAACAAGTGCTCCAATAGTGAGTTCCATGTATAGACACACGAATTCTGCTCGAATTTTCATTACTTTCTCTCTCAGTGGCTGTTTAAGGAGCTAAATCGCTAATATTTGGGACATAGAAATTGACCCTAATGGGTCGCAGCACATATAATAATGTAATCTGATTGTATATAAACTGATTTACATTCAATTGTTTCCGTACTGACTAATTTCAAATCATTTATGTCCAGCGAAATATTGCAGGAGTCTCAAACGAATGGCTATTTCTAGCGTCTGGTTATTCCAGTCTATTGCGCATGCTCTCCAGATAAGATATGGCGTCACCGTTTGACAAGAGTTGTGAAATATGTCTAGCCTCATTCTTTCTGGTCACTTGTTGCAAATAACGTTGAAAATGCACTATGGTACACAATACATGTACCAATAGTAAAAGGTTTATTTTGTCTTAATTATTGGATATCAGAAGCCTACATTTTCCCGGCAAGATCACAACATCAATGTTGATTTGAATTGACAAATAATTCGTGTTTTCAACGTGCAAGACTTTGGATGATATTGATAGGGTGACCCGTGCAGTCTACAGAATGTTGGTCTCGACACGGCTAAATGTGCACGCTTCAGTTGCGTGTCTCGAACTGATTTCTGACTACCCCGCACTCTCTTTGAGTCGATAAATAGCCATGGCACGTGCAATTCTCTACAAATATATCAACTATTACAGCCGGTAAAAAATCTATTGTTGACGATTTTGAATAGCAGTAAAATTTAGCTTCTTGGTTATTACAGCAGCTTTAGAAATTACGTTTGTTTTATTTTTTAAATTGCTTTATCATTAACTGTACCGTTAAGAGCCGCATCTTTTGGTTTAGTACAAATAATATCTCTGAAACACTCAGGTTAGACAAGAACATGATACTAGCAGTAGTTTCATTTTACTTTTACAAGTTTCTTAAAACAATTGTTGAGTTGTCTAAAGTGCTTATTTCTAAATTCAATTTCTTGTTCTAGCTCTCTGTTATGTTTCGTAAAAAAGTAGTCTTGATTATCCGGACCTGTCAATCAGACGTAGAATGGTTGATAGACTGGTTAAGCGAGACTAATTTCAAAACAAGGGCACGTAACCTATCTTTTACTCAAAAGTGTCTGGATGTTATGGACGACACTTGGAACCAGTTTTCAGTCTATTATTTATAGATGATTAATGGTCATAGCTTATTAAGTACAACATGATCGTTTATTTAGTGACTATAATTGTGTGAAACTGATTTGAGGCTAGGCATATATATAAATATTGTGGCGTAATTGTCGAGATATTTGGAGATATGTATTTATGGTGGGTCACACTAATATTGAGTTAGAGACTTAGGTACTTTAAGTTGACACTTAATCACTCACACTCACATAAACTTATCTTTACGCGAGATGCCAGTAATTTCTCTTGTCTCATGGCAAGCCCCGGGCAGAGATATCATTGAGACGAGCCCATACTTGTTAGCATAGTGGTAACACGAGTTACACAAATCCACCAAAGCAGCATCATAGACTGTTAGAGCATTTTGATTTGATTATTGACGTCAATCTCGAATTTTAAAATTCCATAACTTTGGATATGATTACTTTTAGAATATCCTGGATTATGCCGGGTGGGAATTGTTTTTTCAGGATATGTACTCCTCTGAGTGATTTTGCTGAATAACCTCAAGACCTATAGTAGAAGAACCGTCGAATTATAAATTAAATTACATGAAAATCTAAGTCTAAAATAAGCAGGGGCGGTGCTAGTGGTGCTATGTATGTGTCGAGTTCATGCAAAGTGTATGCATACCCCGATTCTTGCACGAAATAAATCCCTTTTATATGCAAAAGAAGTGAAAAACTCCGATAACAACAGGCCTTTTTCGTTTGGGCTATGAAAAGCAATTCAGTACACCATGCTGAAAGTGAGTACGGGCATCGATTGTCAAATCAATTCTACACAATAATTACAAATTTTAGAAGGGAAAAATATGGCCTGTCAAATAGTCTGAACATACAGGAAAGTAAAAACATAGAAATTAAGTGAATTATTTATTTCAATAACGCGATGAAAATGGATTAAAATCTTCTTTTAGAAAATCATCACCTTGTTGGATACAACGGAAGCGGAAAAGACCGGAAGTTGACATGTGACGTAGTAGTACCGTTAAGGTGAAGGTCGCAGGAATTAAAAACGAAAACATGGCTAGTTTATTAGAATCGTATGAACAACAATATTCTGGCGTTACAGCCGATATTACATATAATATTGGTCGTATTTCTAATTCTCATGGAGGTATAATATTAAAGAAATTTCATTTAAACAATATTATTCAAATTATTATAGGTATTCCCGGTATAATTAGGTCTGAATTATGAAAATATTCACGTAATAAATGAGTCAATCAATGAATATGATTCAATCAATGCTGTCATTGTTGACATCTGACAGCTACTACTTTATAATCCAACACAAGTTCGACACTGCTGTGAATCTCCTGCTGTGAATCTCCTGCTGTGATATTTTTATTAATAGAGATGTATTATATAATTGGATCAAATGCAAGTCTATAGGATAGAAACTTACGTTCTTACATTTGCATCAATTATTATTTTTTTTAATAATAATATGGACAGGGCCTACCAATACATATTACATGCAAATATAACCTTGCAGTTGTATGAATCAAGCCTGGAAATATGGAAGCTGTCACAGAGATTGTCTGACACAAATTGAGCCACATTGTCTGATACAATCTCTCTAGGGCCTGTCATTTTAATTTTCGCACAGATTCTGTCCATGGCAGATCGTAAAATTATGCATTGGTCCAAAGCTTTTAAAACCATTTACCTTCAACCTAGCCTCTATCTGTCAACAAGACCATCACTAACTGTTAACACAAAGAGTATCTGTGACCTACATTGTACTGATATTGACTCTCATTTCATCGCTTATTTCATAACCATTTAGTAATAAGTTAGGCCCTATTGCACATCTCTATATTCTTTTAAAAAACAACACATTTATTTAAACAAGCTTTTAACCGACTCCGAATTGCACACTGTTATTAGCTATACACACCTGTTTAATTTTTATTCGTTTAAACATACATTATGCAAGAGCTAAATCTGCCTATTGCAGGTCTTTCTTTGGGCCTGAAATGTTATCTAAATTATTAATTAGACATTAATTAACTTACCCAGACCATAATCAACTCTTGATGTCGATTAATATCCGATTTGCTGCTCAACTTTCATTCATGATTTAATCATGAAATGGATAATCAAGACCATATTTTTTATCATACTGACTTTAGTAATTATGATGATTGAGGCTAGGCCGAAAATTCAATTGCTAAAATCCTGGTTCAGCAAATTCACTTTACATTGTGTCTCCCATAATGTATCTTGATGAAATATATTTACCAGTATCAATTTTTCTTATGGAAATTTCAGCCGAAAAACAGACGTACATTCGACAGGCCGATAAATTGTTTGATGAAGCCAGTGAGTTGGTAAGTAGTTCAAGTCTCTGATCATCATCTGAGAGAGCCGCAGTGGCTCAGTGTGTAAGACACTTCGCTAGCCAGGGGTTCCTTGTTCGATGGCTGAGAAAGTTTATCAGGATTTTCTGATGTGGTTTTCCCTTGTCAGTGATGCAGGATGGAGGGCCTGACAAGGACAGCTGTCTAGTTGTTCGGATGGCCTGGAAAACCAAGGCCCTGTGTACACATTGGCGTGCATGTAAAAGATCCCTTGACTGTTGGAATTTGATATAAGAGTAGGCCTTAGTGCCGTTGTCCGGGCAAATTTTCCCTCATAGCACACTGTATGACGTATTCCTGTCATCATTAGCCCAGTCGGAGCAGAACAGTAGGACGTTAAACTCCATTTTATGTCATTTCATTTGCCCTGAGCAGTCAATCCATTTTTTTTCACTATAAATGAATGGGAGATCAGGGAACAGGAAAAATGCCTGTCAGACCCCTATGCAATTTTGGCTTTTATTAAATTGATTTCTGCAGAGGAATGAATCTACCCCAGTGTTTGAATTAAATTATCAAAATTAATGAAAATTGTGTTTATTTTCTCTTGTAGCTTGAACAGATGGACTTAGAAATAAACGATCACGATCCACAAAGTAGAAAAAAATATCAGACCAGAATCAAAAGTTATAAAACAGAAATGGGAAAATTACAAAAAGATCTGGTAAGGGAACGTCTGTCGTGAACTTCCGCTTTAATAGGAGTTGGAAGGTTTCTTTTTGGTTTAGGGGGGTTGGGTGGCCCAATGGTTTAATGCATGCATGTTAAATCATAAGGTGTATCTTCATGGGCGTCACAATTGTTTTTCTGGTGGGGTCTGAATATACTTGGACCCCCCAAAATTTACATAGTAGGCCCTAACTCCTGTCCTATTTATTTGCAACAATTACTAGGATTAGTTAAATTGTATTGGTGTGATGTTTTAGTTTAACCCCGTAAAATGTGCCAAAACAGTGTTTACAAAAGACTGAAACTTCAAAAAAGCTTTATGGAGGTAGCCCCCCAAACCCCCCCAGTCAGAGGATGACCCTCCCACACTCTCCCTTGTCAACATTTTATATAATTTTATTTGCCCCCCCCCCCCGAATATATATTTCACGGCTACGCCTCTGTGTGTCTTTGAATCATGTGGTGTATTCGATTCCTGGCTTGCACCTTACCAGGGGTAGGATTGTCAGTGAGTCCAACCTCATGGGTTTTCCCTGGTTCCTCTGGTTTCCTCCCACTGTTGAAGACCCCTATGCGCAAGCAAATTATTATTATAAATAACTATCTATTGTAATTTCTATTATTTTTATGTATTTTAGAAAAGAGCAAAGCTTGGAATAGATGCTAATCGTGATGAATTACTGGGTGAGGATACGCACGACTCAGAGGATCAGGTGAGGCCTATTCTACCATTAAACATGAATACAAAAATAAATTGACTGATTAAGAAATGACATAGATTTCTATATAGAATTACTAAGATATATCATGGGATGTTTGAGGTTTTTACCGGCTAAATCTATTTGTTAAGGCCAGCTCAATTTTGGTCAAAGTCGCTGAGATGTGAATAAGGTTAGGGCACGTGATTGTTGGCGAGATTGTAGGTTAGAGTTAGGGTAAGCATTGAGGCTAGGTCCAGGGTTAGGGTTGGGATTAACCCTAGCCCTGTTTACATCTCATGACCTATGACGAAAAATTGAGCCAGCCTTATCATCTAGCACTAACCTTTTTTGACCATGTGTCAGACTCAAATTTCTGTTCTGGTTCATCATCTAATCTACCGAGGTATTATTGGAGAAAATCCACAGGACGACTTGGACCAGCCTACATCAATATAAAACTATATCTAACATAAACAATTATTGGACCAGCCTGCATCAATATAAAACTATATCTAACCTAAACAAATTTTGGACTGGACTACATCAACATAAGACCATATCTAATGTTGGACTGGACTACAACAACATAAGACCATATCTAACGTTAACAATTGTTGGACCAGCCTACATCAATATAAAACTATATTTAATGTAAACAGATGTTGGACCTGCCTACATCAATATAAGTCTATATCTAATGTAAACAAATGTTGGACTGACCTACATCAATATAAGACTATATCTAATGTAAACAAATGTTTGTTTGTTTTGTTTAGAGAACCAGATTATTAGACAATTCGGAGAGATTAGAACGATCATCAAAACGATTGGATCATGGTTATAAAGTTGTATTAGAAACAGGTCAGTGGAATGATTTATGTCGGCCCCCAATCTCGATCCATTCACTTAATTTGATAATTCTTTAGTAGTTTATTGCTTTCAAAAGGGTGTTCAATCCCTGCATTAGCTGAGAAAGTTCATCCAGATTTTCTGGCGTGATTCTCCCTTGTCAGTGATGCAGGACGGAGGGCCTGAAAAGGACAGCTGTCTAGTCATTCTGATGAGACGAAAAACCGAAGTTCCGTGTACACATTGGCATGCACGTAGAAGATCCCTTGACAGTTGGAATTCGATATAAGAGTAGACCGTAGTGCTGCTGTTCAGGCAAAATTTCCCTAATAGCACACTGTATGGCGTATGTCCGTCTTCATTAGCCCAGTTCGGAGCAGAACAGTAGGACGTTAAACCCCATTTCATTTAATGCAAGCATTTAAAGATGCATTCTGGGAGATTTAGATAACGAGCTGACCATTCTTACTACAATAGTTTAAAAATAGATAATGAACAAGGAATATATTGAAAATTTCGGTAAAATTACTTCATTCTGAGCCAAGTGTTTGAATTTTTTAAAGGATACCTATGTTTATTTATATTTTCTAGAACAAATAGGTACTGATATGTTAGAGAATTTAAATAGCCAGAGACAACAAATAACCCGTTCACGTAATAGGGTGAGTAATAACTAATTGATTACTTCTTTAATGTAATTCTTTTTCATTTCCTTCTTGTTTAATGGACTGACCGCTCTTCGTTAGCCCAGTCGGAGCAGAAAAGTATGACATAAGGACGTTAAACGCCTATTTCATTTTATTTCATTAATCTAGTCCGAGCAGAAGAGTAGGATGTTAAACCCCATTTCATTTCTTTTAGTCCTGTCTTAGCAGAAATGTAGGCTGTTAAACCCCATTTCTTTTCAATTTACTGACATTTTAGATTTCTTAATAAAGCTCATTGCCGATATTACACCACTGACAATCGTCAACCACAACGGTAAACCTGAGGAACTTTCTCAAGCTACACTGAGATCAAACCCCAGGACCTCTAGGTTATCGAGTCAACCCCAAGTCAGCCCCGAGCCAGCACCTTCTCCCTGATCCACAGCGACCCCCCTACTACCATGGGAATATTTTTAGATATGGAAAATAGCGGTACCATATCTTCTCTGCATAATCTGTGTATTTAAAGCGAGAATTTCAAATTTTCTAAGAAAGTCAAAACATAATTATTTCTATGTCTTTTGCTCAATAGGTTATCAAATCACTATTATACGATCATGGGCATTATTTCCCACCCTTAAAATTCTATGACACAGGAAATAACAACACAATTACCTCCCCTGTTTTGCTATTGACAACATGGGGCAGCCATTTTCCAACGTTGGAATTTGAAGTTAAAAATGATATTTTTGCCAATTTCTCAGCTGGCAATAGCGAATTATAGGATTAATAGGATTATTCTTTAACAAGGTAGGACTGTTTATGGATACCATCTATTTTAAGGCTTTATTTTAATACATTTTAAAAATATAACTTGAAAATTTGCAATTTCCGCTTTAATTGGCTGACGGTTAGAAAACAAACTCAAAGTAGGCTGTAAATATTCCATTCATAATATGGCCATCATCATTTATCCTATTGGTGTAAACCCTATTTCATTTTATGTTTTGTGGCCTGGCAACCTACATTTTAAAATCAACTATTAAGCAGAGATGGTTGGATTGTCTGTTATTTTACCATCGTCATTTGCCCTGTTGGTGTAAACACTGATTTGTGGCCTGGCAACCTACATTTTAAAATCAACTATGGAGCAGAGATGTTTGGATCGTCTGTTAATTTTATCGATAATTACTATTTTCACACCTAAGATAATATATGAGTATGAGATTACTTTGTTTATCTGTTGCCTAGCAACAGAATTAATATGGTTGCAGAGTATTGTTACTCATTGATTTTTCTGGGATATCACATGATTTATATAAAATTATTTTTTTTGGATATCATTGTGGCAGTGTTTCTTATCATGTATGAATCTATTTGAAGGGGGGAGGCTATCTGAAAATGTTTATTCTGAAGTGTTAAAGCTATTGAATTGAAAATAGTGCAAGTAGTTAGAAAATGTAATAAACAAGGGAAAACTATAAAAATAAGTTGTTGCCAGGGTAACACATTTTGGGGGGAAAAAATTATGAAAAACGTAGGTACACTATATAATATCTCTGTAACTAATTAAGATATATTAGCCAAATTTGCAGGATATATAAACTAATATCTATCACAGAATCAGACAAAAAGCAATTTGAATTATCATTAATATTTCAAAAGTTATCAAAATATTTCTCCAAAGATAAAATATTGTGGTGAGGCAATTGTTTCAAACACCATTTTCCAAGAAACTATAAAAATTGTAGAGAAAAACTCTGTCTGGTTTTGGGGTTATCATTAAAGAATAAGCAGTCCGAAAATTAGACATTTATCTTTAATTGTACCAGAGATATGGCGTACCTATGTTTTTCATACATTTCCCAAAAAATGTGTTACCCTGGCAACATCTTTTTTTTTTTTTTTAAATGTTAGTTTTCCTAACTTCTTGTGCCATCTTCAATTCACTAGCTTTAGAATTTCAGAAAGCATTTTTCGGGTAGCGTCACCCCTTAAACATTTATTATTATATGTAGTTGATGTGTAATGAAATATATACATGTATCATGTTTCACTCATGTGATGTAGAGGTTCATATAATAATAATAATAAATATATGTACTTCAAGGATATTTAGGTCACCTGTGTTCAGCAAAAAAAAGTTTTTTTGTCTGCAATTATAATATTTGTACTGGAAAGGAATTGGGAGTGGGGGGGGGGGGGATCAATGTCTTGTCTACAAAATACTTCAGTGATTTTGAGACAAAAATAATTTTACATTGTAACCCAGGTATTATTTAATCTTGTGTATTTAGCACTAATGACCACCGCCTTTCGAAGAAAGCAGGGGACTATTAAAATGGGTTCGTCCATCTGTCTGTCTGTCTGTCTGTCTGTCCGTCACACGTTTTGGGCCACAATAACTCTCTTTCTAATTGAGCTAGAATGTTCAAACTTGGTGTAAGTATTTATTAGGTCAATGCGTGGATGGAGTTCGAATATGAGCTTTTCTGCTTAGGGTAAGCAGAGATAAGCAATTTGATTGGTTGATGCTTTGGGACACGATAACTTTAGTTCTAATTAAGTGAGAGTGATGAAACTTGGTGTAAAGTTTCATTACATCAATACCTTGACTAAGTTCGATAATGAACATTTTCTGCTGAGGGTAAGCAGAGCGATAAGTAATTTGATTGTTCGAGACTTTGGAATACAATAACTATCATTCTAATTAAAGTAGGATGTTCAAACATGGTGTAGGCTAGTTACTTTAGTAACGTAAATTGTAGAAGGCGTAAATTGTATCGGCTCTGCCTTCTAGCCGATACAATTTACGCCTTCTACAATTTACGTTACTAATTAAGTTACTAGGTGTAGGCGTTCATTAGTTGAATGCCTTGAGGGAGTTCAATGATGAACATTGTCTGCTTACGGTAAGCAATCTGATTGGTTGATGTTTTGGGGCACGATAATATTGGTTATAATGAAGTGAGAGTGATGAAACTCCAAATATAGATTCATTATATCATTACCTTGACTTAGTTCGATGGTGAGAATTTTCTGCTTAGGTTAAGGAGTGATAAGCAATTTGATTGGTCAAGACTTTGGAACATAACAACTCTGCTTTTGATTGAGGTAGAATGTTTAAACTTGATGTAGATGTTCATTAGGTGAATGTCTTGACTGAGTTCAATGATTAATATTTCGAGCTGAAGCTAAGCAGAGCTGATCAATTTCATTGGTTGATGCTTTGGGACAAGATAATCTTGATTCTATCTGATAGAGAGTGGTGAAACTTAGTGTATAGTTTGATTGCTCGATACTTTTGAAAAAAATAAATGTGCGATTAATTAATATGTGTCATTTATTTATTTGTGATTTCGGCAGGGGACATCAGCGCCTCAATGTTGGCTTGTTTCTTTCACATTCATTCAATATCAAATCTTTGTTTAAAAATTCGTAAAAATCATTTAAAATCACCCAAAATCATCCAATTTGTACTTGTCTCCAGTTTAAAGCTGACCATTCAATTTTGATAATGATTGTCCAATTTACAAGCGTTTAATTTCTCATGTTCGATCTCTGCATTGGCCGAGAAAGTTCAATGTGATTTTCCAACGTGGTTTCCCTTGTCAGTGGTGCAGGATGGAGGGCCTGACAAGGACAGCTGTCTAGTTGTTCAGATGGGATGGAAAACCGAGGTCCTGTGTATACATTGGTGTGCACGTAAAAAGATCCCATGGCAGTTGGAATTCGATATATATAAGTGCCAAAGTGCCGCTGCCTGGGCAATATTTCCTTTATAGCATACTGTATGCCATATGCCTGTCTTCATTAGCCCAGTATAGGAGCAGGACAGTAAGACGTTAAACCCTGTTTCATTATGACATCAACATCTAATCTGGGCAATAATGTTTCTATATAAGTTGTACTTCAGACACTGTATGATTGCCCGTCTTCATTAGCCCAGTTGGAGCAGAAGATATGACATCAACATCTAAACCAGGCAATAATGTTTCTATAAGTTGTACTTCAGATACTTTATATATCGGGTTCAGTGTTGGGATTTCAAAAATTTTCTTGTCAGACATTTGTCCGAAAACAAAGGAGTATAACTCTTTAATTAAGCAGATGGTTTCAGACCACAATTAAAAATCATGTGTCAACAATATATTCAAATTTGTTCGTAATAAAAAATAAGTGTATCTCGTTATTTTTCATATTTAATTTCCGTACGGTTCGTAGTGAAATGGATCTTGGTATATTTGATATATAGGATTGATAGTAAAACGGACCTTGGTTTATTTGATATATAGGGTTCACTGTGAAACGAACCTTATTGTATTATTTCTTTATTTCAGTTAGAAGAAATGAACAGTAATCTAGGGAAAAGTTCTCGAGTTCTATCTGGAATGATGAAAAGGTAAGTATACTATTTTAACATCTTCATTCTTTAAGTGGTTTGGATTCCTCCATATTACCTGACAAGGAGTAGGGTCGCCGGTTTCCTCCCAGTGCTAAAGACCTCTACATGCAAGTGAATTATTGAAATTATTTTAGTCGCAAAATTACCTAGTTTATGTCGAGTGGAGGTTACCCCCCTTCTCTCTCTCTCTCTCTCTCTCTCTCTCACTCTCTTTAAATAGATTGATGAAAGTGTGGTCACATAATTAGGCATTACCAATTTCATTATTTGTTATTCTTTAATAATTTATTTTCCTTCTTATTTATAAGTGGAAGTTTTGTAGTAAGCGTTATTCATTTTTTAAAGATGTATTATAAAAGATTTTAATAAAGAGCTGATAGAAATTAATATATTTTCTTTTTTTTTTTCAGAATTATACAGAATAGATTATTGTTATTAGGAATATTTATTTTTATTGTTTTGATAATTATTGTAGCTATTTATTTTACTGTTAAACGGCATACGTGATATACAACATATTTAAATGCAGTGTATATACATTATATTTAAATACAATGTATATACCAGTGTTTATATTTAAATACAATGTATATGCAACATTATATTTAAATACAATGTATTTATAAGTGGCAAACGTGATATACAACATTAAATTTAAATACAATGTATACAGTGTTATATTTAAATACATTATACATGTATTTAAATACAATGTATATACAACATTATATTTAAATACAATGTATATACAACATTATATTTAAATACAATGTATATACAACATTATATTTAAATACAATGTATATACATTACAACATAATATTTAAATACAATGTATATACCAGTGTTAGGATTTCAAAATTTTTCTTGACGGACATTTTTTCCAAAAAATAAAGGGGCATAACTCTTATCATTATTTAAGCAGGCGGTTTCAGACAATGTATTTATAAATGACATACCTGATATACAACATTATATTTAAATACAATGTATTTATAAGAGGTATACGTGATTGACATATTGACATATATTATATGTAAATTCAATGTATTCATGAACAACAATGAGAACAAAATGAAAAAAAATATATTTATAGACAATAGGAATCTTGAAAACCAAACAGTCTGATAGGTCAGACTATTATCAAGGGTAATGATATTTCCGAACCTTGTGTGCATGCCTTGTAGAAAAATACTTTGGAGGTGTCCTGCCTTCCTTGGTTCTGTGAAGGAGTCTTATTAGAATCCTCCACAGAAAACAAGGGGCGTGGGTCTTAAGTTTTACCATGCAACCAACAAAAATCAAACTTATGACAGCATTCAGGAAAGGGAGAAAGGCTTGCAAGGCCGACAATAGGTGTTTTCTGTCCACAAAGAATAAAGAAATTAAGCAGTGTAGAACTGCAAAATAATCCAATATTAGAATTCCATTCATGAACCAAAATAATAATGAAATGTACATTGTTTGAATTTTTATATTTTATGTGTAGAAAGTAACTGATTTGTCTTTGGCTCGATTTTTAGAAAAATAATTTTTTACATAGGTTAAAAAAATGTGAGAGAGTGTATGTATTACATGTATATATCAATGTTGAAATGTATGGGTAAAAACGTTTAAATATTCACTTACAATAATTAATTTAGTCATTTGTGCAATAATTATTTATATGTAAACATCAGTCCATTGTTTATTTCTTTTTTATTGTGAAAACTTTTTAATGAGATGCATACATTATTGTTTTATAAATCATTGGTTACATCAAGTACACCAATTACTTCATGACTGTAAATGGTGGAATTCCTAAAAACTCATTTAAAAATTACAGATTAAAGATACATTATGTAAGATTTAGATAAAGAGCTGACCATTCAGAGTACAAAAATAGATAATGTAAAATGAAAATATTAAGAATTTCATTCAATTTTCTTCATTCTGGGCCAAGTTATCACTTTTTGTAGTTTTGACAAGATGTGTGCATTATGGTAAACTGGTATATTCAAGACTTAGCCTCACTTTCCCATTTTTAAATTAAATTTTTAAATGGTGAACCGTTCTAGTCTAGTTCAAATCTTGAGTATCCGATGCCATCGAGAGTTGATTATGGTCTTGTTTTGTTAATAAATGTCTAATTAATAATTTATTAATATGCAGATTTAGCTCTTGCATAATGTATGATCGTGAAGAATCGACGTCGTTATATCCGATTGGTTACCCCTTTTACATATTAAGACATGTTTAAAGGTGTGTTCTGTGACTTTTTACGTTGATCAGACAATCAACCAAATATCTCAATAATAGACACCATTCAAAAAATGTCAGAGAAGTTTCTGTATATTACAAGTTTTGATTGGCAGGTTTATCTGCAGTCGACCAATCACAATCTGTACTTTAAAGAAATGTCTTTAGATGAAGCACATTGTAGAGTAAACAAGTCAAAAATTGATAATTACAAAGAAGTGTAAAATTTTAAAATTGCATGAACCGTGAAGTAAGATGGGGGGTTTAGTGGAGAAGGATGATATTATGTATTTTATTGTGTATGAATGTGTATAGTTCAAGTCTCGATCATCATGTAAGGGATTTTGAATGCAAATTATAATATTGTGAAGAATGTGAAGGTCTGCTCCCTAAAAGGAATATCAATCCAGATATGGTTGATTTTCATTCAGAAATTTACAAAGATATGTTGAATTGAAAATTTAACACTATTCAGCATTGTCTTCAGCCAGGGGGACCTATAAGTGTAAGATAAATATTTTAATGGGCCTCTTTTTAATCCGATTGTATCCAAAATGGGATATTATCTACAATTGATATTTTGGTTTGGTTTTCTTAATTAAAACAGAAATAATCAATTTTGAGTAAGTTGTAGTGTGGGGATTAAACTGTGAAAAATAAGATATGGTCCAAAAGGTGCACTTATATATTGTTCGGTAAATTCAAATGTGTTTTAATTTATGTCATGTAATAAAGTTTAAATGTCATGTAATTATATTGTCATGTAATTATATTGTCATGTAATTATAATGTCATATAATAAAAGTTGGATGTTTTTATTTAACACCTGTATATTGTTATTATTATAGCCAATTGTGCAACCTGTACATGCTATAGTCAAGCGGGGGTTTGGACGGCCAAATGGTTAGCTCGTGTACGTTGTATTATAAGGTCTGTCATTGAGTCAATTGGCGTGGTTTCCATCCCCTTGGTTGTACGTGACAAGGAGTAGGGTCGCCTGTCCAACCTCGTGCATTTTCTCTACGTACTCTGGTTTCCCCCCATGCGAAATGACATAGTTTGTGTCAGGTGGACGTTAAACCCCATTTCTCTCTCTCTAGCTCAGCATCCTGTAGTAGACTAGTACCTTGTAGTTGTACACACTCTAGCCTAGTAGTACCTTGTAGCAAGCATCCTGTAGTTCTGCTCTGTATTGTTTTTACTGTAGCTGTGTAAGAAGCAGACAAAGAAATGAAATGGGGTTTAACTTCCTGCTGTGCTGTTTGAGTGACTGAATGGACTAATGCATGCACTTTAGATCAGAAGATCTGTCAATGAGTCAAGTGGTGTCCTGGTTTCGACCCCATAATTGTTTGTGATAAGAAGTAGGGTAGTCTGGACAGCAACAGGTCTACATGGCCTCAATTTTTTGCCCTCCATCCAGCATCACTGACTTAGGGAAGACCAGGCCGGAAAACCCTGGGAAATCTTGAGAATCGACCCAATAACATGCTAGTCTGTGAGCAGGTACCATACTCCTGCGCTTAAACATAAATTTAACCGTATTTTTATATTTTAAGGTTGAATATATGAACTCGCTCAATTCATTTCAACACACACAGTTGATATTTTAGGGGCTAAACCAAAAATAGATTGATATGTAAAAGTTTTACTTTTTATTTTAAATTGCCTGATGTCAGGATATTTCAGGAAACCAGATAACAAGTTGTTACAACGATCAAGATATTGCTGCATTAGTTATTAAGTGTCTTATGCTTCCAGTGTGCATTATATAAGTGAAAGTGGGGTTGGGTGGCCGAATGGTTAACACAGCACGTGGTATCATAAGGTCTGTCATTGAGTCAACTGGCGTGGTGTTGTTTCCCCGGTTCTATGTGACAAGGAGTAGGGTCGCCTGTCAAACCTCGTGGGTTTTCTCTGGGTCCTCCGCGGGTCCTTCGGTTTCCTCCCACTGCTAAAGACCCCTACGCGCTTGCGAAGTATTAAAATAAAATTGAACTATATGTTAGTCCCGAAATGACCTAGTTTGTGTCAAGTGGATGTTAAACCACATTTCACTCTTTCTATATAAGAGAAACATTAGTGGGAGGTCTTCAACATGTGATCTTGCCCTGATTTCGCAAAACATTCTCAAAATTGTTCGCCTTATTTTGACTAAAATATAGCCCTTTATAAAACTTTTGTTTTAATGTATCAAATACATCAATAAGAAACTATGGGCATTTTGTGTTTCTGGATCAAAGATATTTCTCATAAACAGTGATTAAAATTTGAGTAAATTCTTAAGTCTGAGAATGTTCAGTGAAACCAAGCCCCAAGTTCACAAAACATTTTCAGACTTAAGTTAGGAATTTACTAATATTATTCGCCTTATTTTAATTAAAATATTATAGACCTTTATTAAACTTTTGTTGTTTTAATGTATCAAATACATCAATAAGAAACTATATGCAAATTTTTGTGTTTCTGGATCAAAGAAATTTCTCATACACAGTGAATGAAAGTAGAGCAAATTCTAAACTTAAGTCTTAGAATGCATTGTGAATCATGGACTGGGGATAGATAAGATTGCTTTTATCGGAGAACAAAAACAGACATAAATGTTTTAAGTAAGAATAAAAATAAAATTATTAATATTTCGTCATTTTATACAATAAAAGTTTTAAAACATTACAATGGAGGGGAATGTTTTTTTATACACATGATGATGAAAGGTTGTTTATTCCGGTTCCTGGACAATCAAATCTTTAACACTGGGTTTATTAGGATTGTTCTCTAATAACCAGTCTGCTAACCACACCTATATAAATAAAAGAGTAAGATTGGTAATCTTTAAGTGACAATGAGTTCATGCAAGGTCCATTTTCCATGTACGAAAAAGTGGGTTTAATTCAATTGTAATGGGACCGTTTCCATGTAAACCAACAAATTCCATACATGGAAAACAGGCTTCAATCAGAATAATTTGTTGACATGGCTGGTTTAAAAATTAACTACATTACAACTATAAGTTCTGATTACTAACAGCCAACTTAAATTCATTCAATAAGCTTTCCTATTCACCTTTACCTTTCAAACTGTGAACTAATGAAATTCCAGGGTCACGACTTGGAGAAAAGTATTCGATCAGCATACTTTATTGAATTCTATCAATCCCTCAAAAGTGTCAATTCAGTAACTATAAATCTTGGGAAATGAAATAAAATGAAATGGGGCTTAATGTCCTACTTTTCTGTTCCAATTGGGCTCATGAAATCGAGCATATACCATACAGCAGCACTGTGGCCTACTCATATATCAAAATCCAACTACCAAGGGATCTTTTACGTGCATGCCGGTGTATATACGGGACCTCGGTTTTTCCTTCCATCCGAATGACTAGACAGCTGTCCTTATCACACCCTCCGTCCTGCACAACTGACAAGGGGAAACCACATCAGAAAATCCTGACGAACTTTCTTGGCCAATGCAGGGATCAGGGCTCAAACTAGGATCAATTTTTAGGGAGAAGCGTCTTACCCACTTAGCCACCATGGCTCCCCAATCTTGGGAAGAGATCTGGCATGATGGGTAGAGAGTAGGGTAGAGAGGCATCCATTAACAAGGGCATAGCCTACAACACCGAGAACAGCCGATTGACTATTATTTAGTGTATTTTGATTGAAGGGGGAATCCATTACCAAAGCAGTGATGTGTAATCCTGAGAAATACAAATGGAACAAGACTTACCAGTGGATCTCGTGGTTTTTGTTTACAAACTGCAGTTAATCCTTTCAGTAGTGTAGGGTTAACAACCTTTGATAAATAATCTTTGGCAGCTTGACCTACGGCAATAGGTTCAACAATACCTGGAAGAAAAAAATAAACACACTTAAAGTCCTAGCTGATGCGCCATTCTAAGCCATAGGATTCACTTGAAAACTACAATATTGTGAAAGAAAAGAAATGAAATGGGGTTTAACGTCCTACTTTTCTGCTCGGAACTGGGCTAATGAAGACTGGCATACACCATACAGTATGCTATGAGGGAAATTTTGCCCGGACAGCGGCACTACGGCCTACTCTTATATCGAATTCCAACTGTCAAGGGATCTTTTACGTGTATGCCAATGCGTACACGGGACTTCGGTTTTTCATCCCATCCAAACGACTAGAAAGCTCCTGGCGGCTAATAAAACCAAACAAATTGGAATACTTACTGTCTGGGAAAAAGAATCTAATTTCTCTCTGAGAACTGGAGAAACTATCGGAACCGTGTAGAGCATTTCTCTGATCATCTGTTCCATATAAAGATCGTAAACTATTAAAAAAAAAAAACCACATAAAAATAAACAACATAAGATAGTCGTAACCTATAAAAAAAAATCACCAGAACAGGCTTGTCCGTAATGATCTTAGTTACCCCCGACAAATCTAACTCAATGTTGGAAACATATTGAAAATACCTTTAAGTAAGATTACCTCAGAAAGAAAGAGAAATGGAAATTTAACGTCCACTCGACACAAACTAGGTCATTTCGGGACTAACATATGGTTTAATTTTATTTCAATAAATCGTTTGCGCGTAGGGGTCTTTAGCAGTGGGAGGAACAGGAGGACCCGGAGAAAACCCACGAGGTTGGACAGGCGACCCTACTCCTTATCACATACAACCAGGGATTCGAAACCATGCCAGTTGACTCAATGACAGGCTTTATGATACAGCACGCACATGCTAACCATTCGGTCATCCAACCCCCCACCTCAGAAAGAACACAAGTCCAACAAGTGTTCAATTCCAGTCAGATATCTTATTTACAAAAATTTCAGATGACATAAACAATTAACCCAGTGCCACATATGGGGAAAAATCTTTTGATGGGCTTCTTTTTAATTCAACTGAATCCATTTGATTATCAACTGTTGATTTTTGTTTACTCTCTTGATTAATCAAATGTTAACTAATCAATTTGGGTTCATTTTAGCGTGGATTAAGAGCCACTTTCAGTAAAATTCAGGCATGACACTGAAGTGACCACCTTCAAATTCTCTAATTTTTCAACATATTGTACCATTTAGGACTACAATCACAATTCCAAACAATAAAATCGCTATTTTTGTCGGTTGCCGAGATATGGGAGCTTGGAAATTGAACCAAATTTACAAAAAACAGCTTTTGGAAAACTGTTTTTGAAAATTTGTGTCAAATTCTTGAATTTTGCCTGAATCTTACAGAAAGTGGCTCTTAAGCTGTGACAAGTTGATTATTGATTGACCGAAAATGCATTGTCAGCATGGGGTACGTCAACTTTTTGGCAAGGTTATGAAAACAATAGGCAAGAAATAAATTTGTAGGTCAGATAAAATCTACCAACCAATCAGGATGTGTCTGTCTAGCTTTGTATGTATTTGTTGGACCAATCAACTCTCTCCAATATGATATAGCCCGGTCTCGAGAAATTACCAAGGCAACGACTGGACCAGAACTCATGTAGGCCACCAAACTGGGGAAGAAAAGTTTCCCATAATGCTCAGCGTAGAAATCACTGGCTTGTTCTGGCGTTAAGTGCACTCTTCTTTTCTGAAAAAAATATTCATTTGAAATAAATAAAATTCATATTAAAGCTCAAGTAAAAAAAAACACACATCTATGACATCGCTTATAGCCTTCCACAAAAGGCAAAATCTATTCAGAATGTGCATCACGAAAAACGATATTTCATGACCAAAATCTGGTGCGACGACAATTTCATGTGGGCGGTTAATAAAAACATAGTAATGCACAGACTTTTTCTTATAAGATATTTTTTTGTTTTCTCTTTTCTAGTGACAGTCAATTTCTGTTTTGAATTCACAGATATATCCATTCACAGTCTCATAATACTCATTCATATGACAATTTTTGGCTTTCGAAGAAATTATTACAGTAATTAGTATTAGTGTCATAGTGAGCAGAAATTTGCCCGTGTATCTGTTATCACTTGTCACTTCAGTCAGTTATATAGAAGGATAATTCATGTCTTCCTTTTGCGTTCGTCACTCCCATTTGTTGAGACCTTGATTACGCATCTATCATAGCGATGATCCCTGTGTTAAAATTTCATTTGGAACTGTTAAACCAGTTCTATCACATGTGATAATGATAATGACTGACACCAATATTGTGCCTTAATTACACAGTGTAGAGTGTAGGCCTACGTACATCTCAAACAAAAAGGTTAGGCCCTATTCTGTATATATATATAAAAGACTCAGAGATTAATTACTTTTTCGTAATTCCCGACATCTAACCAATCATATTTAGAAAGACATATGCATCCGTGGTAGAACACGCCCTTTAAAAATATAGTAACTAAAAGATTGAGATTTGACTTATTTTGCATACCTTGAGGACAGCGAAACCAGATCTCAGAATTATATCTTCAATTTCTTCTGCTTTATGTATACAATCTGGTTTGATTATAGCTAACGTCTGTTCAACATAAATATGTGGCGCCTCCATTTTGATATTATCATCTGCCGTCGAAGACATTTTGAGAAATTAACCAAAATATAGACAAAAAATCCCAACCTTTCACGTCTTTCGGGATGCCGTTACCTAGCAACATTGTTTACATCTCGTTAATTCTCGTTAAGTGTTTCGAGTTTCTCGCGGTTTGAAAAAATGGCGGCGTCCATAAGCGTCCATAGACACAGCGATGAAACTGGATTTTAATCAATATTTGTGCACCCAAACAAAATAAACAAACTTAAATTATGTAATAAGTCACAGACATGGATACGGTATGTTTTGATTTAGTTTTTATTTCATAACGTTCGGCCGATTGGCCCGAATATTTCATTTAACTAGCGTGTATTTCTTTGTTTACAAAATTCAAGTTTGTGCATGCACAGCCTGACCAAATGCTGGAATTGTGATGATGAATGGTGATGACTTTGATTGTCTTCATCAATAATTAACTAGCAAGAAAGATTTTAACAAATACTTAAACTATACTGGGGTGACAATTCTCCCCCTTTAATGTTGTGCGATCAATTAATTGCCATATTCCTAGAACTGCCAACCGGCAACTGAACTGGTTCCACTGGATGCTGATGCTGATAGTGATATCTGCCATCTTGGCTCCCTTAGTTTCCAATTAATCTGGCATCAAATGTACCACAGATAGCTTAAACTGCTTAGCATATGATAAACCATTGAAATAAAGGTGAAATCTTGTCGAATAATTTTGTGATTCCATAATTTGCACTTGATAAAGTCTGAGTCCAGGCTTGGCTTTTAATGATGAACTCCAATGCCATGCAATATTTCCTTCCATTTCCTTCCATTTCCTACCTCAATCCAAAATTAATGAAGTTATACATAATCAAACTTCACTTTCCAAATAATGAATCCATGCCCATAAATGCCAATATCGTACATGACTACATGTATATGGGATTATAGTACCGTAATCAAATTCTTATAATTAATATAATGAAAGTATTGGGGTGACAATACATGTAGGTCCAATACGGGTGATGTGAAAGGATTCAATTGCCCCAATAAAAGATATTATAGAAGAATTCTCAGTTTCCCGTATGAAACTTTTTATGATTACAAATTTCGCAGTTAGTTTTGAGTTTGAATTTTGGGTTTAGTTTTTTGTACATGTATTATTATTTTATGTTATTATTTAAATATATCATACATATACCTGTAGATTGAGGACAAAAATTGAAAATAAAATTTGTTTGTTTTTTTTTCAGGGAAAAGGAAAAAGAAGTAAGTAATACAGATATTAAATAGAAAAGTTGAACACAACTAATACTACCCAATCCTTTTGTGGTCAAAATAAAAATATGTTTCAGGAGGTGCCCCCAATCGCTACTCTTGTTGTTGTTCGACATGAAACTTGGCATGCTTGTTCCTTGGGACAATTGTTCATCTATTGACAGACTTCGATTTTGATATGATGCCACGATTCCGAGATGGCTGCAATGACGCCATAGTCAGTTCCTGGTCTGTAGTAAATAACCCTCCTAGACATTTATAGAAGTAATACCGTTATTAATTATAATAAAAAATCAACCTAGGGGGTTGGATGGCCGAATGGTTAGCACATGCGCGTTGTATCATAAAGTTTGTCATTTAGTCAACTGGCGTGGTTTCGAATCCCTGGTTGTACATGACATAGAGTAGGGTCGTCTGTCCAACCTCGTGGGTTTTCTCCAGGTCATCCGGTTTCCTCCCACTGCTAAAGACCCCTACATGCAAGCAAATTATTGAAATAAAATTAAACTATGTGTTACTCCCAAAATGACCTAGTTTGTGTCAAGTGGACGTTAAACCCTCTCTCTGTCCAACCACATGGGTTTTCTCCAGGTCCTCCGGTTTCCTCCCACTGCTAAAGACCCCTATGCGCAAGCGAATTATTGAAATAAAATTGAACCATGTGTTAGTCCTGAAATGACCTAGTTTGTTAAACCACATTTCTGTCTCTCTCTCTAAAAAAAAAAACCACATCTAGTCTTGAGGTGGAGTTAAAACATGCTATATTTTGATCGTCCACACAAACTTATTGAAGTTACAAACCTCCACATATCTCAAGTACCAATGAAATAAAATGGAGTTTAATGTCCTACTTGTCTAGGCAGCACCAATGGTACTAATGAATACATGATCTTAAGAACAATGTTGGAAACTGTTTCTGGATTTTAAATTGGTTGACTACCACAATCACATTTGTTTACAGTACACAACCTTATTGAGAGATGAACAGAGAGAGAAATAGGGTTTAACATCCACTCGACACAAACTAGGTCATTTCGGGACTAACATATGGTTCAGTTTTATTTCAATAATTCGCTTGCGCATAGATGTCTTTTAGCAGTGGGAGGAAACCAAAAGGACCCAGAGAAAACCCACAAGGTTGGACAGGAGACCCTAATCCTTGTCACGTACAAGTGGGGAATTGAAATGAAATGAAATGAAATGGGGTTTAACGTCCTACTGTTTTGCTCCGAACTGGGCTAATGAAGACGGGCATACGCCATACAGTGTGCTATGAGGGAAATTTTGCCCGGACAGCGGCACTACGGCCTACTCTTATATCGAATTCCAACTGTCAAGGGATCTTTTACGTGCACGCCAATGTGTACACGGGACCTCAGTTTTTCGTCTCATCCGAATGACTAGACAGCTGTCCTTGTCAGGCCCTCCGTCCTGCATCACTGACAAGGGGAAACCACGCCGGAAAATCTGGATGAACTTTCTCGGCCAATGCAGGGATCGAACACCCGACCTCCAGGCTAGCGAGCCAGCGCCTCACCCACTTAGCCACCGTGATCCCCAGGGGAATTGAAACCATGTCACTTGACTCAATGACATACCTTATGATGCAACGCGCACACAGTATTAACCATTTGGCTATCAAACTCCTCCCGCCGAGAGATAAAACAAGAAGCATTATTAAGAGCTTAAACTGTTAGAATTTCTTATAAAGGTTTATTGAAGAGTTCAAATTATTCTGTTTATAGCTAAATGTGCCATGAGAAATACGTAAAGCATGGCCTTTTCTACTTGCACCAAACAAGAAATTAGTTATTATCTTTGTGTTTTGTTATAGGAAACCGAGATACATCATTAGATGATATATTGGGAGATCTTTTATCAGAAGGTAAATTTTCTTTCTTGTCCTTGATTCCAAGTCAAAACATTTCAGGATGATTCTGCACCACTCTTTTTCAGTTAAAAACTTTTCAGAAATTCAACTCTCACCACTGTGTTGAATTGATACATGTACGAGCGTAGGATGCTAATTGTAGTATACAAGGATTCAAATTCTCTCAAAAGTCTATTGGTGGCTGTAAAGTTAGAAACTCAATTTTATTAAGTTAGCCCATTAATTGTAACTGTCACGAACAGCTAAATCTCAAATCTGCCTATTGCAGGTCTTTCTTTAGGTCTCAAATGTTATATAAACTATTAATTAGACATTTATTAACATGAAAAGACCTTAATCAAATCAACTGGATTTGAATCCAATTTACTGCTCAACGCTCATTGATGATTATATGCAAAAATGGATAATCGAGACAATGTTTTTTATCGTACCGACTTTAGTAATGATGATCAAGGCTAGGTCGAAAAATCAATTGCTAATATCTCGGTTCAGAGTGGAGCTCAAATTTTTAGCATATACCCTTTACATCATCTAGTTTTTAACTATTATAGTGAGAACTGCCAGCTCTTTATCTAATCTTCCATAATGTATCATTAACTAGAGCTGTGTTGGATTGATAGGATGCTAATTTAGTTTCAAAATCCCTTAAATGACTCTCAGGGAGATTAGATTTAAGATCGCAAATTTTCACAGTTTGCCATTTAATAAGTGTATATTATAAATGATCTATTGTTTTACAGATACTCCAGCTACCAGACCCACATCTCAGGTAGAAGTAATTGTTTATATAGAGAATCTCCTACGAGTCTTTTTTGTTATCAAAAAACATCAACACAAGTTGATAAAGTAACAAAAACATCAACACAAGTTGATAAAGTAACAAAAACATCAACACAAGTTGATAAAGTAACAAAAACATCAACACAAGTTGATAAAGTAACAAAAACATCAACACAAGTTGATAAAGTAACAAAAACATCAACACAAGTTGATAAAGTAACAAAAAAACACAAGGCTCTGAGTGTTGATATTTTTTGATATCAAAAAAGACGAGTAGGAGATTTTATTTATCACACAATCCTTTCTTACATGTACAAATAATTAAATATAATTCTTTGCTATAGATTTCACTTTTACTGAACCTGATTACATTATGTTAGTGTTATATCATTTTTTGACAGCAATTCAACCATTGCAAAGTCCTTTATATTGACCCAGTGTTTCCATGAAAGTCAATTGAATAAAAATAGTTCCTTTTAAATAAGAAAGAAGTTACTTTCAATAAAAAAATGAACTGTTCTTTGAAAATAAAAAAAGTAGTTCCTATTTGATTTACCAATCAAGTTCAAGTAAAGCGATATCTCCTAAGGAGGTATCGCAGTAGATTATGAAATTTATCACACCATCGATATCTACTGTAGAATGTATTAATGGTTGATAAATCATAATTGTAGTTGAGTGATCTAAGGTCTGTCATTGAGTCAAGTGGAATGTTTTAGAACCAAATCTTGTACATGACAACGAGTAAGGTTTCTTGCCTAACCACATGACTTAAATCCCACTTCTAAACACCCATAAGCGCAAACGGAAATATGAACCACATGTCAGTCCTGAAATGACCTAGTTTGTGTCTGAATATCATAATAGATTCAAATCAGAGTTTGGCATTGCACCGGGCCCCATTTTCACAAAGTATTCTCAGACTTAAGTTAAGAATTTACTCAACTTTCAATCACTGTTTATGAGAAATATCTTTGATCCAGAAACACAAAACTTTGCACATAGTTTCTTACTGATGTATTTGATAAATTGAAACAACAAAAGTTTATAAAGGGCAATGTTTTAGTTAAAATAATACAAACAATTTTGAGTAAATTTTGAGAATGCTTTGTTAACTCGGGGCCAGGTTTTTAGTCTGTCTCAATTCTATGTTTATACATTGTATAATATTCAAAAAAAGTAGGGGATATTTGATTTTTAAGTGTTATTAATGTAACCTAATGAAACTGACGAAGAAACAAATGACAAAATGAAATGAAGTTCACATTCATCGATTTATTCCAAATGATCGTTAGACTAAGTAAGGCACAGACTGACCATTATAAGGGTAAAATGATACCCGGGGTCAAACAGCAAAGTTACCACAGCATCACAACCAAGTCAGTAACGGGTAAATCCTCCTCTGTTTGCCAAACAAGCATTGATCCGACGTGGCATACTCCTAATGAGACGTCTAAGGTCATTTTGGTCCAGATTGTCCCATTCCTGTTGCAACGCAGCAGCAAGTTCTTGGACATTGGCAGGACGTTGTTGACGTTGACGTAACCTCTGTCCAAGCATGTCCCAGACATGCTCGATGGGGGAGAGGTCGGGACTCAGTGCTGGCCAAGGTAATGTGGTGATGTTCTGTTGTTGGAGGTAACCTGTAACGATCCTGACCCCTATGCAGTCGATTCCGAATCGTCTGGCCACTCACTCTCACACCAGTGTCTGTTTGAAGACGAGCGCTGATCTGATTTGCTGTGATGACACGATTTCTCAAGGCCAAGGTACGGATAAATCGATCCTGGGCTTGAGTTGTCGCCCTTGGTCGACCTGAGCGTGGTCTGTCCTGTACAGATTGTGTATCACGGTATCTGGACCATAGCCTGCTTATGACAGACTGAGAAACATTCATCGTCCGCGCCACAACCGCCTGTGTTGTGCCGATCTGTAGCATGCCAAGGGCACGTAACCTTTCATTTTGGGTAAGCCGACGCATATCAAAATTTGTTTTCTGGTCACTAAAACAATTAAACTGATGTTTCCACCCTGGAATTCAATGCCACAATGACTGTAACATTCAAAGTCAGAGTCGTGCAAATCTTGGGTTGGACCCCCATGATGATCCCAAGCATCACCTGCATTCCATGCGGTAGCTATTGGTGCGTTTGGGCGTCACATGTAACTGGAAATGTTTCTTCTGTTAGGTTCTATAGTGACTTTTTTCGTAGTCATTTGCATATTTTAGTATTATGCCCCCAAAATCAAATATCCCCTACTTTTTTTGAATAGTATATAATAAAATAGGGCTCCCCATTTTTCTAACATTGATAAAAATCACAAAATACAGAAATTTGATTAAAGATGGGTGTATTTTGACGTGCGATTAGTAATATTTGGGTACCGTAATTTTTTTTCAGGGTTCGTCTAGAGTTAATGCAGGAAAAGCAAGGTAAATAATTTTTACTTTACATTTAGTATTAGATATATACCGGTACCATACTCAACATATAACCGCCAACATTTAGTATTAGATATATACCGGTACCATACTCAACATATAACCGCCAACATTTAGTATTAGATATATACCATACTCAACATATAACCGCCAACATTTAGTATTAGATATATACCATACTCAACATATAACCACCAACATTTAGTATTAGATATATACCTTACTCAACATATAACCACCAACATTTAGTATTAGATATATACCTTACTCAACATATAACCGCTCACCCGCCTGTCATAAAACTTTTGTTCATTTCTATCCTAACAAGCACGTCTATTTTGAACAATTTGTTTTTGTTACCAAGATGAGAACTAGGAGAAATGCTACAGTAATGAAAAGAGAGTATTTACTAACTAGATTGTCGTTTGACATTTCATGTAAAATAGGGGGAAGTAGGGTGGTCGAGTCATATAATAGGTTCACCTTAAATCCTAAATGGGGGGGGGATGGCCAAACGGTTAGCGCGTGTGCGTTATATAATAAGGTCTGTCATTGAGTCAACTGGCTTGGTTTCGATTCCCCAGTTGTACGTGACAAAGAGTAGGGTTGTCTGTCCAACCTCGTGGGTTTTCTCTGGGTCCTCCGGTTTTCTCCCACTGATAAAGACCTCTACACAAGCCAATTATTGAAATAAATTGAACCATATGAACCGAAATGACCTAGTTTGTGTTGAGTGGACAAACCCTCTCTCTCTCTCTCTCTCTCTCTCTCTCTCTCTCTAAGTAATAACCAGTATATTGTATGGTCTATTAGTAAAGATGATGATTTCTACAGTAATATGGCAGCCATGGCGGATGATAATCCAGATTCTGATATATCCGAGGCAGATCTTAATCAAGTGGCCAAATCAATAGCAGTAAGTTTTTATTTATATTTTAGACTAGGAACTGAGACCTTGTGTTCTTGTTATTCATCTGTATTTTAAGCTGAAATATAAGTTGAAATCAGACAGGTCTCTTGCCAAAAAACTTTTAGGGTTTTAAACATACATTATGCAAGAGCTAAATCTGTCTATTGCAGGTCTTTCTTTAGGCCTGAAATGTTATCTAAATTATTAATTAGACATTAATTAAGCTATCCAGGACATAATCAACTCTAGATGGCAGCGCTAGCCTGCGATCTTTAGTAGATTGTGAGCCGATATACTACAGAACTTTCCTTCTCGATTTAACGATTAAATGTATAATCATGACTATGCTGTTTATTGTACTGACTTTAGTAATGATGACCAAGGCTAGGGGGAAATTTCAGTCGCTTAGGTCTCGGTTCATAGTGGATCAATTTGAATGAAATTTTCACCAAATTGCCTTTACATTATCTAGTGTTTAACTATTATAGTGAGAACTGCCAACTCGTTACCGAATCTCCCATAATGTATCTTTAACTTATTAAATCAAATTATGATAAATTCTGGTTTTGATATGAAAATAGTGGAACACAAACTGAGCCATATCTCAACATAAGCTTGATCTAGGGGAGCTGGATGGCCGAATAGTTAGCCCGTGCGCGTTGAATCATAAGGTCTGTCATTGAGTCAACTGGCATGGCATTGATTCCCTGGTTGTACGTGACAAGGAGTAGGGTGGCCTGTCCAATCTCGTGTGTTTTCTCTGGGTCCTCCATTTTCCTCCCACTGCTAAAGACCCCTACGCGCAAGCAAATTATTGAAATAAAATTGAACCGTATATTAGTCTCGAAATGACCTAGTTTGTGTCTAGTGGACCTTAAACCCCATTTCTCTCTCTCTGTCTGTCTCTCTCTCTCTCTCTGGCTTGATCTGAGGACCTGACATTTACCAGGACTCCCATTTCATTCAGAGTGGTTGGGTGGTCAAGTGGTTTAACGCATGCGCATGAAATCAGAAGGTCTGTCATTGAATCTAGTGGTGTGGTTTCGTTTCCAAGCTTGTACATGACAAGTAGTAGGGTCACCTATCTAACCTTGTGGGTTTTCTCCGTTTTCCTCCTACTGCTCCCTTTGAAAAAAAAATCCAAAAAAATTAGATTATGCTGAAGTTGGAAAAAACATCTTGCTACTCTAAAGTAAACAAAATATGTCAAAATTGAATGCCTCGCAGAATTTTAAGATTACCTTTTTGCTGCAATGTTTCAGTATTTATACAGGTACTTGTATTGTTATAACTTGATTATTACAGGATCTTGATGATATGGATGCGGATTTATTTGGTGGACCATCAAAAAAGAGTAGTGTCAAGGGTCGTTCAGGGAAGCCTACAACGCCTCGTAGATCCAGTTTAACTCCTCGCTCCCGCAGTGGAACACCACGATCTGGAAAGACAGGTTCACCAAGACGTCCACCGACTCCAGGGTCACCAACACGTAGTGGTGACTCTAGCCCTAGACGAACTGCACCGAAGTCCCCGTCGCCTCCCACTCCTCAAGTAGAGTATAAACCAGGGACAGCACCAGGTAAAATGACAGGTGAGTTAAACATTTCTGCTTCATCTACTCTCCCACCAGGTAACATCTCTTCCCCCGCCAGGTAAAATTTCCTCCCCCACCAGGTAACATCTCTTCCCCGGCCAGGTAAAACTTCCTCCCCACCAGGTAACATCTCTTCCCCCGCCAGGTAAAATCTCCTTCCCCACCAGGTAAAATGACAGGTAAGTTAAGCATTCCTACTTCTCCTCCCCCACCAGATCAAATGGCTCCCAGTAATATATAAAACTTCATCTCCTCAGGTAAAATATAAACCAAGAAAAATATCACGTAATTGAGAAAAAATTTAACAACCTCATGAGAGATTTAAAAAAACATACCTGTATTTTGTTTAAGAATGATTTGAGTATAATGAAATGATGTATTATTTTTAGATATGGGGCGAGAAAGTGAAAATTTAAAACCAGGTCAATCAAACAAGATTGGAGAACGACCTCAAACTGTTCCTAAAGCCAAACCTAAAATAGATTTCGGAGGTTTGTTTTTAGTATTATTCTCTCATTTTGTTCAGTTTAAATTTTGAGATTTTTGATTAACGGTTGCTACATCAGTTGGTTTATCAAAATTAATTTAGTCTCAACTTTGGCCGAGAAAGTTTATCAGGATTTTCTAGCGTAGTTCCTCCTTGTCAGTGGTGCAGGACTGAGAGCCTGGCATGGGACAACTTATAGTCGTTCGGATGGGATGAAAAACAGAGGCCCCATGTACACATTGGCGTGCACGTTAAAGATCCATAGTGCCGCTGTTTGGATAAAATTTCGCTCATAGCACACTGTATGGCGTATGCCCGTCTTTTTAGCTTCATTAGCCCAGTCAGAGCAGAACAGTAGGATGTTAAACCCCATTTCATTTCATTTTCATTTTAACCTTTTGATGATCCTTGTTTGGATATATTTGTAGAGTTTGATGAAGATGATCCGCTGGCTGGTCTGTTATCAGATGATGAATCAGAGATACAAGTTAAAAAACCTTCGTTAAAACCACCGCTAAAACATCAGACCTCTTCCGATGATGTCATAGCAACACAAGATACAGCTTTACCTGGTAATACAGACAATAAGCCAGCAGACAATAAACCAACAGCAGGTATTTCTTATTTAATGCTTCTAACTGGATTTGTTCTAGTCAGTGTTGCAGGACAGATGGCTTGGCTAGGAAAGAGCACTCAGTCGCTCAGATGGCACGAAAAAACAAAGGTCTTGTGTAATGCAAAATTGAAATAGCAAACTTTTCCTCTTACATTAATTCGTTTGTTGTAGAAAAGTAAGATTTCCTGAACTTGAATGATAATTATGAACTAAGATGAGAGTAAAGAACTCAAATAAAAGCCATGAACAAAAATGATAGCCACAAAGTAAACTGAATACATGAATGCAAATAAAAGTCTGAATTCAAATAAAAGTCTGAACTCAAATTATAGTCTGAACTTAGAAGATAGCTACAAATTCAAGTGAAAGTCATAAACTCAAATTGTGGTCATGACCTCAGATGACAATTGCAAACTCAAATGATGACCATCATCTCAAATGACAATTATGAACTCAAATGATAATTATGAATTTAAATAATAACCATGAACTCATGACAATCACACAAACTTCAATGATAATCATCAGCTCAAATGATAATTATGAACTCAAATGGCAGTCACAAACTCAAATGATAATTATGAACTCAAAAGTTGATTATGAACTCAAATGATAATTATGAACAATTATGAACTCAAATGATAATTATGAACAATTATGAACTCAAATGATAATTATGAATTCAAATAACCATGAGATCAAATGATAATTATGGACAGTTTTATAGGAAATCACATGATGTATAAATATTTTATGGTTTTTATAGGAGCTGACGCCACACCTAGTTTATTCGATCGTCCACCTACCAGAAGTGGAACTGATACGGCAGACACCGAGAGAAGTACAGACGTCAAACCCAAACCAGGTGATAGAATCAACTATAGTATTTCTATATCACAAACATCTTACAAGCATTTAGGGGGGGGGGGGGATGGCTGAATGGTTAGTGTGTGCATGCTGTATCATAAAGTCTGTCATTGAGTCAACTGGTGTGGTTTCGATTCCCCAGTTGTACGTGGCAAGGAGTAGGGTCGCCTGTCCAACTTCGTGGGTTTTCTCTGGGTCTGTCGGTTTCCTCCCACTGCTAAAGACCCCTACGGGCAAGCGAATTATTGAAACAAAATTAAACCATATGTTAGTCCCGAAATGACCTAGTTTGTGTTGAGTGGACGTTAAACCCCATTTCTCTCTCTCTACAAGCATTATGTTGAATTGTTAGAGATCACATAAGTTTTCTTGGGAAAAATCGACATCTGATTTTGTTAATTGTTCAAAGGGGGTTGGGTGACAGATTCTCCGCTTGTGCGTGACGAGCAGAAACCACGCTGTAAAATCCCAGGGTACTTTCTCTGCCATCACCGAGATCGAACAATTCCCAATAAAACATTGATGTACCAAGAATTAAAGGGACATTATGGGAGATTAGATAAAGAGCTGACAGTTCTCGCTATAATAGATAAAAAATAGATAACTTAAAGAGAATATGCTGAAAATTTCTGTCTTAGGGATTGAATTTTAGATCTAGCATTGATCATCATTAATGAAGTCGGTATGATAAAAAAAACAATGTCTCAATTATCCAATTTGACTTTAAATCATCAATCACAAAATGTATTCAAATCCAGTAAATATCACAGGCTAGAAATGACATGGTCTGGATAAGTTAATTATTGTCTAATTGATAATTTAGATAACATTTCAGGCCTAAAAGAAAGACCTGCAATAAACAGATTTAGCTCTTGCATAATGCATGGTTAATTTTTTTGTATTGTCTTTATTCCAGTTGTAAAGAAAAGGGAAGAGAGATTATTTAGCGATGATGAAGACATGTTGGACGGCCTGGGCATCGATGATAAACCTAAAACACCCATACAGGCGGTATCTAAAGATCGCGAGGAAGACGTCCGACCAGCCAGAAATGTTTTAGACAGTCTCCTGGGTAAAGATAGCGTAAATAAACACCTACAGAAAACAGAACGGAAAGAATTTATACTGGATAAAAAATTTGCAGAAAAAGGTGAATATGCTGTTAATCTTTCATTCTTTGCTTGATAAGGAATGGAGAGAACCCTCGTTGAAACGTTACCAGAAATAAACTCTTAAAAATACATTATGGGAGATTAGATAAAGAGCTGACAGTTCTCACTATTATAGTTAAAAACTAGATAATGTAAAGGGAATTTGCTAAAAATTTCAGCCAAATTGGTCCACTCTGTACTGAGATTTTAGTGATTGAATTTTCGGTCTAGCTTTGATCATCATTACTAAAGTCAGTATGATAAAAAACATAGTCTTGATTATCCATTTCATGATTAAATTGGAAGTCGAACAGCAAATCGGAACCTAATCCTGTAAATATCGCAGGCTAGCGATGCCATCGAGAATTGGTTATGATCTTGTCATGTTAATAAATGTCTAATTAATAATTTAGATAACATATAAAGCCTAAAGAATACCTGCAATTGGCAGATTTACCTCTTGCATAATATATGTTTAAGTAACTTGTATTCCATATAATTGTGTCATGTGTTACTCTTTCATCTGTTTAAAGGCCAAATTAAAGACAAATGAAACAAAATGTGATTTAGCATCTTAATTGTAAGAGGAAAATATTTCCCTGCCAGTGGTGCTACCGCCTGCTTTTATTTCGATTTCCTGGGAGTTGAGTGGTCAAGAGGTTTAACGCATGCACATGAAACCATAAGGTCTGTCATTGTTCAACCTCGTGGGTTTTCTCCGGGTCATCTGGTTTCCTCCCACTGCTAAAGTCCCCTACACGCAAGCGAATAGTTAAAATAAAATTGAACCATTAGTCCCGAAATGACCTAATTTGTGTCGAGTGGACATTAAACTCATATAAAAAAAACCTTGACGGCTGGAATTCTGTCTGGCAAAATTATACACTATATGATGGTATGCCCATCTTCATTAGCCCAGTTGGGCAAGAAAAGTAGAACTTTTAACCCCTTTTCATTCAAACTTTCTTTCTTTCTCTCATGAGAGATCTGAATAGAATCCTAGGGTCTCAATATCATTTTACCCGGTCAATTTTTATAGAACATACTGTTTATTTATAGATCAAGCTGGTGATGATGAAGATGATTTTATATTTGGTGATTATAAACCTTCATCTGTTGTTGGTTCTAGACCTACGTCACGGAGATCGGTCAGGTAGGGTGAAGAAGCTTAATAAAGCAGAAAGTACTTACAATAACCTAGTTTTCTTTCCTAAAACAACTTTATTTCTAATATCTAACACCTAAGAGGAGCTTAGTCACAAAGATCGGTCAGTTAGAGTATATATATATACTGAAAGAATTTTCATGTCATCAAATATGTACAATCAATTTGTCGTTCAAATTTGTGACTATACACTACATTGGAAGGTTGCCATAGGTTATTGCATGGACAATAAGATTGACTAGTGGAGACAGGGTATATGTGTTTCTATCTTTGTTACTGATTCAGTTAAGCCTAAAATTTATGAATAAAAGATTTATTTTATTTGTAGGTTTCAGGACGATGATATATTTGGTACCGATGACAAACCTCCATCCAGAGGGCGCTCTGATTCGGGCCGACCTAAAACACCTGATGATATGGATTGGTTAGAATTGGCCTCAGGGAATAGGACATCTATAGACACGCCAAAAGTTCCGGAGAAAAAAGAATTGAAATTTACCCCCAAATCTGCCCCTTCTGATTGGCTGGGATTAAAAGATTCACCCAATGATGATGAGGATGATGATATATTTAAGTCTTCTACTCCCAACCAATCAAAAGGCAGGACAGATAATATATCTAAAACCTTAAATCGAGATATCGGCAATGATGATTGGCTAGAGAGATTGAAAGCAATGAATGATGATGGGAGTGATGGGATTGAAACAGATACAAAGAAAGAAGAAATAACTCCTGCTAGGAAAGTGGAGACAACTCCTGCTAGGAAAGTGGAGACAACTCCTGCTAGTGCAGCAGATGATTATTTGGGTTTGGGAGAGGAAATAGATTTAGATGATATTCTCAGGTAAAATTAGAATTATTAAAATTTTTACCTGGCTTACTCCTGCGAATCGAAGCCATGCCACTTGACTCAATGACAGACCTTATGACCCAACGCACACATGTTAATCAATCGGCAACCCACCAAATCTTTTAAGATAAACAAGCCAAAGAATCAACAAAGAAAATAAGGTGTTAATCTGTCTTGCATGATGAAATATAATTAGAAAACAAACATGTGAGTTACTTACCTTGTGATTGGTAAACTTAACCATGTGAACATCCTTCTTGTTTATTCAAAGCCACAGTGGCTCAGTGAGTCAGGTGCTGGCTCACTAACTAGGAAGTACCAGGATTTTTCAGTGGGTGATCTCGCTAGACTTATACTTCGTATTAAGTGGCAGGCCAGTTAGCCCTAAACAGGAGCTACAGTGGCTGACTACCCAGGTGGCCCTGGGATGGATCACATTGCTGGCCGAGAAAGTACTTCAGAATTTTGCTGTATAGTTCCCCTTGTCATTGGTACAGGATGGTGGGTCTGGGAAGAAACAGGGTCTAGTTCAAAAAGTGAGGTCCCATGACCTAATTAGTGGTCAACTCCATACCCCCTCTCTCTCTCTCTCTCTCACTCTCTCTCTCTCTCTCCCCTACCCCCCCCCTCCCCCCTCCCACACACAGACTGCCATAGCTAAGTATTTCAAGTGCCCAGAATTGATATTTTTTTATTCTTCAACATTGGACACTCCATCTGTAATTCTAAACAAATTCAATTTAATTTTTACAGAACAAAGCCCGAGTCACCCATATTACCTGGTAGACAATCTACAACAAACAACAATGGCAGGTATGACCTTATCTACATAAACATGTTTGTAAAAATTATTTGTATTTTGGAGATTAAAAAGCACATGTTATTTTATTTAAATTAATATTTCACGATTAAATTTTTTAATGTTATGCTTCTACAATTTAAAAATTTAAAAAAAAACCAATCTTTTATTTACATTTATGTTTTTTTATACACCCACAAGATCCATCGTGTCGGGTCATTGTAGTTTTTACTAATTTGAGCTTTGAAAAACTGACATGTATTGTGATATCGAATGAAAGCAATCATACGTAGACACAGATATATTCATACATATATCCTTCAATGTTGGCATTTTTTGCTTACCTCATTAATTCATTTCGTTGCTGATGCACAATTTTTGCCTGTCCAACCTCGTGGGTTTTCTCCGAGTCCTCCAATTTCCCACCACTGCTAAAGACCCCTAAGCGCAAGCGAATTATTAAATAAAATTGAACCATATGTTAGTCGTGTAATGACCTAGTTTGTGTCGAGTGGATGTTAAACCCCATTTCTCTCTCTCTCTCTACAAAGCTTACTGTTGTTTGTGTTCATTTAGTGTTAATGGTAGTTATCAGAGAAGAAGGATATTACTGGACGATGATGATGATATATTCCCAGCGAGAGAAACCAACGTCACCAATCATAATCAAGATATATCAACAAGTATTACCAGCCCCCGTGTTCCATTATCATCAAAATTAGCTGATCTACAAGAACTTGATGAAAGTCCGTATTTTAAAAAGAAACCACAGGTGATTATCTCTGTTTATTTGTCGTAGGAGGCAGTGCCGGATTAAGGCTCTGCTGGCCCTAAGGCACATTTTGATAGGTGGCCTGAAAATACAGATATTTTGGGCCCATAACGAGATTCTTTCCCACAACAAATGTAAACAAACCTCACGTGTGTAAAGGGACGAAACATTATGTCAACCCTTTGCCAAAGTATGGAAAGCTTTTAAGGACAAACGCGTAGATGAAGAAGGATGCAATTTATTTACATAAAAATAAAGGCATGCATTTTTTGTCACCACCTGATAATTATCAAAAAAGTTTTACTTTATTATTTTGTGGCCTGTATTTTTGGCTGGCCCTAAGCCACGTGCCTTATTTGCCTTATGGTTAATCCAGCACTGGAAGGAGGTGGGGGGGGGGTGATATTAGAACAGTGTTTGATGGGCCTAGAAGAACTGTTTAGATTCCCAAAGAATGCGACAATGTTTTTACATATTTTGAAGGGATTTCACTCAGAAAAACTGTAAATTTATCCTGTTTTGAAGTTAAGTTCTTTGACATTCTAATTTTTTAGCATGTTAATTGACTGACAGGTAACTTCTCCAGATGGTCATTTTCACTCTTGAGTTTGTCAAGAACTGGCAAATATCATGAAAACAAGAGCCCTGGTTGTGAACTGCCAAGTTGATTTCAAGAAATACCTGCAGGAAACATCAACTAAACTGTCTTTAAATTATTAATTTATAGTCTCAAGCATCCAGGCAACAGCAACCAATTATCCAGACATCTGTATTTCCTAGTCGAGACCCAGAAGTTCAAAGCTTGCGTAACGTAAATACTCTCCCTTCTGCTTCTATCAGTGGTCCAGCTGTCAGTCATCACAACATGTCCGCTAATCCGTCGGCAGGTTATCAACACAATACACCTCAGTATTACACTCCACAGGTAAGATTCATAAAGGTACATTATTTAAAGTAGCTAAGTCTCTAACTGTATATCATCCAAAGTCTACAACATTGAAAACACAATTTATTTGTCAATTTAAATCAACATTGATGTTGTGATCTTACCGGGAAAAGATGGGCTTCTGATATCCAATATTTAAGACAAAATAAACATTTTACCATTCAACGCCATTTTTAGCAAGCGACTCGAAAAACGAGGCTAAACATATTCCACAAGTCATGTTAAACGGTGACATCATACATATTCTTTTCTGGAGAGCATGCGCAATAGATACTCTTGGTGTAGGCTAGAATAACCAGACGCTAGAGATTGTTATTCGATTGAGACTTTTGGCGGATTTTTTGCCAAATATAACTGATTTGAAATTAGAGTAAAAGCGGAAACGATTGTCTCAATCTGATTAAAATACAGATCTATATTTCGTTTCTTTGTTTTATACTTTCGATGGCCTACACTACATGAAGATCTGACAAGTTATAGCGCTAAGTCACGACAGGGGTCAAAAGACCGACTTATGACCCTATGACGTCAGACATTTGATTAACCAATCAGCATTGATGTTACTAGTGGATTACCCACAGTTCCATGAAAAACACGCCTAAAGCTCGCCGTAACAGACCGTTTCATTGGCTTATCCCTGACACCATTCAGAACACGAGTTAAATAACAAGTCTTCCAGATCCAAGTGTAGTAAAGACAAGTAAAATGAAATTTTGAATTATAAAAACGAAACGAAATAGGATCTGTGTTTTAACCAGATTGCGATTGTCTGTTACTGCACATAGCTACGGTGGCTAAGTGGGTAAGATGCTGGCTCGCTAGCCTGGAGGTCGGGTGTTTGATCCCTGCATTGGCCGAGAAAAATGTCAGGGTATCACTTACTGGCAACCCAACTGTTGTCTGCCAGCTTATTGTATGCTAAATTGACTGAGGGAGCGGTTATTATTACTTGATCAAATGGTTAGGCGGTTCTGGCAACATTGAGGGGTGTCAACGTACAAAAGACTCTGTAATTAAACGTCATCAAATCACACAGTATGTACACGGGAAAGTATCTTTAGGTTGCTGCGAAATGCAACGATAATGGTCAAAAATATTTACCATTATAGTGGAAGCAAATAGACGCATAACATTCAAATGATTATTTTCAATATTCGATTAATTAAAATCATCAATCAGTTTGACCATTGGAATGTTAATACACTTTTGGCCGTTGGGCTGGTTTTGTATGCAAGTCATGGGTTTGATCCAGTTTTCTCTAGAGATCCCTATATGTTAGTCCCCAAATAACCTAGTTATTGTTGATCAGACTTTATTCACTTTGTCTTTGAATCTGAACTGAACTCAACAGTATTTTCTTTTTCAAAAGTTTGCCACTAGCTCAATTTGATTTTTCAATTTTGAGGAATATATTTATTAAAGGGGCATTATGGAAGATTAGATAAAGAGTTGACAGTTCTCACTATGTTAAAAAGATAGATAACGTAAATAGAATATGCTGAAAATTTTAGTCAAATTGCTCCACTCTGAACCAAGATATTAGCTCTTGAATTTTAGGCTAGCCTCAATCATCATTACTAAAGTCGGTACGATAAAAACAAAGTCTTGATTATCCAATTTCCTTTTGATTATCCATCTCAAAATGTATTCCCATCCAGTAAATATCGCAGGCTAGCGATGCCATCGAGAGTTGAATATGGTCTGAATAAGTTAATTAATGTCTATTTAATAGTTTATATAACATTTCCCGCCTAAAGAAAGACCTGCAATTGGCAGATTTAGTTCTTGCATATTGTATGTTGTTTAATTATGCCATTTTTAAATTATTTTTCCCATTTTTTTAATGTATTTTGAAAAGTATTACACCTTTGATATTTCAGGTGATGCCCCAATCATCATCCTTCTCTAGTCCACAAAATATTATATTACCTAACTCTATACCTGAAGCTCATGCAATGGTAAGTTGTATTCTTGTTATCAGGTCATATTTTACACAGGGTGTTGTTGGATGGCCGAATGGCTAGCATGTGCGCACTGTATCATAAGATCCGTCATTGAGTCAAATGGCGTGGTTTCGATTCCCCGGTTGTACATGGCAAGGAGTAGGGTCGCCTGTCCAACCTCGTGGGTTTTCTCAGTGTCCTCTGGTTTTCCTCCTACTGCTAAAGATCCTACGCGCAAGCGAATTATTGTAATAAAAATTGAACCATGTGTTAGTCCCGAAATGACCTTTTTTGTGTCGAGTGGATGTTAAACTTAATCTCTCTCTCAATGAAAATGTATTTTGTGTAATTTTTTTTCTCTCCAGCTACAGAAGTTACAAATAGAAAAACAATATACCGAATCCCTTCTAGATGGTACAAAACGTAGATATGAGGAAGAAATCATCGCCGTGGAAACATCTTTTAGGTATTAAATAACATTCCTTGATTTTATTGAATGCTTTATAGATTTTATTGCCGGTTGACTTCTGTGACTACAGGTCCTGTGTACAACTTGGTACCCGTCTTCATTAGCCCATTTGAAGCAGAACAGTGAGACGTTAAACCCCATTTCATTTCATTTCCTTACATACTGAGTTATCAAGGCTCCGACTGTCAGTAACCTTATTTCCTTAAAGATACATTATGGGTGATTAGATAAAGAGCTGGCAGTTCTCACTATAATAGTTAAAAACTAGATAATGTAATGGAAATATGCTGAAAATTTCAGTCAAATTGATCCACTCTGAATCAAGACAGCAGCTATTAAATATTAGGCCTAACCTCGATCATCATTACTAAAGTCGAGAGTTTATTAAGGTCTTTTAATGTTAATAAAATTAATAGTTTATATAACATTTCAGGCCTAAAGAAAGACCTACAATAGGCAGATTTACCTCTTGCATAATGTATTTTAAATATATTGTCGATTTTTTATTATGATGTAAAAGTTTTATAATTAATGGTTATCACGTTGTTTTACCAGAAATCGTATGAGAATTTTAGAAGAATCGAACTCGAAGAAAGAATCAAGGTAAGATATCTATAAACGTTGAATAATTGTTTATTATAAATGCTACAAGTCAGATTGCTCACAAAGTACGGAGTATAAAGAGATGTTCGTGAGGAATGGTCCGATTTCCTCCCACTGCTAAAGACCCCTACGCGCAAGCGAATTATTGAAATAAAAAAAATAAACTGTATGTTAGTCCCCAAATGACCTAGTTTGTGTCGAGTGGACGTTAAACCCCATTTCTCTCTATCTCTCTCGTGAGGAATGGGTGTTGGGATGGCTTACTGGTCTAGAGTATAAAGAGACGTTTGTGAGGAATGGGGGTTGGGATGGCTTAGTGGTCTAGAGTGTTGTCCTTTGAACTCTAGCTATTTGGACATCTGGCTTTTGGTCATGCTTTAGATTCCTGAAGGCGAATGTGGCTTGGAGATAGGGGTGCCTTCTCAACCCTCGTTGGGTTTACTAAGGGTTTTCTTCCATAGCAAAGAACCATGCGCGTACATTGGTGAGAGCAGAAGAAAAAAAAGAATGAATGACTGGCTTTTATGAAAAAGATAAAATTATTATACAGAGAGCTAGGTGAAACCTAGAGCCACGGTTGCTCAGTGGGTAAGACGCTGGCTCACTAGTCTGGAGGTCATGTGTTCTATCCCTGCATTGGCCGAGAAAGTTCATCGGGATTTTCTGTCAGTGTGCAGGGCGTAGGGTCTGACAAGAACAGCTGTCTAGTCGTTAGAATGGGACAAATACTGAGGTCCTGTGTATACATTGGCATGCTTGTTAAAGATCCTTGGCAGTTGGAATTCGATATAAGAGTAGACCTTAGTGCCACTGCCCGGGCAAAATTTCCCTCATAGCACACTGCATGACATATGCCCGACTTTATTAACCCAGTCGGAGCAGAATAGTAGGACACAAAACCCGATTTCATTTCATTTCAATTTTGCTAGGTAATAATTTGTTGACCATCATCCATATTTTATTGTTAAATTGTGTATTTAAACCTTATTCTGGCAGATTACGTGAAGAAAATGAACAACTAATGCAACAACATTTAACTCGTGTTCGTCAGATGGAAGAAGAGAAAGCAGAACTAGCCAATCAGAATTACAGTAAATTAGAAGAACTGGAAAGACAGAGAGCGAAAGATGTAGAAACTATTAAAGAACAACATCGGTGAGTTAACCCTTTAGCAATACTTCTAGAGCTCTCCATATTGTGGGACTATATCCATGGGATAGTTCTTGAGAGTTGCAACAGCTATTCACATGTCCAATCTGATTAAAATACAGATCTTTATTTCGTTTTGTTTTTTCGTACTTCCGATGGCCTCTACTACATGAAGATCTGACTAGTTGTTGTGAGAGGTCACGCCTAAGGGTCATACAAGCAGCTTCTGACCTTATGACGTCCTGCATTGGCCAAGAAAGTTCATCCAGATTTTCCGATGTGGTTTCCCCTTGTCAGTGGTGAAGAACGGAGGGCCTGACAAGGACGGCTGTCTAGTCCTTCGGATGAAACGAAAAACTGAGGTCCCGTGTATATATTTGAATGCACGTAAAAGTTGGAATTCGATATAAGAGTAGGCGATAGTGCCTCTGCCCGGGCAAAATTTCCCTCGTAGCACACTGTATGGCGTATGCCCGTCTTCATTAGCCCAGTATAAGAGCAGAACAGTAGGACGTTAAACTCCATTTCATTTCATTTCATTTCCTCATGACGTCAGACATTTCATTTACCAATCAGCATTGATGTTTCTAGTAGAATACTCACTGTTCCATGCATCGCACGCCAAGAACTTGCTGCAACAGATATAGGATCTGTGTTTTAATCAGATTGTTTGCACGTCTCGAGTTACTTGGGGTTGTATAAGACTCACAGGTTTTGGATTGTCTAAATGTTAACTTGGGCCCCCATCCTTCTTTCTGTCTGTAGTTCTGTCCCGGCTCTGTCTTTGGAATCTATCACATAACCAGTTCAAGGTATCTTTATGAAACTTGGAACACACGTCCACATAGTGGTTGTAGCCTATTGCTGATTACAAATTTCTAAGATTAATTACAGTAGTTAAAGGAGCTAAATCGCTAATATTTTGGACCTAGAAATTGGCACAAATGAGTCGCAACACATATAATAATGTAATACGAATTTATATAAACTGTTTTACATTCAATCGTGTCCGTTTTACTGTGAACTGTCATCAGTTATGTTCGGCGAAATACGCCAGAAGTGTCTGGTTATTCCAGTCAACCCCGATATTATTTATTGCGCATGCTCTCCAAATAAGAATATGATATCGCCGTTTGACATGACTTATGGAATATGTCTAGCCTCATTATTTGAGCACCTTGTTACAAATGGCGCTGATACGCATTATGGTACACGATTCGTGTACCAATGGTAAAATGTTTATTTTGTCTTAAATATTGGATATCAGAAGCCCGTCTTTTCCAGGTAAGATCACAACACCAATGCTGATTTAAATTGCAAAAAAATTCGTGTTTTCAATGTCGAAGATTTTGGATGATATTGAGTTACGGACTTAGCTACTTTAATGTCTTTTGCTAATCAGAAACTATGTGGATTTTATAATGGAAACAAGGGTGTAGCTTGTTTCTTCTTTATTGTAATTCTCTGTCAGAGTTCTATGTTTATACTTACAGGATTTCCTTCAGTATATTAAAACGTGAACACGAGGAAGCCATTGAAAGATTAAAAGAAGCAAAGAATCTAGAAATAAACGCTGTAGCTAATGCTAACGATACTTCAAGGTCAGTCTCTCTCTCTGTATCTGGTGGGTGTGGTCGTCAAGTTAAATGGTGTTATTTCGGTCCCACACCTCTATGCGACATGGATTAGGGTTGTGGGTTTTTTCTGGGTTCTCCGGTTTCCTCCCACAGCTACATAAAGCCCCCCCCCCCCCCCCCCCCCCCCCGGGCGTAATACTAGCACTATTTAAAAAAAAAGAAATCTTATGTCACAGACTCTGGATATAGTGCACATTCTTTCCAGTATATGTAATATGTGCCGATAACAAAAGTTATTTAAATCACTTATCACATGTGATGGACAATGTCAGTGTCTGACTTGCTTTTATCATCAAAGGAAAACATTTGTGATGAAAGTTATGTCATAACTCTCGACTTTTGTAGATTGGGGTACTAAAATGTTAGTAACAGAGTTCGCTGGTCGTTAAAATAACACGGAATAAAATCAATAAATTTTACGTTTTATAGGAGTTTAACGGCTGTAGTGGAACAGATTCAGACTAGTGCCAAAGATATAGGATCTCTCCAATCTCAAGTTGAGAGTATACATCGTAGTGGTCTGGATGAAAGGGAGATAAGTCTAAAAGCTAAAGATGAACAACTTAAAAGTAAGTGAATGCTGTGGATATAAAGTTTATATTCTGGGATAATATTTGTATTTATATACTGGGATAATATTTGTTTTTACTTATTGGGATAATATTTGTTTTTACCTACTGGGATAATATTTGTATTTATATTCAGGATTTGTATTTATATTCTGGGATAATATTTGTATTTATTTACTGGGATAATATTTATATTCTGTATAATATTTGGTTTTATATACTGGGATAATGTTGGTATTTATATTCTGGGATAATATTTGTATTTATAATCTGATATAACATTTGTATTTATATTCTGAGATAATATTTGTATTTGTATTTTTATACTGATATAATAGTTGTATTTATATTCTGGGATAATATTTGTAATTATAGTCTGATATAATAGTTGTATTTATATTCTGGGATAATATTTGTATTTATATTAGATACACTGTTAGTGGGTTGGGTTGCCGAATGGTTTAACACATGCATGTTAGATCATAAGGTATGTCTTTGAGTCAACTTGCGTGGTTTCAATTCCCTGCTTGTACGTGACAAGGAGTAGGGTCATCTGTGTAACCTCACGGGTTTTCACTGGTTCCCTGTTTTCCTCCCACAGTTAAACACCCAAGTAAAATAGTCCCAAATTACCTAGTTTGTGTAAAGTTAAATCTCTCTCTCTCTGAAATCTCTGACTGAAATCAGTCCTACCACAGTATAATACAAAATCATTTATTCCCATTTTAAGCTAAGTTAAGCTTGATTCATTTGTATGGCATTATGTTCATATATTTATGTATAATTATATTTAGGTTTACAAGAACGATTATCCAGACAGGAAGAAGATAATGAACGTGAACGAAAGAGACTGGAAGATCTAATTGCAAGAATGGAGACACAAATGCGTGAACAGACCAGACTTTTAGATGAAGTAATAAAAACATTAAGCTATGATGGGTGTGTGTGGGGGAGCAAAGGTTATAATGGATGCTCTTTACATCATTTGGTCTGGGGTTTTGGGGGCAGGGGAGGTGAATGGTCTAATGCATGCTCTGTACATCATGCATGACGTCTGGGGTTTGTGTGTGTTGGGGCGGGGGGGGGGGGGGGGCGAGTGGTCTAATGCATGCTCTGTACATACATGCATGAGGTCTGGGGTTTGTGATGGGGGAGGCGATTGGTCTAATGCATGCTCTTCACATCATGAGGTCTGTCATTGAGTCAAATACCATGGTTCTCAGGTGCCAAGCTTGTACATGACAAGGAGTAGGGTAGTCTGTCCTCCAGTTTTTCTCCCACTGCTAAAAAAAAAAAGAGCTATGCACAATCAAATTATTAAAATAAAATTGTACCCTATGTTAGACCCAAAATATCCTATTTGATCAGTAACCCTGTCAGTGAAATGATGAAAATATATTTATATTTATCAGGAAAGATGGAAGATGAAAGGTGACATGAGTCGACTTGAAGCCAATCAAAGATCTTTAGAGGAGGAGAAGAGAATGTGGCTAGAACAACAGTCACGAGAACGTGCTGCTCTCGAACGAGCCAGGGTAAGTCAACAGTCACGAGAACGTGCTGCTCTTGAACGAGCCAGGGTAAGTCACGAGAACGGGCTGCTCTTGAACGAGCCAGGGTAAGTCAACAGTCACATGAACGTGCTGCTCTAGAACGAGCCAGGGTAAGTCAACATATACAGGACTCAGATCAGTTAATATTTCCCCTGATTTCATGATTTCTCTGTCAATGATTCTCCCGTCACATTTTATCAGAATTAAGAGAATTGCAATCAAGTGAAGCAGAATTCTGTTTTACCAATTCTACCAGTCCCGATAACTGAAGTGGTGTGAGTAGAATCATGACGTAATTAAACCTAATGAATATGTTTCAGGTATCATGGTTGGTTGAGATATTATCATATGCAATTGACGCATGTGTTGAAACATGATATCCCCCTTTTCACTGGATTGTCACTATTTTGGGGTATGAGAGAATTCAATTCCAGAACGTCCAATCTACTATCCCCTCAATGATATCTACTTTTAAAGATTTATTTACGATTTTTTTCTTGATTAGGAAAATTTCCAAGAAGAAAATCGCACAGCATTAAGTCAACTAAACAATGAGAGGAGAAATCTGGCGGAGGAAAGAATGAAGTGGACCGTAGATTTAAAACTAAGTCGTGAACAATCACATCAAGAAGCTATCAAAATGGCCCAGGTAGGAGGACATTCAGTAATTTTTAGAAGTAGAATGAAAAAGGTGTTTTAACTTTTTCGGTACCAATAAGCTAATGATTTGTGCTATGAGGGAAATTTTGACCTGACAGCACTGAGAGAGGCAGAGAAATGTGGTTTAACGTCCACTCGACACAAACTAGCTCATTTCGATACTAACATATGGTTCTATTTTATTTCTATAATTGGCTTGCGCGTAGGGCTCTTTAGCAATAGGAGGAAACCGAAGGACCCGGAGAAAACCCACGAGGTTGGACAGGCAACCTTACTCCTGGTCAAGTACAGCTGGGGAATCGAAACCACGCCAGTTGACTCAATGACAGACCTTATGATACAACACATACGTGCTAACCATTCGGCCATCCATACATCTATCTGGTTATTGACCCAATGCTACACACAAAAAATTATCCAGGAATTCTGTAACTGCAAGTTGTCGTTATATTTTATCAGTTTCAAATATACCAGTCAAATATTTTTATTCTATTATTCAGACGGAAGCAGAATATGAAGTTTTAACAAAATCAATTGCCGAGGAGAAAACAAGATCATCTGCTCGAAAACAGGAATTACAGATGGAAGAAGATCGAATCGCCAACGAAAGGGGTTGTCTTGAACGAGAGAAATTTTCAATCGAAAAAGAAAAAGAACGTTTATCTAATATGGCATTACAGATGAAATCTAAATCAGCTGAAATTGATTCAATGACTGAGGTAAGTCCCTGTTGCTAGGTGGTAAATCCTTGTTGCTAGGTTGTGAATCCGTGTTGCTAGGTGGTGAATCTGTGTTGCTAGCTGGTGAATCTATATTCCTAGGCAGTGAATCTATGTTGCTTGGTGGTAAATCCATGTAGCTGGGTGGTGAATCAATGTTGCTAAGTGATAAATCTCTCTATTGTGATTCCCTGTTGTTAGGTGGTAAATAGGTGGTGAGATAAGTCTCTGTTGCTAGGTGGTGAATATATCGTGCTAGGTAGTTGATATATGTTGCTAGGTGATGAGTTAAGTCTCTGTTGCTAGGTGGTGAATCTCTGTTACTAGGTGGTAAATCCTTGTTGATTGGTGGTGAGATACATCTCTGTTGCTAGTTGGTGAGGGAAGTCTCTGTTGCTTGGTGGGGGGTTGGATGGCCACATGACCCCATACCTTGTCACTTACAACCGAAGAATCAAAACCACGCCAGTTGTCGCAATGACAGACGCACGTGCTAACCATTCGGCCATCCAACCCACGCTCATCAATCAGCAGGTAAGTAACTCTTGTGTAATGTTTATTGTAGATGGCGAACAGAACTCAGAGTGAAGGAGATAGATCATTAATGGAGGCTAAAAACGTTGAATCTCAACAGAATCAAAGATTGGCTAAAATACAACAAGAATTACAGCAATTAAAGTCAATGGAGGACAATATGGCTCAGGTAAAAAAATCAACATCTTCCCAATATTTTGTTCAGTATATTAGGCGATGCCGCGAACAATTGAGGTCACATGTAAAGATGCAGCATGTTACAGATTATCGACTGTTATTTAAAAATTAAAATAAAAGTTAGCTGTAGTGCCACTGTCCAATCTGGTTAAAACACAGATCCTATTTCGTTTCGTTTTTTATAGTTCAAAATCTCATTTTACTTGTCTTTACTACACTAAAATCTGGAAGAGTTGTTAATAACGATGCACAGAATTGTGGGTGTCCTACTAGAAACATCAATGCTCATTGGTTAATCAAATATCTGACGTCATAGGGTCAAAAGCCACTTGTACACTCATATGACCGCTGACGGGACCACCAAATACATCTGGTCAGATCTTCATGTAGTAGAGACCATCGAAAGTATTAAAAAACGGAACGAAATATAGATCTGTATTTTAATCAGATTGTGCAACTGTCTATGTGCATGCCAATGTATACACGGGACCTCGGTTTTCCGTTCCATCCGAATGACTAGGAAGCCACGTCAGAAAATCACGATGAACTTTCTTGGCCAATGAAGGGATCAAACACACGATCCCCAAGCTAGCGAGCCAGCGTCTTACCCACTTAGCCACCGTGGCTCCTGTTTAAAAGTAGAAAGTAAACAATCATGTAATGTAATGTACAACTGAAAACTGGGATTATTTGAATTATTAAATCTAAATATATAGTTGTTTTAAAATTCCTTGTTTTTATTTTAGGAGAAATTAAAGATAAGTAAAGAAAGAGAAGAATTACAGAATTTACGGAATTCAGCTTTATGTGTGAATTGCCGTTCACCGTTAAATGGAGCAGCTCCACCTAATGGTATTCCAAGTAAGTTTCACAGACACTTTAAGCAGAATAACTCTTCAAAATTTGGCCAATGGTTCAATTCTCAAATCAAATGAAAAAAATTAGGTCAGCAGTAGACATGTTATGGCCTGTCAACCGCAAAACGACAAATGGAATTAGATTTCCGATGAGATGATTCGATTCTCTGGCTGTAATCAGCTTCTTGCTGGCGATCAAACAACAATAAATAATTTATTTGTATTTTATTTTAGTGATCAATTCATCTCAAGTGATGATGTCATCACCCATACCAGGAGTGCATGCTGGGAGATATTCTAGTGTGATGTCCAATGGTTTAGGTAGAGGTCAGCTGTCCATGAATGCCATAGAAACCATTACATCATCCATAGCTGCGGACAGATCCATCAGAATGTGGAAAATACAAGCTTTAAAGGTGAGTGTGGCTCAGTGAAAAAGGCGCAGGCTCTTTAATTGAAAAAAAAAGTCTGGGAAATCCCAGATTTTATCTCAGTGTTGGGCCTGAAAGTTCCTCAAGAAGTCTTGGTTATGCCCACTTTCTTTAGTCCATCCTTAGTATCCCCAGTGGTCTCATTCCTTTCTGCTCCACTATACCTTGGATTCATCCATAGGGTTTTCACGATTTCAAATTATCTGCTCTAATTGTAGCTTGAGTCTGCGTACCAATCAAAAACAGTTTACATACTAAGACTCTTCAGCCTTTTTGTTTATGTTCACAACAATATAGCGGCTTGTTGCAACATAATGAGAGTTATTACTCTTCGCCAACCTACTTTGCAATTGACGATTTATGGGACTGGTCACAATCATCACGAGCAGATAACTTAAATACGTGCCCCCACCCCCATGGATTAACCCAGAGGTTACTGGAGTAGAACGGAATGAGACCACTGCGGAAACCGAGGATGTCTTTAGCCCAGTTGGATCAGAAAATTTCAATAATGAATGGTTTGATATTTTTTGTGTCACTGTCTATTAACCAAAATATTTAACTTTATTTTTATGTTTTGTTTCTGTCTTGGCAGGATAAAGATTATTTAGAAGAAGAAAGTATGTTTCTAGAGACATTAAAACATTCACCGTATCATGGTGGAGAGAAATCATTTCATTGACGTTAATTTTACTTACTTCTTATTTTGATTCTTCTTTATCCTTGATTACAAGCAATTGACCTTATGGAGACCGTGAGGTAAAGCACATTACATGTACCCTATATGGTTGTGTAAATAGATAAGATGTAAAATTTTACTTGCCAGTGAATTTTTAATAGCCATGTTACAGTGAATTTGAAATAACAATGTTATGTTACAGTGAATTTTAAATAACTATGTTACAGTGAATTTTAAATAGTTATGTTACAGTGAATTTTAAATAACTATGTTAATTTTAAATATCTATGTTACAGTGAATTTTAAATAGCTATGTTCAAGTGAATTTTAAATACTTATGTTACAGTGAATTTTAAATAGCTATGTTACAGTGAATTTTAAATAACTATGTTACAGTGAATTTTAATAAGCTATGTTACAATGAATTTTAAATAGTTATGTAAAGTAAATTTTAAATAACTATGTTATGTTATAGTGAATTTTAAATAGCTGTGTTACAGCGAATTTAAATAACTATGTTACAATGAATTTTGAATAGCTATGTTAGAATGAATTTTGAATAGCTATGTTACAGTGAATTTTAATATCTATGTTAAAGTGAATTTTAAGTAACTATGTTATGTTACAGTGAATTTTAAATAGCTATGTTACAGTGAATTTTAATAAGCTATGTTACAATGAACTTTAAATAGTAATGTTACAGTGAATTTTAATAAGCTATGTTACAGTGAATTTTAAATAGCTATGTTACATTGAATTTTAAACTATGTTACAGTGCATCGTTGTGCAGCAGCAAATTTTTAAAACAATGGAATGAAAAGGGGTTTTAACATCTGGTCAGCACAATACATTGGTTATTTTGAATCTAACAAATTTTAAAAAAATTATTTCTGGATTCAAACTACTCAGTTATTGAAGTGTTTTATTGAAATAATTTGTGATCAGTGGGTTTGTAAAGGATTGTTTTGAATGTTTATAATATAGTAAATGAACGTAGATATACAATGTTTTTAATATATATTGTAGACATATAGTATTATTAATAGAGGAAGTGGTGCTATAAAGAAATAGATATACATTGTTGTTATTTATAACATAATAACCTTAAGTTTCATATAAGTAGTAACATGGTGTCATACTAGAGGCAGGGTATGCATACTCCATCTAGAACAACTGATACTATGGACATGGACTGGAATAGTAAAAAGTGTTGTACTAGAGACAGTGTATGCTTACTCTATCTAGAACACCTGGTATCACTTATACTACATACAGGAGTAGTAACAAGTGTTGTACTAGATGCAGGGTATACTTACTTCATCTAGAACATCTGATACCACAACTATATACAAGTAGTAACATGGTGTGACACTAGAGACCAGATATGCTTACTCTATCTAGAACATCTGATACCACTTATACTATATACAGGGACTAGTGACAAGGTGTCATACTAGAGGCAGGAAAGAACACATCATACCACTTATACTATATACCGGGAGTAGTAACATGGTGTCATACTAGATGCAGGGTGTGCTTACTCCATCTAGAACACCTGATATTACTACTATATACAGGGAGTAGCAACATGGTGTCATACTAGATGCAGGGTATGCTTACTCCATCTAGAACAACTCATACCACTTATATTATATACTGGGAGTAGTGAAAAGGTGTCATACTAGAGGCAGGATATTCTAGAAGATATGATACCATTTCTCATTCCTAACTTATTTAAGTTGTAATCCATTAAAATCCTTCTTCATGTTAGACTTAACTATGTCTCTTTAATAATATTAAACATGCATTATGAAAGAGCTGTCTATTGCAGGTCTTTCTTTAGGCCAGAAATGTTATCTAAATTATTAATTAGACATTAATTAACTTATCCAGACCATAATCAACTCTAGATGACATCGCTAGCCTGCAATCTGTAGTGGATTGTGAACCGATTTACTGCATAACTTTCCTTCACGATTGAACGATTAAATGGATAATCAAGACTATGCTGTTTATTGTACTGACTTTAGTAATGATGAACAAGGCTAGGCAGAAATTTCATTCGCTTAATTCTGGGTTCATAGTGGATCAATTTGAATGAAATTTTCAGCAAATTGTCTTTACGTTATCTAGTTTTTAACTATTATAATGAGAACTGCCAACTCGTTATTGAATCTCCCATAATGTATCTTTAAACTGTTAACTTATCAGTTTTAAATGGCCAGTAAGCATGATTTTATAATATTTGAATATACAATTTGATGAGAGTCTGTTTAGTAAGTAGTGAAAAATGAAAAAAAGTTTTATGTGGTCAGAATGTTTTAGCTTTAAAGCCTATGATATTGTCAAAATGTTTTAGCTTTAAAGCTTATTTTGTCAAAATGTTTTAGCTTTAAAGCTTATTTTGTCAAAATGTTTTAGCTTTAAACCCTATGATATTGTGATATTAGAATGTCTAGTTCAGTACTTACAAATACTAAAGGGTTATGTGTTCGATTAATCGATTCAGATGTTATGGTTGTGATCCAGGGGCATGTACGTAACAAGGAGTCTGGTCGACGACCTAACCTCGGTGGTCTTCTCTTAGTTCTTGGGCTGCTAATTGATCCCTTCCCACAAGCAAAATATTAAAATAATGTTAGTCCCCAAAATGACCTTTTTATTTTTGGGGGTGGATGTTAATTCTTATTTCTCTCTTTAGTTTGAATAAAAATATCTATTTATGACCTGTACATTGTGTCTTGTAAATGGTGCCTATATAGACTTGAACATATCAGTTTTGTATATTGTGTCTTGTAAATGGTGCCTATATAGACTTGAACATATTAGTTGATTTTATATTCAGTAATAAAATTAATAAACTATTTAATAAACACTTACTTTGTTATTTTCTAAAGAATGTGAAAATCTGTTAAATTGGTTGAAAACCTGAGGGGAATCACGGTGGCCTGGAGGTCGGGTGTTCGATCCCTGCATTGGCCGAGAAAGTTCATTCAGATATTCCGGCGCGGTTCACCCTTGTCAGTGATGCAGGACGGAGGGCCTGACAAGGACAGCTGTCTAGTTCTTTGGATGATACGAAAAACCGAGGTCCCGTGTATACATTGGAATGCACGTAAAAGATCTCTTGGCAGTTGGAATTTGATGTAAGTGTAGGTGATAGTACCGCTGCCCGGGCAAAATTTCCCTCATAGCACACTGTATGGCATATGCCCGTCTTTATTAGAGGAGCAGAACAGTAGGACGTTAAACCCCATTTCATTACATTTTGAAAACCTGAGGTCTACCCGAGCATACATTGGCGTGTATGTAAATAAAAACTTGGGACTTGGAAAAAGAAGAAGAGTAGACAGAAATGCCACTGCCTGGGCAAAGGTTTTATACCTCACATTGCTTATGTAAACAATGTATGCCTCACAATGCTCTTGTAACCATGGGGGGGGGGGTTGGATGGCTGAATGATTAGCGTGTGCAGGTTTTATCATAAGGTCTGTCATTGAGTCAACTGGCGCCCCCCGGTTGTACATGACTAGGAGTAGGTCTGTCATTGAGTCAACTGGCATGGTTACGATCTAGTCATGTCCAACCAGGGAATCAAAACCACACCAGTTGACTCAATGACAGACCTTATGATGCAGCTCGCCCACACTAACCATTCGGCCATCCAACCCCGCTTTTTTGAATAATATACAAGAATGTAATAACAAAGATAGTGAAAGATGATAACCTTCACCAACTTCTCTTCTAGCGTAGGACAAGTCTGGAATATACGGGCGAAATCCCATTTCTGGTAGGGACCCCTGCAAAACCTCATGAGTTTTCTTCGGGTCCTCCGGTTTCTTCCCACTGCTGAAGACCTCTACGCGCAAGCAAATTGTTTAAATAAAATTGAAGCATATGTGTGCGTGGGCCGGAGATCTAGATTATACACCAACTGGGTGTGGGCCCAAGTCTAGGTTATACTCCTATTGGGTGTGCGCCAGAGATCTAGGTTATACTCCTATTGCGTGTGGGTCAGAGATCTAGATTATACACCAATTGGGTGTGGGCCCGAGATCTAGATTATACACCAATTGGGTGTGGGCCCGAGATCGAGGTTATACACCAATTATTAAAACAAAATTGTACCGAAATCCTGAAGAACTTTGAGGGTTTGTGTTGTCTAGTAGTTGATTTTTTAACTTGACATATTTTTTCTTATTGTTATTATTTACCATGTAGCCATTAGAAAAACAAACCCAAAAATATACAAGAAAAATTTATTGGTCATCTGAACTCCTCTGGTATTCTTATTATACATAATAATCTTGCTCTCTGCCTCACACGGAAGACTTTGATTCATTTTAGGCTAATATATTTATTCAAATTTCACTAACAAATATACATGTATCTATAGAAATAATTTAATATAAAAAAAAAACAAATCTCGAGATATTAATTTGGGACAATGGAATAGATCTAAAGACTATTAGTTGTCTTAAACACAAAGAAGATGCTCAAGCTCGATTGAAGGTTCCGGAATTGAGAGAGAGAGAGAGATGGGGTTTGACATCCACTCGACACAAACTAGGTCATTTCGGGACTAACATATGGTTTGATTTTATTTCAATAATTCGTTTGTGCATTAGGGTCTTTAGCAGTGGGAGGAAACTGGAGGACCCAGAGGAGCCTACTCCTTGTCACGTACACCCGGAGATTCGAAAACCACGCCAGTTGACTCAATGACAGGCCTTGTGATACAGTGCGCGTTTCAAAATGCATGAAAACGATAAGAGAATTATTGTAGAAACATAGCTCTGTTTAAAAATCCAAGTATGTGTTTTCCATAGACATTGTGTTTAAATTCAATAACTAAATGTGGTTTTAAAATTATATTTCTAGTCTTGTTGGCTCAGCTATTCCAGAGCTGACACGATTCAAAATAATAATATATTCAAGTTTAATTTATTTTATCATGGAAATCTATAGAAATAATTTTCAAATAAATTAAAAATCAGTAATCAAGACTAGCAATGCAATGACGCTGGCTAGCAGGCTCGGAATAAGAGAGCCCTGAGAGGGCCAAATGGGCTGCAGCCAAGGGCCCAAATATTAAAGGGGCACCGAAATTAATGATTTTATTATTTATATTGTATTATATGTTTGTGCCAAATAAATCTATCTTTCTATCATATTGACATATAAATTGTATTTGTGTTGTGTGACTAGAATATGCTCCCTTTTCACTGTTGATGCAAGGGCCCCTAGAAATAATTTGTACATGCCCGGTATGAGGTCACATCCCTTAATAAATGAATTATATTTCAGTTTGAAAGAAATCTCTTAACTTTGATTGTAAATAAATAAAATTTTAAGAATGGCACTTTACTATAATTTTTAAGCATGGCACTTCACTATAATCTTAAGCATGACATTTAACTATAATGTCAGCTGACCTTGATTTTCAGAATGGCAGCTCACTGTGATTTTAATAATTACAATTCATTGTGATCTCTAGAATGGCAGCTCACCACAATTTTAAGAATGGCAGCTCACCACAGTTTTAAGAATGGCAGCTCACCGCAATTTTAAGAATACCAATTAACTGTGATTTTAATTCACACAATTCATAACGATTTTAAGAATGACAGCTCACTTTGACTTTAAGAATGGCAGTCCACCTGGATTTTACGAATGGCAGCCTACTGTAATTTTAAATCATTTAGGTTTTTATGAATGTTGGACATATGTTAATATAAATTATTTCATAGCCATGAGCTGTGCTAAACCAGGTAATATCTGACCTTGAATAGGACAGGGGTCACATCTTTCTCCATCTATCATTATATTACCGCCGGGAGACAGTGGTTCCAGTCGAAACGCTAAACAACGAACTAGTTCAACGTGCGGAGAATCCACATGGTTACCCTCATTAAAGGTCATAAAGAGATTTAATAAGGCATTTCTAGAAATACCCTGCCGAATGAACATTAAATATATAAACCCGTCGTTTATGTGCGCGTTAGGTGCGGCCAGCATGTCTGATCCCAGATGAGTCTGATATAGGGCCCCAGCTAAAACAAACTCGTCTTCAATCACAACCCAACCTTCCGGTACCGGTTGATCAAGAGGCGACATTAGTGGTGTTGGAACGGGCATCCCTTCGCGTTTTGTGGCTACAATTACTTCCTGTTCAATTTGCATGTCTCCATTTTCAGCTGCAGCGGTCAAATACTCAGTTTCTTTTTTCACTGTACAGTCAGAGGTTATCACAGGTTCACCCAAAATTCCACCATTTTGTATTTCAACATGTCTGCCGTCTCCATTTATTTCAGTTTTGGCTTTGTTTCCGTTTTGCAAGTCCGAAATATTATCATTGATTACACTTTGATTGTTAAAGTTTACGTCTGATATTGACGGATTTTCAACATTTGCTGCAGAATTATTTACAGTTTGTGCTGTCAAATCTGTATCAACATTGAATCCATTTTCTAACGATTCTCCAATGTTTGAACTTTGACCCTCAGATGAACTCTGACCTTCAATTTCATCTTGGGAATTAACTGTTGATTTACTGCCACTGTGACTACGTAACGAGAATCTTCGTATCTTGGTCAAAAGTTTATTTGAATTATTTTTATTTTCAGGATTATTTTTGGGAATGTAATCAGTAACTGGCAGGAATGAAAGTCGAGCTTTATAGTTTCTTAAACCTGAAACAGGAAAAAGCAAAAACATTCATGTACATTTTCATAACTTATTTGATATAAATCAAAAGTAGCAGTGTTCTAGATAAACCACAAACCAATCTGTTTAAAAGACAGATCTATATTTCGTTTTGTTTTTTTATATTTCGATGGCCTACACTACATGAAGATCTGACCAGTTGTACTGGAAGTAACGTCATGGGTCATAAAAGCCTTTTTTGACCCTGACATCGTCAGACATTGTTTAATCAATCAGCGTTGACGTTTCTAGTGGTTGACCCACAGTTCCGTGCATACACGCCAAGAAGTTGCTGTAACAGATGGTTTAATTATTGGTTAATCCCTCACGCCATCCAGAATGTCTGTTATATAACAACTCTTCCAGATCCTAGTGTAGTACAGACAAATAAAACGAAATTTTGAACTATAAAAATTGAAACGAAATAGATTGACCACAAACTGACTAGTGACGTGTTGGAATTGTCATGTCAAAACTAAGGCTGTGCAAAAATATCGATATAATCGATAATCGGTAGAAGTTATTTAGCGATACGATAATCGATATTGAAATTCAAATATCAATTATCGGTATATTTACCTTCTGACGGCAAGTTACGGTCACTTTCACATGACTGAAATTGCCGTAGTCTGGCATTAGCAGACGAATGAATGAATACACAACGTCAACACAACTATTTCCCCCCTCTGCTTACAAACTGCCACATTTTAAATATATATTATTGTAAAAATACTAAACTTTAAGATTAAATACATTATTTTAATATTTTCGTTGTTTTTGTTGTTATTACTAGTTGAAACTAAAATAGATCACGCACTTTGTGAACAATGATAATCGCACGTGATATATAGTAAAATTAGAATTATCTCCCTTCTTTGTTCTTGGTTGATTTGTAGAGAAATCGTCTGCTTTCACGATAAAACTAATTGTATTATTAATGATCAACTCCGCTTTTATTACTAAATCATGTCAGATACAGCCCATACAAAACACGTTTTTGACTTCCAGGGAAAATATCTATATCTCTCGTAATTTCGTGGAAGAATTCTACTTTGGTTTTCATCTAAATTAACCAATCATAAAAATTCTACTTTGAAAGCCCGTAATTATTTTTTTATTGTCCAATCAATAGACGCCTTCTATTTTATTTTATTCTATTAGTAGTAACACTGTGTGATCGCCAGTCACTTGCAAAGAGAAACCATGTATTGTCTTTGTATTTATCGGAGATAAAAAAAGGTTCAAATGAATCAAGAACAGAACTTAGAATAATACTCAAGTTAGTCCTACATTTAGCAACTAATTATTTTACATTAATTGATTTTTTTACGTACATCGGCACAGTATTAGACTAGGATAATAACACTACTGTAACTCGATCAACACAAATAACAGGTCGGTAAAGTTCGGATTTTTCCGAAAAAAGATAATCGATTATTATCGATAATCGCTGACAAATTCTTGCCGATAATCGATATTGAAATTTCATATCGATTCCCAGCCTTACTCAAAACTGAAGTCTGTCAGATGTCACAACTCATTGTTAGGTTGGCAGGTAACGAAATATGCGCACAGAGAAGCAAAGCCGTCTGAGCAGTTGTCATTTGTAGTATATTTCTTCTTTAGTAACGGGAGCATTTACAAGACACTTTCATAAAGTTCATACCGATCGGATAATTTTTTTCGTTGGGTTTACAAAGTGAAACAAGGGTTGTAACTCTAGGCATATTTAATGGAATTTGCTGCAGTTCATTCGGCTCCAGAGAAAACCCACAATGTGACCCTACTCCTTCTCACATACAAGCTGAGGTTCAAAACCATGCCAGTTGACTCAATGACAGACCTTATGATACAGCGTGCACATGCTATGATTCGGCCATCCAACCACAGACCTTATGATTCAGCCCCCCCCCCCCTGTGCTCGCCAACGGGGGAAATGCCCTCCTCCACCCCTCTTAGAGGGGGTTATCTGGCAGCCTGTTTGTTCATAAATCTGAGGACAATATTTACCAATAATTCTTTTAATAGCACCTATAGTAAATCTAGCCTCTCCCATACTTCTATACTGTTCACTCTCAAAATCAATATCGGCTAGTAGACCCCAAGTTACAGATAGAAAGGAAAAATATTTCTTGGAGGGTGTCTGAACTAAAACCAGATCCATGGGTATAATTCGATGTTTTATCAAAATGAAAGTAGAATGAAGAACAAGGTCATGTAATACTGGTTCACTGAAAGTAAGAATAAAAAAATAATAATAAAATATAATTTTTATAATAATATTAGGTAGCAGAGAGAGAATTAAAAGGGTGATTTAACGTACACTCAACACAAACTAGGTCATTTTGGGACTAACATATGGTTAATTTTTGCTCTGTTTAATAGTCTTTAGATAAAGAGAGAGAGAAATGGGGTTTAACATCCACTTGAAACAAACTAAGTGATTTCCGGACTAACATATGGTACAATTTTATTTCCCTAACTTGCTTGCTTGTAGGGGTCTTAAGCTGTGGGAGAAAACCAGAGGACCTGTGAAAGTCCACGAGGTTCAGCGGCGACCTTAATGTCCTTGTCATGTAAAAGTGTGGGCTCAAAACAATGCAACTTGACTCATTCATAGACCTTACGATTTAAAACATTCATTCTCCCAATTTCCTAGAAGTTCGCATAACGTATTACCAGTAAACAAAATAAATTAAATATACTAGAACGGAGGCTCAGCGCGGGGGGGGGGGGGGGGTTGCTTTGTCCATCAAATGGGCACAAAACCAGACCCTACTTTTCTAGAGTAAAATTTTGCGTAGAATACGATGCCGAGTGGTAATCAGTCTGCCGTTGGGGAGTTTTTGAGATATTCGGGGTCAAAGGTCAAATGGGTTCATTTGCACTGAAAGTGAATGCACATAAATATACATAAATAAACATAAATTTTAAAAACACAGGCAAGTGGGAACCGGGCTTAGGAGAGAGAGAGAGAGAGAGAGAGAGAGAGAGAGAGAGAAATGGATTTAACCACCACTCGACACAAACTAGATCATTTCGCGGAAAAACACATGGTTCAATTTTATTTCAATAATTCGCTTGAGCATAGGGGACTTTAGCAGTGGGAGGAAACCGGGAGGACCAAAGAAAACCCATGAGGTTGGACAGGCGACCCTACTCCTTGTCACATACAACCGGAGAATCAAAACCATGCTAGTTGACCCAATGACAGACTGTGCGCATGTGCTAACCATTTGGACATCCTCCCCACCCCCCGCATGACATTCTAATCAAATCACCAGTCCCCATCCTGTTGGACCACCGTGGCCGAAAAAAATATACAGTTATCACCACACCTCCCTCCCCCTGTTGGACCACCACGGCCCCAGATATACAGTCAACTCACCCAGCTGCATAATTTATAGAACAACAGAGGGCATTTCCTGACCCTCCTGGAAGACAACCAACAGGTAATTTGATAGCAGATTTCCAATCTTCTCGAGACATTAACCCATTGATAACCTACAATAAAAATACATGCCACCATTTTCTTGAAATAAAACAATAAGAAAAGAAATGAAATCTAAAGTCCTACTTTCTTGGACCATCTGGACTCGTGAAGATTGTAATGCAGTGAGTTCTCAGGGGAATTTTTTTCTGTCACAAACAAAAACCTAAATGCTTTTGTTTGCCAGTCCCAACTGCAGTACTGACTATGGGAAACAAGACTAGAAAATCTTCCTGAGGAATCAACACTGTGAAAAAGGCCTGAATAAAACCCAAATGAGATCCCTACTCACCTCATAGAGAAGACCATCACCAGATAAAATAACAACACCATACCATTCATTTAAAACTAAATCTTTCATTAGTTCCTCACCATGACCACCATGATCTACAAAATATAACATTTACACATAAATATCTAGTTCATTAGTTTCTCACCATGACCACCGTGATCTATAAAATATAACATTTATACATAAATATCTAGTTCATTAGTTCTTCACCATGACCACCGTGATCTATAACAACACCATACCATTCATCTAAAACTAAATCTTTCATTAGTTCCTCACCATGACCACCATGATCTACAAAATATAACATTTACACATAAATATCTAGTTCATTAGTTCCTCACCATGACCACCGTGATCTATAAAATATAACATTTATACATAAATATCTAGTTCATTAGTTCTTCACCATGACCACCGTGATCTATAACAACACCATACCATTCATCTAAAACTAAATCTTTCATTAGTTCCTCACCATGACCACCATGATCTATAAAATATAACATTTATACATAAATATCTAGTTCATTAGTTCTTCACCATGACCTATAAAATATAACATTTATACATAAATATCTAGTTCATTAGTTCTTCACCATGACCTACAAAATATAACATTTATACATAAATATCTAGTTCATTAGTTCTTCACCATGACCTATAAAATATAACATTTATACATAAATATCTAGTTCATTAGTTCTTCACCATGACCTACAAAATATAACATTTATACATAAATATCTGGTTCATTAGTTCTTCACCATGACCTACAAAATATAACATTTATACATAAATATCTAGTTCATTAGTTCTTCACCATGACCTACAAAATATAACATTTATACATAAATATCTGGTTCATTAGTTTCTCACCATGATCTACAAAATATAATATTCAAAAACATATGTCATACACAGTTTGACAGTTTGGTTAAGGCAGTTATACCTTTGTGACTCACTGAGTACTGACTGAAAACTAGCTATCTAACCAGGTTTCAAGTTTGTTACCCGTTTTGGGGAGAAAGTTCCTCTGTATTTTTCAGTGTGGCTTTTCCTTGTTAGTAGTGCAGGATGGAGCATCTGGCATGGAATAGTGTCTCGTCATTTAGATCGGACAAAAATCAAGAGCACTAGAGTTGGAATTTCCCTCATTGTATATGTTATATATCACAATAATTCTAAAGTAAATTTGTAAAGTTTAAAAGTTAATTGTCATATGAGATTTTGTTTTAATGTGAATCGCTTTATCAAAAATAAATTATTACTATTATTATTATATTCACCTGTTATTATCATTTTATATGGTATATCAGCATCTGTTATCATTGGTAATATTTCTTGTTTAAATATAGAAACAGCTCGACCGGGACCACTCTTTGGATTCACCAATATCAGGAGCTTCTTTCTTAATGGTGGAACACATGATTCAAGATCTGGTGAGAAAAAAAATAAAACAGGAGTATTGTGTCTATTGACACTAGAAGATTTAAAATCATTCACTAGAATTCCTCAGAAAAAAATGTTTTAACAGATTAATTGGATGTCATTTATGTGTGGACAAGTCAAGCAATACGGTGTGGACAATAAGTCAACCAATACCGAGAGGATGACAACTATTATCGTGTGGACAAGTCAACCAATACCATGTGGACAAGTCAACCAATTCCATGTGGACAAGTCAACCATGTGGACAAGTCAACCATGTGGACAAGTCAACCAATACCGTGTGGACAAGTCAACCAATACAATGTTATTAGTTATTTATGCTCAATCTGCAATTTTCACTTGAGAAACATAGGTGCAATTCGTCATTTTCTGACAAATGAATCGGCAGCAATTTTAATCAGATCTTTGGTAATGTCACGATTAGATTACTGCAACAGCTTACTAACTGGTGTGTCATTGGAGCAGTTATCCAAATTACAAAAATTACAGAACAGAGCAGCCAGAATTGTGACCAGAACTAAACCGCGAGAACACATTACTCCAGTATTGAAATCGTTGCATTGGCTACAACTTCGTGAAAGGATTGATTATAAAATTCTGTCGCTCACCTACCAATCAGTCCACAAAACCTCTCCAGATTACATTCAAGATCTCACAGTACAATATGTGCCGAACAGAATGCTAAGATCTTCAAAGCAATCACGTTTATATAAACCTGACATCAATTTAAAAACATTGGTGCGCGATCGTTTGGTTATACATCAGCTGCTTTGTGGAATGAACTACCCGAAGATATCATAAGTTCCTCATCACTAGATATATTCAAATCAAGAATAAAAACTTACTTATTTAGACGCTATATATAACTCGTAGTGAGATAACTTTTTAATGCGCTTCGAGCATACTGAGGTGTGGTGTTACAGCGCTATATAAATATTATTATTATTATATTATATTATTATAATGTGGACAAGTCAACCAATACCATGTGAACAACCAATACTGAGTGGATGACAAGTCAACCAATACTGTGTGGACAAGTCAACCAATACCATGTGGATGACAACTATTATCATGTGGATGACTCATCCAATACTGCATGGACTACTCTGGAACTAATACCACGTGGCACGAGTCAATTTACCGATGAGTCAACCATGTGGATGACTTAACTAATACGGTATGTACGACTCATCTAATACTGTGTGGACAACTCAACCAATACTGTGTGGACAACACAACCAATACAGTGTGGACAACACAACCAATACCATGTGGATGGCTGAGGGGTCATGCAACCAATACCCTGTGGACGACTCAATCAATGCCATGTGGATGGACTATTCAACCAATACCTTTTGGACAACTCAACCAATGCCGTGTACACTCAACCAATGCCATGTGGGCAACATACACAACCAATATCATGTGGAGGACTCAACCAATGCCGTGTGGACGACTCAAACAATACCATGTGGGCAACATACTCAACCAATATATCATGTGGAGGACTTAACGAATGTGGACGACTAATTAACCATTACTGTGTAACGTATTTTGATATTTGTGGACGAGTTAGCCTGTGAACAAGTCTGCGTGTGGATGGATTTGCGTGCGGACGAGTTAACGTGCATTCTGTTATACCTGCAATGGTAACTGGAATTTCCCTGGCTAAACAATTAATTACATTCATCCATTTTTCTGCCAGTCTTGAATTTTCTTCAAAATCGTCACTGGTTTTAATCTGGAATGTAACTGTAACGCGGTGTCGTGTTCGTTTACCAGTGAAAACTTTTTTCCGAAACGGATAAGAAATGACAGTCAACCATGTGCCACAATTTTGTTCTCCAGAAGTTGGCCTTTCACATCGACTTCCAACACAATCGCTTATCTGAATAAAAGTCGTTTCTACGGAAGTTTCGGGGAACTGCACAGGGTGATAACCAATGCAATCTTTATTTACTGTCACTTTAAAAAGTCCGCCTTTCTTTGAAATTCGTACAAATTCACCGGATAATAATACTTCACTTTGACGGGTTGCCATTTTGACAGGTCCAGCGTCATGTGAGGTATAAAGTTTGTCACGTGACTTGGAAAACCAGTTCTTTTGTTTATTTTTTTGGTTTATTTTTTTTTTTTACCCTTTTCCCTTACTTCGAAAATAAAACATAATATTGCACTAACAATAATTGACAGATTTCCAGCTTGTATACATAAAACAAGACTTATATTTTACGTCTTCGTCCGAGAAATCGTTTCGATGTAAAGCGTGGTCAAAGGGAGGTAAGTCCATTTATACTTTCCAATATTTTACCCACAATCCCTCTATCCACTTCCTTTTCAAAATAAACCCAAAATGGTGAGCATGTTGATAAAGTACACCCAAATTAAATCCCATAACATCTTTCCCAAAATTAAAGAAAAATCAATTTTGAATAAATAATTTGAACGATAAATATTTATTGTGTGCATTTATTTTGTTTTAGGGTAAGGATATCTGCCATAAGTATGACCGAAAGGTCCACAGAACTGAACCCAGAAGCAATGATATCTATCTTCGTCTGTTGGTGAAAGTAAGTTGTCACGTTGACTGAATTCATAAATTTACATGTTCGTTTAAATAACAGGGTCAAGGTGTGTAAATCGTCCATTGGAAATATTCTAGGCTTATTCTCTAAATCGTTGAGCCTCAGAAATAAAAGAACTGTGTATTGGATCCGAATTATAATAAAATTGTCCAAAACTGAGTGGAGCATTGCATTCTGAATTATATTCAGAGGCAGGCACCAGAAAGGATTAGATAGTAATAGTAAGATCAGGAGAGTCGCACTTCACAAAAACTAAACAAAGTAGGACGCTAAACTCCCATTTGATAAACTAATCCGACAAGATAAATCTGCGAACAAGACATAAACGTGGACATTTTTTCAAACAATAAACAACAAATATGAAATTAAGTGGTTCTGATGGTTTTGAACTGGTAATTAGCCATACTTGAGTGCACAATTCTGATGTATCACAGAATGAAGTGATTTGAACGAAAAAAAAAAAAAGTTGCGGTATCATGAGACATGTGCGGGAATTCTGAAGTGCCTTGCCAGGAACAGTGTCTAGTTCCTCGGATTCTACAAAAAAATGAAGTCCAACCATTTACTACTGGTACGCATAGAGCATGGCTGTCTTTAATATAATCCCAGTTGCTGCTGGAATATTGGAATTTAAGTTTTGGAGTACTGATACCTGTGTACATGTAAGAATACCCTGGATCTCTACCCTTCAAGTCCCTTGTCTGTTGCCGATGGCTAATGTTATATATTTCTTTTCCAGCTTTACAGATTTCTGGCTCGAAGAACTAATGCAGGTTTTAACAAAGTTGTATTAAAACGTTTATTTATGAGTCGTATGCACAGACCACCAATTGCTCTCTCAAGATTGGTAAGTTTGATCTGTCATGAAAGTAAAACAATCCTGAATAATCTCTCGGAGAAAAAACAGGATGGATTACATATAAGAATATACGGTATAACAGTGGTCCACTGTCAGTGGATGAGAAAAGTGTAAATTCGTTATAATGGACTGAGGGGGAAAAGCAGCGACTCCATGCATCCGAGGCAAGGTGGTGTGGATATCGATTCATGTGTTGCCCAAGAAAGTTGGCATGCACTTAAAAGAACCCCTGATTGTTGACTTTCGACAAAGAGTAGCTGTAAATCATAAATGCGCATCTCCAGGCAAGATTTCTCCGACAGCACACTATATGGCTTATAGCCCTTTTCATTGACCCAATGGGTGCAGAAATGTACAATGTTAAGCCTCGTTTTATTAAAATTTAACCAGGCAGTTAAGATCCTTGTTAAGTAGCTTGTCGCAATCACTGCTCCTGCTCACATACTTTAACAATTCAGATATACCAGGGTATTCCAGGGATCAATACTTATTTTATAGCCCATTCTGGGGCCTATTTCACAAAATTTTAACTAAGATAAAATCCAAATTTTAGTAATTTAATTGGATAATATTAGATTGATTTTAGTGTTTAGCCAATCAAAATTGAAGTATAGATTTCGAGAAACCGGGCCCTGTTCCTTTCGATGTTTATAAAAATTGATAAGTAACATGATTATTATTTTAGGCCAAGTATGCTTCGAAACCAGGAAGAGAAGGTAAAATAGCTGTTGTCGTGGGAACAGTCACTGATGATGTTAGATTAATGGCCTGTCCTAAATTAACAGTAAGTTTGTTTTTCATTCAACATTATGGTAGCTAGTATGTATCAACCATTCATTTCTTAGATTAGTCGGGAGCCACGTTGGCTAAGTGAATAAGACGCTGGCTCACTAGCCTGGAGTTCACGGGTTTGATCCCAGTGTTGGCTGAGAAAGGTCATCGGGCATAGTTTCCCCCTTGTCAGTGGTGCAGGACAGAGGGCCTGGGAAGGACAGATGTCTAGTCGTTTGGATGGACAAAAAACTGAAGTCGTGTACACATTAGCGTGCACGTAAAAGATCCTTTGGCAGTATGAATTCGATAGGCTGTAGCTGTAGCGCCGCTTTCTGGGCAAAATTTCCCTCGTAGCACACTGCATGACATATTCCCGTATTCATTAGCCCAGTCGAAGCAGAACACCCGGAATATTCCATCCTGGTTTCTTTTTGTCCATGGTGTAGGACTTCACCCAGAAGGGATTTCAGTGTTTGAATGTAATTTGTATACAGTGTCTGCACAGCAAAGATCTCATGTCACTTGCAAAATTTCCATCAAAGCACAGTCAGCCTTATTGGTGTGAAAAAATTAAACAATCCACGAATGAAAGGTGTATACCAGCCTTATTAGCCCAGTTGGTGCAGAAAAGTAGGACATTAAATCCCAGTTCATTTCCTTGATGGTCTATGTTGAATTCTAATTTAAAGCGAATTATTATATTTTTGTTCTTTTATTCAATAGGTCTGTGCTCTTAGAATAACAGAAAGGGCACGTGCACGAATCCTGAAGGCTGGTGGTGAAATTATTACCTTTGATCAGTTGGCACTGAGATCACCGAAAGGTCAAAATACTGTCCTTATTCAAGGTAAGGAAGTATCTTAGTTCGTAGCGAGCTGAGGGGATGAGATATCTCACAGTGTATAGATTGATTAGGTTGATTCAAATTCACTTTTGCCTGTGAAAACGCAGCAAAATACATGTGTGCTGTATGAGCAAGTGTCACTTTTGATTCGAAAATTGTGCTACAGAGTAGGGTTGTCTGTCAAATACCATGGCTTTTCTTCTGGTTAATCTGTTTTTTCCATATTACAATTGATATTTTTCACAGACTTATGTTTTAAAGGGGAGTCGTGTGGCCGAATAGTTAGCGCATTTTCGTGTTGTATCATAAGGTCTTGTCATTGAGTCAACTGGCATGGTTTCGATTCCCTGGTTGTATGTGGCAAGGAGTAGGGTCGTCTCTCCAACCTCATGGCTTTTCTCCAGGTCCTCCAGTTTCCTCCCACTGTTAAAGACCCCTACGTATAAGCGAATTCTTGAAATAAAATTGAACCATGTGTTAGTCGCAAAATGACCTTGTTTATGTTGCGAGTGGATGTTGAACCCTCATTTCTCTGTGTCAGTTTTTGATAAGCAGCTACACAGATGTATCAGGAAGTACTGCCAATCCTGGTCATCTGTGGCTAAATCTATTTAAGGCCAGCTCAATTTTTGGCAAGGTCACCGAGATGTAAATATGGTTAGGGCAAGTGATTGTTGGCGAGATTGTAGGTTACGGTAAGCATTGTAGGTCCAGGGTTAGGGTTGGGATTAGCAACTAGCCCTGTTTACATCTTGTGACCCTAAGACGAAAAATTGAGCTGGCCTTATCATTTAGCACTATTCCGTCATCTGTATTCTATCCACCATCCATAACAATACTATTGATATTTTGCAGGAATTCGACAAGCTCGTGGAGCTAACAGACATTTTGGTCTTGCACCTGGTGTTCCTGGCAGCCACTCTAAACCATTAGTCAGAGCTAAGGGACGTAAATTTGAGAAAGCAAGAGGAAAGAGACATAGTCGTGGTTACAAGAACTAAGCTTCTGTTTATAATATCATTAAAATACAGACAGCTACATACTCGTGTTGCTTTATTTATTCACTCTCGGCATTAATTGTGTCATTCAGTCTTGTTCACTACAAATCGGCCTTTTGTGCCTGTCGGTTTGGAGTAAGACATTAATTGTTTCATTCAGTCTTGTTCACTACAAATCGGCCTTTTGTGCCTGTCGGTTTGGAGTAAGACGTTTGGTTCACTAATCTGGATGTCCCATTTTCGATCCCTTTGTTGGCCGAGAAAGAACATCAGGTTTTTCTGGCGTGGTTTCCCCCGTGTTGATGGTGCAGGAGAAGGGGCCTGGCAAGGGACAATGTAGTTGTTCAGATGGGGTTAAACATCAAGGCCCTGTGTATACATTGGCATGCACGAAAAAGATCCCTTGGCAGTTGGAATTCCATAAAAAGTAAGCGTTGTCTGGGCAAAATTTCTCTCATAGCACACTGTATGGCATAGGCTCGTCTTCATTAGCCCAGTCTCAGCAGGAATCTGTTTTACGAAATTTTGACTTAAGATAACATCCAAATTTTAGTAATTTGATTGGATAATATTAGATTGATTTTAGTGCTTAACCAATCAAAATTGAAGTATCTACTAAAGTTTGGATTTTATCTTAAGTTAAGATTTTGAGAAACAGGGCCCAGAGCAGTAGGATGTTAAGCCCCATTTCATTTTAATAAATATATATGCCAGTCACCCAAAACCAAGTCTTCGTTTCACTCATTTTTGCCAGTTCTTGACTGACAGTGGAATTGGCAGACTGGAGAAATAACCGGTCAGTCATTTTACAGGACAAAATTAGAATTTCAAATAATTGAACTTCAAAACAACGTAGTTGTTGGGTGTAAAATCACTTGAAAATTGAGATATAGAATTTAAATATATTTTGCTTATCCAAGGTCAGTGGCGGCGCCAAGGGGGGGCATTTGCCCCCCCATAAATCTGGTTTGCCCCCCCCCCCAATAATTTTAGAAAATAAAAAAAGTATTTGAGATACGTTTCGGTAATCAATACCTTCTACGGTGAATAAATCCCACATCCCCACTCAGTCATAAACTTGCATGTTGAAGAGCATTTCCGACAGTCTATTTTTCAAAATTTTCTTAGGGAGGTCCCCAATGGACTCGCTAGTTTGGCGCTCACAAGGGGAATTCGTTGAGGTTCGCAAGTCCGTTCGTTTGACATTTTGTTCTCTGGTCGGATAAACTAGTGATCAGGCGACGGACGGTATCTGGTCAGATCTATTTATCTCGACGATCTAACTGAATACTGACAGACAGCATTTCCAGCAGTCTATTTTTCTAAATTTTCTTGGGAGGTCCCCCATACCCTCTGTAAGGACTCCCTACTTTGACGATCAGTGCCTGAAATACTGCCAGGCTGCATTTCCAGCAACTTGTTTTTCAAAATTTTCTGGTGAGGCCCCCCTACCCGAGCAGGTAGGGCTCTCATATTTTCGTTACTAAATTAACTACCCCTACCCCTAGTTGAAGCTCGTGCCATTGCCCCCTGAACCTTGGACTTTGCCCCTCCAATCACACACGGCTGGCGCTGCCACTGTCCAAGGCAAACAAAAGGTCTTAATTTGAGCAACTGGCTAAATATTTGAAGGAAAAGCCTTGCCCCAACCCTAGAATTGTGTTCTATTATTACAAAGGAGATTGATAAAATGGGGTCGGTAGTTTATAGGGATGTGTGTGTACACATTTCAACAAGTTACTTGTAGAAATTACTCAGTCCACAAGTTGATGTATCTTTGCATCTTATATTGCTCAACAATTGTAAAACATAATGTAGCTCAAATTGTTTCAAATAACCCAAATATCTCACGTTGAGGGGAGATAACCAATACTATAAATATTGGATTTTTGTGTCCCCATGGGATGATGGGATGTTGTTCCTTGTAAAAATCGGCTGTGGCCACGCCCCTGTATTCAAGTAAAGGTTTTCATCTTCTCTGTTTCATGTGTTGAGTAAAACCAGAATAGTATTAATTCTACATGATTGGTGGAAATAAGTGATAAATAAACAGATGAACATGTTTTAATGCTTTAACTTTAATAAACAGATTTAAATGAAACACAAAATCCACAAATTTCTGGAGTTTTGTTTGTTCAATCGAAATACACTACAATAAGCTGATACGTGAAAACAAAATTAAAACCCGTAACATTGTTCATTAGCCGGTGTTACTTATATTTAAAATAAACAATAAATTTTGACCATAAAGTTTAAACTAGGCATATGTAATCTTTTAGAGGTATTAAGCAATTCTGTACTAAACTATTAACACATAATTACAGAAAACGGCCACAAATATATTTGGAAGAAAACGTTTGAGAGAATACTCTCACACAAATATTTTAGTAACTGTTTCTCATAAGTATGTATTATAATTTAATACATTTATAAATTTAAAAATCTACAAAATAAATATTAAATTTTATATGTACATCTACTTCTTACAAAAATAATTTCTGAATTTAAAGGAGCTAAATCGCTAACATTTGGGACCTAGAAATTGACAAAAGTGGGTCGCAACGCATATAATACTGTAATATGCAGGGCTTGCCACGAGCAAATTGGAGGCGAGTAGATGACTACTCACGCAAATATAGACTTGCGCGGGTGAGGCGAGTACATGTATTTACTCACGCAGAATGATGTGCGTGAGTAGCCATTTAAATTTCATTTGCCTAACGGCAATGCTCTTGTCACTTCGGTGGAAGCGGACGTTGAATAAAGCTATTTCACACACAATGGCAATGCGGGATCGAAGGAATTGCCATAGAAACGACAACATCCGCTCAATTTTTGATTATCCAGACACGGCAAAGGACATCCGCTTAAAAACCGCCTGGCAGTACGCGTCTCAAAGTATTTTTAGTAACAACAGGTGGCACTTGAAAGACACGCCGCATGCGCAAAAGTGCATCAATATGAAGGCATACAAATTGTTTACGGCTTTTTTATTACGATATTCCATTATTTCTGATTAAATTATTTTTTATATTTGCGCGAGTACTTAATCACTCACGTAAATTTGGTTTTACGCGAGCGTAGCGTGCGCGCGAGTAATTACTCGTGGCAAGCCCTGATATGAATGTGTATAAACTGAGTTATACACAATCGTTACCGTTTTTACTCAAATTTCAAATCAGTTATGTTCGGCGAAATAAGCCAGCAGTCTCAAGCGAGCGCAAATTTCTAGCGTCTGGTTATTCCAGTCTACATACGCCGTTTGATTTGGTGCAATGTGTCTAGCCTCGTCCCTCGAGTCTCTTGATGTAACTGGGGCTGATGCGCCTTATGGTACACGATTCGTGTACCAATGGTAAAATGTTTATTTTGTCTTAAATATTGGATATCAAAAGCCCATCTTTTCCCGGTAAGATCACAACATGAATGTTGATTTAATTTGACAAATAAATCGTGTTTTCAATGTTGAAGATTTTGGATGATATTGAGTTAGAGACTTAGCTACTTTAAAATCTACAAATCTGGCTAACTATGTTTGTATGGTATGATTTATTGATTAAGGTGAATGGTTGAGCAAGGGCAGTCATTTAAAAAAAAATTGCTTTATATTAATTGCCTTTAAGTAATATGGATGGATGAAACTAAAAAAAAACCCAAACATTATGCAAGGATTTCTTGTTCTATTAGTTAGCGTGGGGGTGGGGGGTGTACGGCCGAATGGTTCGCGTGTGCGCGCTGTATCATAAGGTCTGTCAATGAGTCAAATGGCGTTGTTTCGATTCCCTGGTTGTATGTGACAAGGGAGTAGGATTTTCTCCGGTTTCCTCCCACTGCTACAGACCCCCTACATGCAAGTGAATTAATGAAAAAAAAAATTGAACCATATGTTATAATAACAAGCCAACAGTGAGGCTGATGTCCCCCGCCGAAATCCCAAAATAAATATTAACAAGGCATTGACCTAATCAACACATACACCAAGTTTGAACATTCTAGCTCAATTAAAAGTTATCGTGTCCCAAAGCATCAACCAATCAAATTGCTTATCTCTGCTTACCCTAAGCGGAAAATGCTCATCTTCGAACTCCATCAAGGCATTGACCTAATCAACACATACACCAAGTTTGAACATTCTAGCCCAATTAGAAAGAGAGTTATCGTGTCCCAAAGCATCAACCAATCAAATTGCTTATCTCTGCTTACCCTAAGCGGAAAATGCTCATCTTCGAACTCCATCAAGGCATTGACCTAATAAACACATACACCAAGTTTGAACATTCTAGCTCAATTAGGAAGAGAGTTATTGTGTCCCAAAAAGTGTGACGGACAGACGGACAGACAGACGGACAGACGAACCCATTTTAATAGTCCCCTGCTTTCTTCGAAAGGCGGGGGACAATAATAATAATAATAATGTCCTAAAATCCAACCGAAGCTGCTCTTTGGTAACATTATGGTCAATTAAAACAAAATCAACAGTTAAAAGAAAACGTTTCTAAAAAGATGTGTTTTAAGATTCTTTTTAAAACGGTCAATTGATGCACAGTACTTTAGTTCTATAGGAAAATCATTAGAATTCCACAGTTCTGCTGCCGCAAAAGCAAAGGAGCGTCTACCGAAAGAAGAGTTTGCAGTTACTGATTTAATAAGGTACTTAGTTTCGGAACGAAGATTTCTGGTAGGGTTGAATTAATTCTTTAATATATAGATGAGAGTCATTACATGACAAAGCACAGAAAGTCAGCATGAGAATTTTAAAATCGATTCTGGTCTTAATCGGTAGACAGTGGAGTTCTTTCAAAACGGGGGTAATAATTTAGTTCTTGTAACAATTCTTGCGGCTTTGTTTTGAATCTTTTGTAGTCTATTAATTTGATATGCTGATAAGTTGTAGAGTAACGAGTTGCAGGTTAACTTTTAGGTTAACTTTCTATTACAAAAATTGTCCAGGCAAATTTTGGGCCCAGCTAAATCTATGCCGACCACAGTAAACATCACAATGACCAAAAGCGAATATTAATATGTGAGATAAACATCTGTAATGACTATCTAAAATTACACTCACATGATTATAAAAGTAATCGGAACACAAATTTTAATGGGAATCACAATTTGATTAAATTACATTTCGTTTTGTTATACTTTCGATGGCCTCTACAACATGAAGATCTGACCAGTTGTAGAGGGAGGTCACGCCAAGGGTTCATGCGAGCGGTCTTTGCCGTATGACGTCAGACATTGATTAATCAATCAGCGTTGCAAAGCACGCAAACAACTCCCCATAACAGACCGTTTCATTTGCTAATCCCTTACATCATCCAGAACACAGGTTATATAACAACTCTTCCAGATCCTAGTGTAGTAGAGACATATAAAACGAAATTTTGAACTATAAAAAACGAAACGAAATAGGATCTGTGTTTTAATCAGATGTGGGAATCAATCATGATACTGGTTTTATAAGCTGTAAATTGGATATTTGTTGAAACATATACAGTGCTTAAAAAATAATACCAAATTCCAGTAATACCAAATTCCAGTATACAGTGCTTGATAAGCCTAAAGAGGTTACTTGTTGAAATGTCGTGATTTTAGAATAAAACCAGTGATTGATTCCAATACAATTTGTGTTCTGTTAATGTGTTTCTCAATTACTAAATGTCACTTAAAGATCACAATATTACCGTACTCAAAATAAAATCTGAATTTTGATTATATAAATAAATATCACAGTACCAGTATTTTACATCAGATTATAAAAAAGGTAAAAAAAAAAACCTAATATAGGGAGAGACTGTTAATATACATGTACTGATAAGGAAGGGCCAAAAACCCTTGTGAAGTATCTATAAGTACTGGAAGCGACTATCGATATATATATACTGATAAGGTAAGGTGGAAAATACTGGTAATATACAGTTAGTTCTCAGCACCTGAACTGCGAGGGGTTAAATGTATCATTAGGTCTGTCATTGAGGCAACTGGTTTGGTTTCGGTTCCCCGGTTGTACGTGACAAGGAGTAGGGTCGCCAGTCCAACCTCGTGGGTTTTCTCCGGGTCCACCGGCTGCCTCCCACTGCTAAAGACCCCTACACCCCTCCAATAATTTGCTTGCACTTGAGATCTTTAGCAGTGGGGGAAAACTGGAGAACTCTGAGAAAACCCACAATGTTGGACAGGCAACCCTGCACCTTGTCAAGTATAAGCTGGGAATCGAAACCACACCATTTGATTCAATTAATGCAAAGGAGTTAAAGCATCTAGTCTCCCAGCCCCGAACTATTCAATAACCTTATAATTGGGTGGTTGGAAGCAGTCTACAGAGCAGTAGTTTCAAGCTGTTTTGAAAATGAGCTATAATTCTAAAAGTAAAAAATCACCAATTTTTCTCAAATTTTTCAAGGAACTGGAGGTAGTCAATATTGTACATGTATCAGGTGCTGAATGGTTACGGGCGGTTAAATTATCAAAAACATTAAATATAGATTGCTCATTAGTTATAATTAAACAGTTGTTTGATTGTTCTTGAATGTCATGAGTCACCAAGTCATATGAGCAAAATTATGACATAATCAAATATGGCAAACATGATACAGCTGTACTGATTGGTGGAGATATTTTCGAATTCAGTTGGTTCACCCAATCATCTTGATAGTCCCTCACTTTGAGATTCATGTCCCACTGTTCTACATCCACCACACTAATAAAGATGAGCATACGCCATGCAGTGTGATAAGAGGGAAATTTTTTCTGTACAGCATGGCATACTCTTATTTTAAAGGAGCTAAATCGCTAATATTTGGGACCTAGAAATGGACACAAATTGGTCACAACGCATATAATAATATAATATGAATGGGTAGCAACCCATATAATAATGTAATATGAATGTATATAAACTGATTTACATTCAATTGTTTCCGTTTTTATTGTAATTTCTAATCAGTTATGTTCGGCGAAATACGTCAGACTCAACCTAATGGCTATATCTAGTGTCTGGTTATTCCAGTCTACACCGATAGTATTTATTGTGCATGCTCTCCAGATGAGAATATGGCGTCACCGTTTAACATGACGTGTGGAATATGTATACAACAATTAAACATACATTATGCAAGAGCTAAATCTGCCTATTGCAGGTCTTTCTTTAGGCCTGAAGTGTTATCTAAATTATTAATTAGACATTAATTAACTCATCCACACCATAATCAACTCTCGATGGCATCGCTAGCCTGGGATATTTACTGGATTATGATCCCATTTGCTGCTCGACTTCCATTCATAACTTAATCATGAAATGGATAATTGAGACTATGTTTTGATCGAGGCTAGGCCGAAATTTCAATCGCTTAATTCTCGGTTCATAGTGGATCAATTTGACTGAAATTTTCAGTTTTTAACTATTATAGTGAGAACTGCCAGCTCTTTATCTAATCTCCTATAATGTATCTTTAAATGAAGCTCCCCCCCCACCCCCCGGTTACATTTGGTATCCAGGAATATGTGGTGTCAATTTCTCATACATGTATATGAGATTCTCTTTCTCCTTGGGGATTTTTAACAAATGGAGGTTTTCCCAGCATAAAATAAACAATGTTCAGCAGCTTTTCTTTAGCAGTGAGAACACTTTCATAACCAGCAGGTCGGAAATAATTTGTTAAACCTTCTGCTATCACGGTAAACTGAGTCCGCAGTAAATTCACGCCCCACACCATCGATAGAACATTCATTATCATCAAACTAAGCAGCCACGAATCGTGTAAAAACATCTGTCCGACCATCTCGTGGATCGGGAGTCTGTGATAAAAATTATGACAATGAAATAACGCGATGCAGACGAATATAAACATGGATAATAAGCAGACGCAGATGAACCAGACGAAATAGATCTGGTTATTTCCGGCAACACATCGCAATAAAAACAAACAATGATGATCCATATCCTGGTAGCATTCTCGACATAATTTACAGTGTTTCGTCAAACGTGGTTTCACAATCTGTAAAAGAGGAAATAAAATAAAACGGGGTTTAACGTCCTTCTGTTCTGCATAATTTACATTGTTCCGTCAAACGTGGTTTCACAATCTGTAAAAGAGGAAATGAAATGAAAAGAGGTTTAACGCCCTTCTGTTCGACATAATTTACAGTGTTTCGTCAAACGTGGTTTCACAATCTGTAAAAGAGGAAATGAAATAAAATGGGTTTTAATGTCCTTCTGTTCTGCACGATAGGGCTAATTAAGGCGGACATACGTCATACAGCCTACTCTTATTTGGATTTCCAATACTCGAGGATCTTTAACGTGCATATCTATATACAGCTGTTATTTGACTACACAGTAATGTCAGGGGTGTTCAAATTTGATAGTATTCAAAATTTCAGACAGTTGCTGAGATATGAAAGTTTTCAGATTCTGTCAAAAGGTCAACAGAGAGAGAGAGAGAGAGAGAGAGAGGTCAACTCGGAGAGAGAGAGAGAGATGGGGTTTAATGTCCACTCGACACAAACTAGGCCATTTCGGGATTAACATATGGGTCAATTTTATTTCAATAATTCGCTTTTGCATGGGGGTCCTACTCCTTGTCACGATCAACCAGGGAATCGAAAACCACGCCAGTTGACTCAATGACAGGCCTCACTTGACAGTCAATAGCAATAATATCGATGGCAGGTGGCGAGCTGGGTTTTTAAACTGGTTTATTTACCCCACATTTGCGTTCAGACGACAAAGTTAAACTGGTTTAACGATCCCCATGGTTTTTAAACCAGTTCAACTTAACATCGGAACAAATGAAATGAAATGAAATGAAATGGAGTTTAACGTCCTACTATTCTGCTCCTAACCTGGGCTAATGAAGACGGGCATACGCCATACAGTGTGCTATGAGGGAAATTTTGCCCGGGCAGCGGCACTACGGCCTACTCTTATATCGAATTCCAACTGCCAAGGGACCTTTTACGTGCACGCCAATGTGTACACGGGACCTCGGTTTTTCGTCCCATCCGAACGACTAGACAGCTTTCCTTGTCAGCCCCTCCGTCCTGCATCACTGACAAGGGAGAACCACGCCGGAAAATCAGGATGAACTTTCTCGGCCAATGCAGGGATCGAACACCCGACCTCCAGGCTAGCGAGCTAGCGTCTTACCCACTTAGCCACGTGATCCCCTAACATCATAACAGGCTCTATGTGTTATAGTTTATGCTCTATCCAGTTACTAAATGTTATTGAAGGATTTGGACTGTTCTCTTATCATTATCAGAGAGAGAGAGAGAGATGGGGTTTAACGTCCACTTGACACAAACTAGGTCATTTCGGAACTAACATGGTTCAATTTTATTTCAATAATTCGCTTGCGCATAGGCGTCTTTAGCAGTGGGAGGAAACCGTAGGACCCAGAGAAAACCCATGAGGTTGGACAGGCGATCCTATACCTTGTCACGTATCGAGACCACTCAAAGACAGACCTTATGATACATCGTGCATGCGCTAACCGTTTGGGCATTTTGAGATTCATTATTCTAGTCTGCATGAGATTCAAAATCATGCATTACCCTGGTCTTGCTTAAAACTTTAAAGACTGGCCTCCACTTGTCCACTAACATGCCTTGTATTTAAAAGAATAGGGGCAGAAAAAGGCGCTGTCCAGGGAAAATTCTTACCCTCACCCATTTTAGACCTTGTAATGGACAGTAAACTCACCTCGCATTCAATACAAAAATCTTCTACTTTTCTTGGTGGCTGGCACAGATCTAGAAGGGTTAACTCTCTTCTAAACTGGTAGTCATAACAACTACTCTTCACTACTCCTGTAACATTATCAGTCAAAATGATTAACATTCTAATTCACAGCCCTAGAGATTTAAAGGGACCATCCCAATTTAAACAGAGTCTCAGAAATAAATGCCTGTGTATGTATGAAATTTAAGCGCCAAAATATAGAGGAATGATGTATTTACCGAGTGTCAAAATGTCAGCTCAAAATATTGAGACCTTTGGACGTGAACGTCAAAACTGCTTATCCAGACACATAACACTTTTAAGATTTCGGGTCATTTTTTTTGCTGGGTGACCTTATAATTTATTGTCATTCTTTTAGAGGTCTATACAGTGCATGACCCACATGCTGTACTTGATATCGAAAGGTAAATTTCACCTACACATTATTTTTGTAAAATAAAAGTTTGGTTTTATCCAGACACCATATAATACAGCTTCGGACACTTTTCTCCATTTCCAGATGAAGGTTGACGGGTTTAAGTTGTTTGAAAATGTATCATGTATATTGATTTAGGTGCTCAGCCCTAAGGTAGAGGATTTTAAGGGATTTTAACACAAAAATAAGCAGTTTTATTCTAAAAAATATAATCGTAATTGACGATTTCAATATTACTACAAATTGGGATGTGACATTTGTAAGAGCTTAGAAATATCATGAATGATGATGATGATGATAGATGATGATGATTGATGATGATGGCTGTTAAGATGATGATGATGATGATGACGATGATGGTGGTGGTGGTGGTGGTTGTGGTGATGATGATGATGATGAATCAAACAAAATGTGGTTTAACATTCGAACAAGCTAATGAAGATCACGTGGGAAACTTTGCTTGGCTTGGACAGTGGCATTTCCAATCATTCTTCTAATTCTAACCTAATTCATGTTAATGGAACAATCAGTTGCCATGCAAGATACGCAAGAGATGGACATGTGGGCGTATAAAAACAGGAGCCATATTGGGGTTGGCAAATACTTCTAATTGTTTGGTAAGTAGAAAAGAAACAAGGTCTTGTGTAAAGATTGGTTCAGCGTTGGAATTATCCCCCCTTGCATTGCCATAGAGATAAAAAAAATCCCTGTATTTTAGTGTAGATGAAACTTTAAACTCCTCTTTATTGGTAGTGCATGGAAATGATTCCTCAGCAGTTGGAATTATTCCCCCTTGCATTGCACACGTAACCATAGAAATGAAAAAAAAATACTTTATATTAGCTTGGTGAGGAGACTTAAAAGTTTGCAGTCTCCTCACCAAGCTAATATAAAGTGATTTTTTAAAGTTTAAACCCCACTCCACTCGCTATCTTAATGTAAATAAAGCGTCTTGATTACCTGGGTCTATAGTCAGGACCTTCCAGTATAAATATAAAAGTACAGATAATAAAAGAGGAGACAATATTAATAATAGGCTATACTGTAAAACATCTGCACATTTTATTAAGGAAAATTTGTTAAAATAATATTTAAAACAAAAAAGAGAGAGAAAAATGAGGTTTAACGTCCACTCGACACAAACGTAGGCGTCTTTAGCAGTGGGAGGAAACCGGAGGACCCAGAGAAAACCTACGAGGTTGGACAGGCGACCCTACTCCTTGTCACATACAACCAGGGAATCAAAACCACGCCAGTTTACTCAATGAAAGACCTTATGATACAGCACGCTAATCATTCAATCATCCCTAACCCCTTCAAAACAAAACATTTTGGGTTGCAGGATGCAAGTCATTTTTCTTCTTTTCCTGCTTTATTTGTTAAAGCTAAATTTCGATATTTTGTGTTATATGATATTTTAAGTCTATTTTTATAACCAAGATGAAGAAGCCTATTGATTGTCATTTTAAACAACTTCTGGTCCTTAATCACTTTAATAGATAAAATCCTATGATCATTCTAGTTTTCTACGTTTCTTAAATTATCAGCTAGCGATGTCACTTAACACTGTAACCTGGGTATCATTTAATCTTGGGTATTTAACACTAATTTCTTTCACATTATACCGAGGTATTCTCCCTGGTCCATATTTTAAATACACTAAACTTGTGTAAATATGTTTGTTTTGTTAATTTATTGTTTATTAGTATCTGATATGTACATTTATTGACTTTGTTTCACTGACCACCTATAACAATTATATTGTATTGGAGAGGACTCTTTTGTAAGTTTTAGTAACTTTTGTCCGATCTGTTTACTTTAAAGTAATAAAAAATGTTTAAACATTCATCCAATATCAAATCTTTGTTTAAAGATAAAGTACAAATCATTTAAAATCACCACAAATCATCTAATTTGTACTTTTCTAGAGATTTTAAACGATAATTAGGAGTTTTAATCTGAATTTTATTTTTTTAAGTGAGATATTATTTAGGATGGGTTAGATTTATATACAGTGTATATAAATATCACACCTAACAACTGTCAATCAGGACTCTATCCGTCCAGGTAAACATATTTCAACAATCAAATATATGTATTTTAGAAAGGATACGAGGAAAGATTACAATAAAATAAGCCAGAAACGTATGAAATAAACCAGCTCCAAAAACACCAGCATACATCGGATTTGGCCACCTGCAAATAAACATATAATACATTAACTCTGTAGCATCTGTAAGGCACAAATTAAAGGGGAATTGGGGATTGGATGGCCAATGGTTAGCACGTGAGCGCTGTATCCAGTCCTCAAAAATTACACAGTAACAACAGTTCTGACCTTAAAATAGCACATACGAGGTACGAAATATATCCTGAGGACTGGACAAGGAACAGCGTCTAGTCGTTAGGATGGGACTAAAAATCTGAGGTCTTGCGTTCACAGAAAGGTTGACAGATTAAAATATGGAAGTATAAAAATGGTGAATCGAGTTTCAACATATCTTACCTACAGACATGTTGAAGACGATGAAGTTGTTTAGCCTGGGTAAACATGATGTAAAATAAACCAACGAGAAAAATAATTCCTTGAAACACAGGTGGGACGAAACGAGATAAAACTATTAATAGACCATAAATTCCTGCTGGCATCAATAGAAACCAGTACCATAGCAACACAGGGCCTTTAACTTGTATTGATCTGTTATACTTGGATAAATTGTAGAAATGTTGTAAAACTGGAGTTATCTCTCTATGCCTGAAATATAATGAAATGGAAATGAAAAAAAAATGAAATGGGGTTTAACATCCTACTGTTCTGCTGTGACTGGGCTGATGAAGACGGGCATACGCCATACAGTGTGCTATGAGGGAAATTTTGCCCGGCAGTGGCCTACTCTATATCGAATTCCAACTGTTAAGGGATCTTTTACGCGCACGCCAATGTAGCTCAGTTTTCTATCTCATCCAAATGACTAGACAACTGTCCAGAAATGAAATGAGGTTAGACGTCTGCTACTGGACTAATGAGGACTGGCATATGCCATACAGTGTGCTATGAGATATTATATGATCTAAATGAAAGGGTGTTTTAATGTCCTACTTTTTTGTTCTGGCTGCGATAATAAAGACATTGTGCGTGGACACATTGCTACAGCCTGCTTTTATTTCAAATTTAACATTATGCCAGTGGTATACATGGAATCTCACTGACATGGGGACACCACTCTATCAAGCACCATTGACATGGGCATGGGGACATCACTCCATGGAGCACCACTGACAAGGGAACATTCTGAGGAACCTCCACAACATCAGGATCAAATATTGGCATACATGTAAAGGAACTCCCCCCTTCTCCCACCTGGCATTGAACGTGTAACCATAGGAATAAAACTACCTTATGTTCGTCAAAAACTGATGAGACATTAAACTACTTTCATTTTAAGTTTTTAAAAACTTACCCAATTTTATCTCTTTGTTCAGCCAGATCCTTGGGATTATATCCAGCATTATTTACAGTGTGTAGAGCCTCACATCCAGTCTCACATAATAACAACCAACACAGATGACTGTGACCTTCTCTTGCCAGGATATGAAGGGGTGTGTCACCATCTATATTCATCTTTATGGCATTGTGTCGCTGAAACAGGAAATAAATGCAGTATGCTATGACTTATATTTTGCCTGATCTGCGGCACTAGGATCTACTTTTTCCGTATATTCCAATGAGGTTTAACGCCCACTCGACACTAACATATGGTTCCATTTTATTTCAATAATTCGCTTGAGCGTAGGGGTCTTTAGCAGTGGGAGGGAGTCAAACTGTAGGACCCAGAGAAAACCCACAAGGTTGAACAGGCGACCCTACTCCTTGTCACATACTCCTTGTCAGAATCGAAACCACGCCATGGTTTCACGCACACATTTTAAACCACTAGACTCCCTCCAACTGTCAAGGGTTCTTTCATGGACTATTCTTATTCCAATTTCAAAGTACTGCCAATGGTACATGGGACCATCTGAAAACTATACGCCTTTGCTTGTCAGGATCTCTGTAACACAGACAAGGGGAAATTTTCTAACCAATACCAGGATAAAACCCTCGGCCTCATGGTTAGTAGGCCAGCACCTTACTAGCTGAGCCACCCCGGCCACTCTCTATTAAATACTATAATTACCTGATTACGTAGGAAGTATTTTAACGTATCCATATGACCATACGTACACACAATATGAAATGGGGTCTGTAATCGTGAATCAACGACTTGAAATCCTAAATTACATACAGTATGTAGGTAATGAAGCAAACACCTGAAAAACAAAGATAGGTTGTCAGGCAATGAAATATACGTCCACAACAGGTAAGCCAGAGGCTGTCACATTTTTATTTTAAAAAGTCTATTGATAAAAATATGGAATCATAAATCAATCTAATTTCGATTCAATTACATGTACAAAAAGATAATTATAGCTTGTTGATTAAACATACATTATGCAAGAACTAAATCTGCCTATTGCAGGTCTTTATTTAGGCCTGAAATGTTATATAAACTATTAATTAGACATTAATTAACTTATCCAGACAATAATCAATTATTGATGCCAACGCTAGCCTGGGATGTTTACTGGATTAGAACCCCATTTGATGCTCCATCTTCATTCTTGATTTAATCATGAAATGGATAATCGAGACTATTTTTTTTATCGTACCGACTTTAGTAATGATGATCAAGGCTAGGCAAAAAAATCAATCGCTAAAATCTCAGTTCATAGTGGATCAATTTGACTGAAATTTTTAGCAAATACCCTTTACATTATCTAGTTTGTAACTACCATAGTGAAAACTGCCAGCTCTTTATCTAATCTCCCATATCTTTAAGTAGTCTGTAACAGTCACACCAAGATGGTCTTTAAAAGGTTTGAACTTACACACTGCCCGATTCTGCTGCATGATGAACAGCTCCACGACCTTGTCTGTCCACAGCAGTTATATCTCCAGCAAATTCTAAAATCAAATGTAATACGGACGCATTTCCACGCTTGCACGCAAAATGAGTCGATGTTTCACCGTTGTTATTTGGTATGTTTGGATCAGATCCTGCTCGTAATAGCAAATGGATTACGTCAAAGTTCCCTCCTAGACAAGCTCTGTGTAACACTGTCATACCATGCCAACCTGGATATACCAAAAAAAGATTTTCACATAAAAATAAATGAAATTTATTTATCAAATTGTTTAAAAAGTCTTGAAATTGTTTTGACAGAGGCTTTTAAATTAAGAAGTTATTGATCAAACAAGCTGAAATTATGTGTGCTGCCATAAATAGTCACCCTAAACATTTCAAGTGTTTACAAACACAGGAAGCTCAATGTGTATGTGATGTAGGATGGAGGGCCTGACAAGGACAGCTGTTTAGCAGTTCGGATGGGACGAAAAAAAGAGGTCCTGTGTACACATTGGCGTGCACGTTAAAGATCCCTAGGCAGTTGGAATTCAAGATAAGCGTCGGCTGTAGCGCCGCTACCCAGGCAAAATTTTCCTCATAGCACACTGTATGGTGTATGCCCATCTTCATTAGCCCAGGTTAGGAATAGAACAGTAGGATGTAAACCCCATTTCATTTCATTTTCAATGTGTATGAATAGATGTGACCTGTGACATCAAATTAATCGGAATATAATATTGAGCGAAGTTCTAAAGCAGCCCACGAAGCTCTAAAGCAGCATGCGAAACGCAGTGCTTTCACAAAGCTCTTTTCCGGTAACACAGGAGTGTAACTGAAACTGTCACTCACAGACTGTTGGCTTAAAAAAAATTCAGACCGGAACCAGATACACTGGGTAAAACTGGCAAGTGAGATTATGCGTCTCAAAGAAATGATGTGTCTAATCAATGACGTCACATTTTTTTATGTCAATGAAAATATACCTCACACTTTTTTTTAAACAAAATTAATCATACAATGTACATTAAAATCAATTTGGCAAATCAAAATTATTTAACATTTTTGTGAAATTTAATTATGAAGCCAATGAAGGTTTTATATTTGACAATAATCACATAGACAGTATAAAGTTCGCTTTATTTGCCAAATTTAACCCTTTACCTTTTGTGTTCTGTTATATTATTAAAGAGATATTTTAGACTATTTTAGTTTTTTTGTTCATATCGTAAAAGACTTGCTACTTCCGACACATTTTGCTATCACGGGCACGGTACCTTTAATGTGAATCAGGTCAGGGCTTCCAGCTAAGATTTGTTGAATTGCAAGACCATTGCTTGTTGTTATGGCCTGCATTAAAACATTGTATTCTGGAGAAAATACGTATCCATGGGGATTTGTCTGTGCCATTTTATTGTGTATTATGTCTCATCTGAAAACAGAACTTAGACTTATTCCGAAATTTGTTTTTCACAGACATAAAATTCAATAAAAATTTATCATTCGGTGCCATGACAGTTCCTGTTGTAGCCTAAATAGATATCGCTTCAAATGATTGGACGCGGGTTCTCTCCAACCAATCCTTGGATAGGTTACAAATGAACTTGAAGTTGATCAAACGTAACTTTAACGAAGAAGATTTCGGCGGAAGAAATCGAGCGCATTAGTAAATCCAACGTTTTGTCTGTGAAAACGTATAAAAGGTTGTTTTGATATAGATTTTTAGAACTTCTCATAGCAGTTTTTGTTTTAACGCCTGCAGTTATTAATATACCGACATGTTGTCCCTTTTCTTGAACAATTAAACTTATGTTATTAAATTACAAATTGATCCTACCGGCGAACGGAATACGTGTTTACCTCCCTTTTATGTTTGGTTATTTAGAGGCAGAATATCCCACCGAGAAAATAAATATGATTGATTATTCTAACTAACCAGAACCTCATAATAATTGAATATTCGATCAGAGTCACCTGGACGACAGGGAGAAAATTTTTTACTTTTACTTAAGGTACAGCTTACGACAAGTAGCTCTAATTTTTAACGTTTCAAGGCCTGGAGTCAAAGACCATTTGCACCAAGAACTCGGCACCAATCTCTAATCATCTAGTTCTTGGTGGTGACGTTCTTCGAAAAAGAAAAAAAAAAAACAAGGGCTCTGCTAATTAAAGTATCACTGACATAAACCTGGCATTCTTGTTTCTTGGACAGTTGTGTATCAATTGCAACCTGCATTGGCTGAGAAACTTCTACCAGATTTTCCGGCGTGGTTTCCCCTTGTCAGTGATGCAGGATGGAGGGCCTGACAAGGACAGCTGTCTAGTTGTTCAGATGGGACGAAAAACCGAGGTCCCGTGTACATATTGGCATGCACGTAAAAGATCCCTTGGCAGTTGGAATTCGATATAAGAGTAGGCCGTAGCGCCGCTGCCCGGGTAAAATTTCCCTCATAGCACACTGTATGGCGTATGCCCGTCTTCATTAGCCCAGGTTAGGAGTAGGACGTTAAACCCCATTTCATTTCATTGTATCAATTGACGGGTAGCACGATTTACCCAAGTCCACCCAAATCTACCCAAATCCACCATTATTTCAACTTATTAGACAATAATTTATATTGATTTTTGATAATATGACATTCTTTATGCTAAATTGTCATTTTTAATTTACAATTGTAAAGTTTTGGTGTCAAAATTTCCCATAAAATACGATTTCCAAGCAAGTTTAGAAGTTGTAACCAAGGGACATAGCTTGTGTATTGGATTTTGGATTTTGAATATTTTGATGGACATTCTTGAAACAAAAGTATTAAAAATGACAATTTGACATAAAGAAGCCTATATTATCAAATATAGATATAAATTTTTATTACCGGGGTATCAGAGTTGAAATAGTGGTGGTTTTGGAATAAATCGTGCTACCGTTGATTGACAGGCTTCGATTTTTGATATAACGCCACCATCCAAGATGGCTGAGATCATGACATGCTCGATTCCTATAGTGTACCATAGTACATTCGTACTTGTTATGACTTAAAATGTAGCACAGATTCCTATAGTGTACCATAGTACATTCGTACTTGTTATGACTTAAAATGTAGCACAGAATATTTTATGAGTATGCTTAATTCGGCTAGATCCTCGGGACTCGTAAATTTAATATGACAGGATACTATGAGGAATTAAACACACAACCCCAGGCATGAAATCCTGGGGGTATTTCCCTTGACTCACTCGGTTGAGGTGTATGGATAATAATCAATGCACCTGACCTATGTCGAGTGAGCCAAGGGAATTTTCCATGACCGGTATATTTAAACTCAAAGAACTCTAATTTGAGCAAGTCCTATTTAAACATGCATTATGCAAGAGCAAAATCTACTTATTACAAGTCTTTCTTTAGGCCTAAAATGTTATCTAAATTATCAATTAGACATTAATTAACTTATCCAGACCATAATAAACTCTCGATGTCAAGGCTAGCCTTCGATGTTGGCTGGATTAGATTCATATATGCCGCTAACGGCCATTGACAATTAAATCAGAAAAAGTGGATAATAATGATGACCGAGACTATGCAAAAATTTCACCCGCTTCTTTCTCGGCTCATAGTGGATCAATTTGACTGAAATTTTCAGCAAATTACCTTTACACTATCTAGTTTTTAACTATTATAGCGAGAACTGCCATCTCTTTATCTTATCTCCCATAATGTATCTTTAATTCAAAAATATTTATTTACTAATTGCAAACAACTCACTAATTAGTAATAAATACCTGTTTTAAAAAAGTCAAAAAAGTTTGTTTTACTAATCTGTATCCGTCACTGAAGAGATTGATTACTATTTATCTACAATCTGATTAAAACACAGATCCTATTTCGTTTTACTTTTTATAGTTCAAAATTTCGTTTTACTTGTCTTTTCTTAGACTAGGATCTGGAAGAGTTGTTATACTATGTATAATGGATGATGTGAGATGTGAGGGATTAGCCAACGAAATGGTCTGTTCCAGCGATATCTTGTCGTGCAATGCACAGAACTGTTGGTATCCTACTAGAAACATCAACGCTGATTGGTTAATCAAATGTCTCATGTCATAGCATCAAAAGCCTGGTGCGACCTTTTACTACAACTGGTCAGATCTTTATGTAGTGTAGGCCATCAAAAGTATAAAAAAAAAATGAAACGAAATTGTAATCAGATTGATTTATCTAAAACAAAGTTTACGAAAAATTTCTACTTTTTTTATAATGGAAATACATGTGTAAAATGATAGATTCTCTTCCTTAGTTTTAGCTTTAAGATGGATGAAGTGGAGATGATGAGTGAAGGAGTCGTGGAAGAGAAAAAAACAGATTCGAAAATAAAACCAACAAAAACGGTAAAAATAAAGAAAGTACGAAGAAGAACAAAAGGTCTTTTAAAAAATATACTGAGTCAGGTAAGACGATTTCATATATTTGGAGGTAAACTATATATCACATACATGTACATGTACTTACTGAAGAACAATTACTCTTTCATATTTTTGGAGATAAATTATATAACACATGATATACTTACAGAAAAAAACAGATTGAATCCTGGAGCCACGGTGGCTAAGTGAGTAAAACGTTGGCTCGCTAGCCTTGAGGTCAGGTGTTCGATCCCTGCATTGGCTGAGAAAGTTCATCTAGATTTTATGGTGTGGTTCCCCCTTATCGGTGATGCAGGATGGACAGCTGTCTATTCGTTTGGATGGGACGGAAAACTTGGGTCCCATGTACACATTGGCATGCATGTAAAAGATCCCTTGACAGTTGAAATTCGATATAAGAGTAGACAGTAGTGCCGCTGTCCAGGCAAAATGTTCCTCATAGCACACTATATGGCGTATGCCCGTCTTCATTAGCCAAGTTCATAGCAGAACAGTAGGACGTTAAACCCCATTTCATTTCATTTCATTTCATTTACTTACAGAAATGGAGGGGTCGGATGGCCGATTGGTTTGTGCATGCGCGCTGTATCATAAGGTCTTTCATTGAGTCAACTGGCATGGTTTTGATTCCAGGTTGTACGTGACAAAGAGTAGGGTCGCCTGTCAAACCTCATGGATTTCTCCGGTTCCACCAGTTTCCTCCCTCTGCTAAAGACCCCTACGCGCAAGCAATTATTAAAATAAAATTGAACCATATGTTAGTCCCAAAATGACCTAGATTGTGTCGAGTGTACATTAAACACCATCTCTCTCTATCTTTCTCTCTTGACAGTTGACATTCAATGAAGGGTGAACAGAAATGCCTAAGTCCTTCATACATGTAGCACACTGCCTGATGTATGTCTTTCTGTTATTTGGTGCAGGATTATAAACTGTTTTATTTTTTATTGACAGATGGAGTTTTATTTCAGTGATTCTAATCTACAGAAAGACAGATTTATAAAACATGAAATAGATAAAGATCAACAGGGATGTAAGTACAAATATCTGACTCCGAATTCTCAAAGCATTCTCAGACTTAAGTTAAGAATTTACTCAAAATTTTTAGCCTTATTTTAATTAAAATATAGCCCCTTATGAAACTTTTGTTGTTTTAATGTATCAAATACATCAATAAGAAAATATTTTGTTTCGTTTTTTATAGTTCAAAATTTTGTTTTACTTGTCTTTACTACACTTGGATCTTGCAGAGTTTTTATATAACCCGCGATCTGGATGATGTGAGGGAAAAGCCAGCGAAACGATATGTTACGGCGAGTTTTTGGCGCGAGGTGCACGGAACTGTGGGAAACCACTAGAAACATCATTGCTTATTGGTTAATCAAATGTCTGACGTCATAATGTCAAAAGCCATTCTTATGACCTCTGACGCAACCTTCCACTACAACTGGTTAGATCTTCATGTAGTAGAGACCATCTAAAGTATAAAAAAATGAAACGAAATACAGATTGAGTAAATTGAAATATTAAATTTATACAATTTATGATTATGGACGTTTGTAACCTTTTAATAACTTTTGTCCAATCCAATTGTATCGAAAGTTATTTCTTCTACAACTAGGATTTCTCAACTTTTATTTCAGATGTTGACCTTAGTTTATTTTTGAAGTTTAATAAAATCCAAAAAATGACGGAAGATTTGACTTTAATTTGTAAGGCTGTCAGTAAATCTGAAAAACTCAAGGTAATAATTACTTCATACATCTACAGATTAATGATTTAATGGATGCCACAGATTTCACTTCAGCTGTCCATTTTGACAATCGGCCCATTTTGACAGTCAGCCCATTTTGTTAATCTCAGATTAGCCGAATATTATTTGAAAGAATATGACAGTTTTTAGAGTTATCTCAATTTTATCCTCATCGCCATGGTTTTGTCTGTCTTTCTGTCCCCTTTAGTTTGTGAAGCAGAACTCAAAAACTATTCACGATTTTTGTGAGAATCTTTTTGTACGCATACTAGAGTGGTGCCTTATCAGCTAATTACATTTTTTTTGATATTTTTATTTTTTTCTGTTCTTCTCAATCGGTGTTGGGCAAACTTCTTAGGTGAAGGGCCAAACACAAAGTTTTGAAACAAAGCAATGACCAAACAAGGATTGTAGGACCTAGTCATGTGACGGTAACTAGGCAACGACATTGAGTACACTGCAAGCTATAAATAGACAGGGGGTTGGATGGCTGAATGGTTAGCGTGCGCGCTGTATCATAAAGTCTGTCATTGAGTCGACTGGCGTGGTTTCGAATCCCCGGTTGTACGTGACAAGGAGTAGGGTCGCCTGTCCAACCTCGTGGGTTTTCTCCGGGTCCTCCGGTTTCCTCCCACTGCTAAAGACCCCTACGCGCAAGTGAATTATGTAAATAAAATTAAACCATATGTTAGTCCCGAAATGACCTAGTTTGTGTCGAGTGGACGTTAAACCCCATTTCTCTCTATATAAATAGACCTACAAAGATTGTTGATCCTACAGAGAGTGGGCCAACAATGGGCTATTTTGATTTTTTTTTTTTTCATTTAGAGGTAAAATTACTCATAAATTTTCACATGTAGTTGAATGGTCTGGCGGGCCGGATGACAAAGCTTTGCAGGAAAAGTTTGCCCCACCACTGTTCTGCATAAAATAGAAATTAGTCTAATCAGGTGGTGGGTGTTGTTTCCAGAAATGAAATGAAATGGGGTTTAACGTCCTACTGTTCTGCTCCTAACCTTGGCTAATGAAGACGGACATACGCTATACAGTGTGCTATGAGGGAAATTTTGCCCGGGCAGCGGCGCTACGGCATACTCTTATATCGAATTCCAACTGCCAAGGGATCTTTTATGTGCACACCAATGTGTACACGGGACCTCGGTTTTTCGTCCCATCCGGAAAATCTGGATGAACTTTCTCGGCCAATGCAGGGATCGAACACCCGACCTCCAGGCTAGCGAGCCAGCGTCTTACCCACTTAGTGTTGTTTCCAAGGCAGATCTCAAGAACCATTCAATAAGTGTTTGGCGATGTTTTATTACCGGTGTGGTTCCCCCAAGTCAGTGGTGTAGGACAGAGGGACTGGCAAGGGACAACATATAGTCATTTAAATGGGAAAATAAACCGAAGTCCCTATTGGCATGCACGTAAAAGAACCCTTGACAGTTATAGTTCAGTATTTTGATGAAGGGGTAAAATTTCTCTCATGGCACACTGTATTCCTTAGCCCAGTTGGGGCTGTAAAGTAGGACGTTAAACCCCATAAATTTTTATATTGCAATGTTTCAAATTAGAGTGGTTTTCCTTTTAAAGGAGCTAAATCGCTAATATTCGGGACCTAGAAATTGACACAAATGGGTCGCAACGCACATAATAATGTAATAGGAATGTACATGTATATCTGATATACATTCAATCTTTTCCGTTTTTACTCTGATTTCAAAATCTCTGGTTGTACATGACAAGGAGTAGGGTCGCCTGTCCAACCTCGTGGGTTTTCTCCGGGTCCTCCGGTTTCCTCCCACTGCTAAAGACCCCTACGCGCAAGCAAATTATTGAAATAAAATTAAACCATATGTTGGTCCCGAAATGACCTAGTTTGTGTCGAGTGGACGTTAAACCCCATTTCTCTCTCTCTCTCTACTCTGATTTCAAATCAGTTATGTTCGGCGAAATATGCCAGAAGTCTCTAGCGTTCGGTTATTCCAGTCTACACTGATAGTATTTATTGCACATGCACTCCAAATAAGAATATGGAGTCACCATTTGACATGACTTGTGGAGTATGTCTAGTCCATTCATTTAGTCCCTTGAAAAGTATTATGGTACACGGTCAGTGACTTTGGATGATATTGTGGTATAGACTTAATTAGCTACTTTAACACGATGTTTATTTATTGTGTAATTTTAGTTAAATGAAGATCGTAGTAAAGTAAAAAGAGTCAGTCCATTTGTCGAGCGTGATATCGCCGATATTGACAGTAGAACAGTTTATGTGGTGAGTATTATACATGGTTAAAAAGACACTGGAATCCGGTTATCATTTAATCTTGTGTATTAAGCACCAATTTCTTTCACATTCACTCTATATCAAATCTTTGTTAAAAATTCGTAAAAATTGTTAAAATAACCAAAAATCATCTAATTTGTACTTGTGTTCAGTTTCAAGCTGATCATTCAATTTTGATAATGAGTGTCCAATTTACAAGCATTTAATTTCTTGATCACTGTTAAAAAATAAACAACCCAATTGATTGTTGATGTTTAATGATTAATTTTTAAACAGTGGTCAGGAAATTAAATACTTGTATAAATTGGACACTCATTATCAAAATTAATCAGTCAGCTTTAAACTGGAGAAATTAGTGCAAGATACACAAGATTAAATGATACCTGGGTTACAGTGAGAGAGAGAGAGAGAGAGAGAGAGAGAGAGATTAACGTCCACTCGACACAAACTAGGTTATTTCGGGACTAACATGGTTCAATTTTATTTCCATAATTCGCTTGCGCGTAGGAGTCTTTAGCAGTGGGAGGAAACTGGAGGACCCGGAGAAAACCCACGAGGTTGGTTAGGCGACCCTACTCCTTGTCGCACATCCGGGGAATCGAAACCATGTCAGTTGACTCAATGTCAGACTTTATGATACAGCGTGCACATGCTAACTATTCAGCCACAGCCATCCAACCCCCCTAAAATGATAAAAAGATGATTATAAACAATCCTACTTCCACTCAAAGGGACAATAACACTCTTGCTGGCTTGACAGCTCCAGAAAATAAAAAATAGCCTTATTCTAAGTACTAGATGTGTTAGTGTCCTACCTGTTGTGTAAATTATCCATTAAATCCTATTTTACTTGTCCAGAGGGTTCAAAAATATTTTGAAATCCAAGTCACATTTGAAAAGCTTTACGTCAGGCTTTTCAAATCATTTAGTTGAATTTTTCCAATTTTTTAAATTAGGTGTGTTAAGATGAAATTTGTATCAACAATTAATTTGAATATTGTAAAATAGTACAATTTGTTGACCAGTATAAAGATTGGGACATATTATTCAGTTAAACAAGAATGGTATTGAGCCTTTAATCTTTCCATAATAATTTTTTTATCAATTGAAATGAGAGATGTTTTATCTTTGTATTTTGTAGGAATGTTTACCAAGAAATGTTGATCATGAATGGATGAAGCGAGTGTTTTCAGAATGTGGCGTGGTTAATTACGTCAGTTTACCCAAGTTTAAATCTACTGGAGATACCAAAGGGTTTGGTTTTATAGAATTTGAAACACGAAAGGCAGCCGAAAAAGCTTGTGAGGTATGTATTTTAAAAATGCCATGTGGTTCGTGGGATTCTTACGAAACTTCACTTTTACCCGTCCTGAAATGGACAACTTTATGTCTGTCACAGTGACCGCCCTAGACTCTTAAAACCTTTAGCCAAATTTTTAGCCAATTCAAAATTTTATTAGCCAATTCAGAAAGTTTTAGCCAAATATTTTATATCATTTTTATTCATATGTTTGTTAATTAAAAATGAAAATAAATGTGTGTGTGTGTTTGTTGTATTTTACGTCCGCTTCCACCGAGGTGATATCGCGGACAAAATAAATGTTTAATATGTACTTTTATTTTATGATCAGTAGTGGAATATCGCGTTTTATCAGTGAAATAAAAGTGTTATTCCACTGGCTAGTTGTTTTTACCTAAAATGATTGTAAAATCATAAAATAAATAGAACATTTGTCGTTTTGTCGTGAATAACATATTTTATTTCATCTCTAAGCAAGAAAACGTTTATGTTTTCACTCATGCTACGCATTCGTGAAAATATAAGTTTTCTTGCTTCTCGATGAAATAAAATATGTTATTCACTCTAAAACGACAAATATCCTCTATATATAGTACACAAGAATATTATTTTATCTCCTTGTTCATGCAAAAGTTCACATTATTGAGAGAATGAATGCAGATAACAAAAAAATGTTTATAGGACGTACTTCACAGTCACATGATTTAATTTACTTCATCGTCATAACAGAAAAGACACGACGATTCTTTTTAAGACACCGCTGATTTGAAATTTATGTCCGGTCCATCCATTTTTATAAGCATGAGGTCATTGAGGGTTAGCTCGACGGTCTCGGTTAAAGGTCTAATTTTTGTCCACATGTTGATGAAGCCAACGAAGGACTTGCGTCCGAGATGACACGCTCACTCACGGAAGTAGATTCTGGACTAACAGTAGTCGTAGGAAGGAAAAAGGAATCTATCCTTATTTTGGGTTTACTAGTATTAGTTGTCATTAATGTGCGTTTTATTTATTTGCTGCGTAAGTAAAGAAAACTTGTAGTGAAGCGAATGTAAACAACGCAGTGCCACACAAAAGGGGCGTAACTGTGTTTTATAGTCTCCAGACTCGATCTTTCGGTCGTTTTAATGCGTAATATTGTAACATTGACTGATTTGCGACTTGTAAGATTGAGACTAGAGTAATTAATGTACTAAAAATAGACACTCCATCGAGTCGATCGAAAGAAGTGTTTAACGAGACGATTTCAAGTTTAATATTAGCAGATTTACGAAATAACACTCTCTAAAATTCATTCGCCAAATTTTTCGCCAGTATCATCACTTTATTCGCCAATAAAAATAATTGTCGCCATTGGCGAATTGGCGAATGTCTAGGGCGGTCACTGCTGTCAGATTTCAATCTGATTAAAATACAGACATATATTTCGTATCACTTTTTTTTTTACTTTCGATGACCTCTACTACATGAAGATCTAACCAGTGGATGGTTGCGTCAGAGGTCATATGAGCGGCTTTTTATACGTCCACATGGGAATGTGGTTGTATATTGCTGTCGCCCCCGTCTGTCCGTCCGTCCATCCGTCCGTCCATCGTCCACAATTTCTTGTGAACACTCTACAGGCTACATTTATCATCTGATTGTTTTGAAATTGATATATGTTGTTTGCATTAGTGAGATGAAGAAGCCTATTTAATTTCAATAACTTCTGTTAATTTCTTCTGGAGTTATGGCCCTTGTTTCACTTTGTTGCACCTTGTGAACGCTCAAACAACAAAAGTTATCAACCGATCTGTATGGAATTTATATGCATCATTAAAATTAGTAAAACGAAGAAGCCTATTGAATTTCAGCAATTTCCGTTAATTACATGAGTTATGGCCCTTGTTTCACTTTGTTGAATCTTGTGAACGCTCTAATGACAACAGTTATCATCCGATCTGTTTGAAATTGATATGCATCATTTAAATTAGTGAAATGAAGAAGCCTATTGAATTTCAGCAATTTCCGTTAATTACGCCTTGAGTTATGGCCTTTGTTTCACTTTGTTGTACCTTGTGAATGCTCTAACGACAAAAGTTATTATCCGATCTGTGTAAAATTTATATGCATCATTTAAATTAGTAAAACAAAGAAGCCTATTGAATTTCAGAAATTTCCGTTAATTACATCTAGAGTTATGGCCCTTGTTTCACTTTGTTGAATCTTGTGAATGCTCTAATGACAACAGTTATCATCCGATCTGTTTCTAATTGATATCTGGCATTTAAATTAGTGCAACGAAGAAGCCTATCTAATTTCAGCAATTTCCGTTAATTACGCTGTGAGTTATGGCCCTTGTTTCACTTTGTTGTACCTTGTGAATGCTCTAACGACAAAAGTTATTATCCGATCTGTATGAAATTTATATGTTTAAATTAGTAAAAGGAACAAGCCTATTGAGTTTCAGCAAATTTCTGTTAATTACATCTAGAGTTATGGCCCTTGTTTAACTTTGTTGAATCTTGAGAACGCTGAACAACAAAAGTTATCACCTAATCTGTATGAAATTCATATGCATCATTTGAATTAGTAAAATGAAGAAGCCTATTGAATGTCAGCAATTTCCGTCAATTACTTTTAGAGTAATGGCCCTTGTTTTACTTTGTTGAACCTTGTGAACGTTCGAACGACAAAAGTTATCATCCGATATGTATGAAATTTATATGCATTATTTGAATTAGTAAAACGAAAAAGCCTGTCGAATTTCAACAATTTCTGTAGATTACTTCCAGAGTTACGGCCCTTGTTTTAGTTTTTAGAACCTTGTGAACCCTCAAATGACGAAAATTATAATGTCATCTGTATGATATTGTCTATTAAATTCCCCTAATCACCTACAAAAGAATAATTATGTGACAACCCTTGTCGACTGCTCGGACGATTTAGCTGCTGTGGGCATGTTTTGTTGCCTGGCAACCTATCTTTACCCTATGAGGTCAGACATTTGATTAACCAGTCAGTGTTGATGTTTCTAGTGGGATCGCACGCCAAAACAAAAACTTGCTGCAACAGACCCTTTCACTGGCTAATCCTTCACATCATATAGAACGCGGGTAATATAACAACTCTTCCAGATCCTAGTGTAGTGAAGACAAGTAAAACGAAATTTTGAACTATAAAAAAACGAAACGAAATAGGATCTGTGTTTTAATCAGATTGGTCAAATTATGTGCATTGGTTTTAAATACATGTGGGGGAGCCATGGTGGCTAAGTGGGTAAGATGCTGGCTCGCTAGCCTGGAGATCGGGTGTTTGAGAAAATTCATCGGGATTTTCCGATGTGGTTTTGTCCTTGTCAGTGGGAAAGGGCCTGACAAGGACAGGTTTCTAGTCATTGAGATGGGATGATAAATCAAGGTTCTGTGTATACATTGGTATGCACGTAAAAGATCACTTGGCAGTTGGAATTCGATATAAGAGTAGGCCATAGGGCTGCAACGATTCACAACTACCTCGATTCGGTTCGATTATCGATTTTAACCATTCGATTCGATTATTTTCGATTCGATTATCAGCTACAATAGCCAGTAATTTTTCCTGTATATAATACATTAAAAACAATGAAAACACAAGACTAAAATTCTCTTGAACACTTTTATTGGTTTGACAGGTTTGTTTTTTTTCCTGTTTTATGGGATATGTCAGTGTAGCATACTCTACAAGTTGCCACATCTTTAGAGTTTTTTCTTACACCAAAATGATCCCAAACTTTAGATTTCAAATGACCAGGTGGTCGAGAAAGTACGTCGTCTGCCATAATTTTACCTTCCAGTCGTGTTTGCTTGACTACGGGTAATAATCGTTAAACACGAAAATATCCGAAGATAATGACCGGAATTATCAGCTAATGAGATCGTTTAGAATTTATATAACGATTACCGAAGCTATTGACCTAAATTAACATCCAATGAACATTCGGTACGTCACCAATTTTAAATAAATTAACTTTCGTCAGCATACGGAAATTGTTTTAAAGGGAGGTCACTCTGTTTTAGTTATGTTTTCGAGTGACATTCGTGTCTTGTTAAATAACGTAAATTAAAAGTTACGTAAAAACAAAGTTTTTTTAAATTTTAAGTGGACTTAATTGCTTCAGGTCTTTCATTTTTTTTCATATGGTAAGGTGTACGTTGTTTTTATTTGAAATTTAATTTGCAATTGAACCGAATCGAAATTTGAACGTTGTAGATCGTGGATCGAACCGAGGCGGCTAGAAGAGCCGAACTGAATCATGCCATAGTGCCGCAGCCCAGGCAAAATTTACCTCGTAAATAATTTGTTCATTTTTTTATCACAGTTATTAAATAATCCTCCATTAGAACTTGGCGCCAGACCAGGAAAATTTCCTAAAACGAACAAACAGTTGGAGCAGTTAAAGAAACAAGGCGTCGTAGAAGGTAGGAACTACTCGACTTAATGTCCATTATCATTTTAATACATGATTGTCCAGGTTCATTTTAATACTTGCATAAAATAGGTAGACCTATTGTCCAGGTTCATTTTAATGTGGTGTCCAGTTCTACGATAAACAGGCAAAAGAACAATTTTTTATACGCCCACATGTTCATGTGGACGTATATTGTCGTCGCCCCTCCCCGTCCGTCCACAATTGTTTGTGAACAGTCTACAGTCACAATTTTTATCCGATTTCAATGAAACTTGAAATATAGGTTTATCACCCTAAGATCTTGGTTCCTTTTGATATTGGCATGTATCGGACTGTAACTTTATGGATTATGGCCCCTGATTGTACGAAAAATCACGTTTTTAGCTTGTGAACACTGTAGAGGTCACAATTTTTATTCGATTTGGTTTAAACTTGAAATGTATGCTTGTAACCCAAAGATCTCGGTTCCTTTCCATATTCGCTTGTGCGTAGGGGTCTTTAGCAGTGGGAGGAAACCGGAGAAAACCCACGAGGTTGGACAGGCGACCCTTTTCCTTGTCACGTACAACTGGGGATTTGAAACCACACTAGTTGACTCAATGACAGACCTTATGATACAGTGCGCACGTGCTAACCATTCGGCCACCCAACGCCCCTACACATAACAGAATATGCAACTAAGGAAATGGACATCATAGATGATCAACTTAATGTTGATGGTACTTTAACTTCTCTTTCATTTTATTTCCATATTTGGGGGATCACGTGGCTAAGTGGGTAAGACGCTAGCTCGCTAGCCTGGAGGTCGGGTGTTCGATCCCTGCATTGGCCGAGAGAGTTCATCCAGATTTTCCGGCATGATTTCCCCTTGTCAGTGATGCACGATTGAGGGCCCGACAAGGACAGCTGTCTAGTCGTTCGCATGGGACGAGGGGATCACGTGGCTAAGTGGGTAAGACGCTAGCTCGCTAGCCTGGAGGTCGGGTGTTCGATCCCTGCATTGGCCGAGAGAGTTCATCCAGATTTTCCGGCATGATTTCCCCTTGTCAGTGATGCACGATTGAGGGCCCGACAAGGACAGCTGTCTAGTCGTTCACATGGGACGAGGGGATCACGTGGCTAAGTGGGTAAGACGCTAGCTCGCTAGCCTGGAGGTCGGGTGTTCGATCCCTGCATTGGCCGAGAAAGTTCATCCAGATTTTCCGGCGTGGTTCTCCCTTGTCAGTGATGCAGGAAGGAGGGGCTGACAAGGAAAGCTGTCTAGTCGTTCGGATGGGCCGAAAAACCGAGGTCCCGTGTACACATTGGCGTGCACGTAAAAGATCCCTTGGCAGTTGGAATTCGATATAAGAGTAGGCCGTAGTGCCGCTGTCCGGGCAAAATTTCCCTCATAGCACACTGTATGGCGTATGCCCGTCTTCATTAGCCCAGGTTAGGAGCAGAACAGTAGGATGTTAAACCCCATTTCATTTCATTTAATTTTATTTCCATATTTAGATTCAAAGCAAACAATTTTACACTTGTATAAATTTTTCATTTTTATTTTCCATCGCAATTAGAAGAGACAGAAATGGTGACAGAAATTCCAGAACAAAAATCTGAAACTATTTTAACGAAAGGAAAACGTAAGAGGCATAGGAATACAAGTGAAAGTAGTGTAGATTATTCAGATTCTACAACACCAAAAAAACTGAAGCAATCAACATCGGAGGATACCTTGGTAACGGAAACAAAAGATGATGGGCCAAGAAAGTCACTGGATGGTAAAGTAGAAGATGACGTTTCACGATCTAAGAAAAAAAAGAAAAAGAAGAAAAATCGCCGATCCGTAGAAGCTAATAAAACAGACGAGGAATCTGAATTTACAGATATTTGTCATGGAGATAATAAAACTGACACAGTGTGTAACCAAGGTGATAAAATTGAAAGTAAACAGGAAAGTGAAAGTAAAGATTCTAAAGGTGACTGTAAAAAAACTGATGGTGGTGTCGACAAAAGTAATGATAGTTCCAATTTAAAACGTAAACGTTTATCGGAAGACAATAAATGTGAAGAGCACAGTGATAGCAGTGATGTATCGCCACAGAAACGAAAGCGAAAAATGGAAGAAAGTGTGGACTGTAGTTCTGAGTCAGATATAAAATCTAAAAAGAAATCTCGGAGTAGTGTAGAATTCTCCGACCCGGTCGTTCAAACTGTGAAATTAGAAAAAAGTCAAGATACAGGTCCTGGAGAGAAGAAAAAGAAAAAACGGAGAAAGAGGAAGAAGAAAGAAATTAAAGAAGCTGAAACTTTACATCTACGAGTTTTACCAAAGTAAGATAAATAATATACACTACATGTTTGGTATTATCTATTTTTAGGGGGGTTGAATGGCCAAATAATTAGCACATGCATGCTGTATCATAAGGTCTGTCATTGAGTCAACTGGCGTTGTTTCGATTCCCCGGTTGTGTGTGACAAGGAGTAGGGTCATCTGTCCAGCCTCGTGGATTTTCTCCGGGTCCTCTGGTTTCTTCCCACTTCTAAAGACCCCTACGTGCAAGCGAATTATTGAAATAAAATTAAACCATATGTTAATCCCGAAATGACTTAGTTTGTGTTGAGTGGATGTTAAACTGGAGGACCCGGAGAAAACCCACGAGGTTGGACAGGAGACCCTACTCCTTGTCACAGACAACCGGGGAATCGAAACAACGCCAGTTGACTCAATGACAGACCTTATGATACAGCATGCACGTGTGACAAGGAGTAGGGTCATCTGTCCAGCCTCGTGGATTTTCTCCGGGTCCTCTGGTTTCTTCCCACTTCTAAAGACCCCTACGTGCAAGCGAATTATTGAAATAAAATTAAACCATATGTTAATCCCGAAATGACTTAGTTTGTGTTGAGTGGATGTTAAACTGGAGGACCCGGAGAAAACCCACGAGGTTGGACAGGAGACCCTACTCCTTGTCACGTACAAACAGGGAATCGAAACGACGCCAGTTGACTCAATGACAGACCTTAAGATACAGTACATCGCGCACACGCTAACCATTCGGACATGCCCCCCAACCCCCATTTCAATTGACAAAATACTAAATTGTGACATATCTTTATAGAACAGAGTGGTTACAACTACGAAAACAGTATCTAAACATACAGAAAACCAATATGTCTACCTTAAAGAAGAAATTACAGCAAATACAGAAAGAAAATAAAGCGGAAATGTTGGATAGCAGTAAAAAGGGAGATAATAAGACAATTGAATATATTCCTGGTGTTATCGTGCACATCGAATCACAGATACCATTAGAGAAAAAAGAAATGAGGGTAAAATTTTTGTTTATTTGTTCGGAGTTAGGTGGTGTTAGAGAGAGAGAGAAATGGGGTTTAACATCCACTCAACACAAACATGGTTCAATTTTATTTTAATAATTCGCTTGCATGTAGGGGTGTTTAGCAGTGGAAGAAACCAGAGGACCAGGAGGAAACACACAAGGTTGTACAGGCGACCCTACTCCCTGTCACATACAACCGGGGAATCGGGTGGTGTAAGAGGTTGGGCGGTGTGTAAGAGTTGGGTAGTGTAAGAGTTGGGCAGTGTAAGAGTACGAAAACCTTCAGAAATTTTCAGATCTGGTTATTACAGACATAGACAGGCTATGGAGGTTTAACTGTGTGCACATTGGTGTGCACAAAATACATTGTATAACCATTGTCATTTGATGTGCTAAGAAGTGATGGTTTCTGGGCAAATAGCAGCATGTACACCATCTCGTCAAAAAGTTGTAACTACCAAGGGGGGTTGGATGGCTGAATGGTTAGCGTGCGCGCGCTGTATCATAAAGTCTGTCATTGAGTCGACTGGCGTGGTTTCGAATCCCCGGTTGTACGTGGCAAGGAGTAGGGTCGCCTGTCCAACCTCGTGGGTTTTCTCCGGGTCCTCCGGTTTCCTCCCACTGCTAAAGACCCCTACGCGCAAGCGAATTATGTAAATAAAATTAAACCATATATTAGTCCCGAAATGACCTAGTTTGTGTCGAGTGGACGTTAAACCCCATTTCTCTCTTTCTCTCTGTAACTACCAACGTGTATGTATACAGGACATCAGGCTTTTTTTTGTCCACTTCCGAACTACTCAACACTTTTCTTTGCCTGCACCACTCCTTCCTGTATCAGTGACAAGGGTACACAACTCTGTCATGTATCAGTGACAAGGGTACACATCTCCATCCTGCACCAGTGACGAGGGTACTCCACTTCATCCAGTATCAGTGACAAAGGTCCATCCTGTATCAGGGTACTCAACTCTGTCCTGTATCAGTGACAAGGCTACAGCCTTAAATTGTTTTAGTTTAAGTTTTTGTTAATTGGCTCCTGTTCATTAAAATCCCATGTTAATTAGGTCCCTGGTCAATCTCATGTTAATTTGGTCCCTTCCCTGGTCTATCTCATGTTAATTTGGTCCCTGGTCTATCTCATGTTAATTTGGTCCCTGGTCTATCTCATGTTAATTTGGTCCCTTCCCTGGTCTATCTCATGTTAATTTGGTCCCAGGTCTATCTCATGTTATTTAGGTCCCTGGTCATTAAATCCCATGTTAATATATTACAGGAGATATTTAATGAAGATATAAAGATAGCATATATTGATGTAACCGATGGTAACAAGTCAGGATATATCAGATGTAAAGATGTCTATAGTGCCATGATGGTTGTCAATAGCAACATAGAATACTATAAACTAGATCTTTTATCAGGTGAGAAGCACTGGGGTCATGAGAGGACGAACCCTAATGATATTCAGCGTTCTGCGACTTTTAGTTCCAAAGTTATGCCCCTTTTTCTGAAAACCTTGTGAACGCAATTTGCATGGAGGAGCAATTTGTTAAATTGGAGGTTTATTCATCCATTGAAGAATAGAACAAACAAATAAATCAACCTCAGTATGGCCTGCACTACATGAAGATCTGACCAGTTGTTTTTGGAGGTCACGTCAGGGGTCATACAAGCGACTTTAGACCCTGTGACGTTGATGTTTCTACTGGGATACCCACAGTTCCATGCAACGCACACCAAGAACGCGAGTTATATAACGAAATTGTATAAGTAAAACGAAATTTTGAACTGTAATAAAACGAAACGAAATAGGATCTGTGTTTTAATCAGATTGTTATTTACGACCCTCGGAAAGGATTTGAAAATTTTAACATACAAACTTTCATTGTTCTATAATTAATTGGTTAAATATATTTTTTATCTAGGAGAAGAAGAAGAAAATTATTGGAAGAAATTGAAATCTGATCGAGAGAACAAACTCAACAATAAACAAAGACCTAAAAAACGTGGAATGCAGAAGGTAGAGTTACAGAGGCATTACATGTATTCAGGTTCACCCGCGTGTACAGATTGCCGTGCATGTCAGAGAACACATGACACTTGGAAGTCGAAGATGGTTAGGCAGAAAAAAACATTCTCTAAGCAACATTATTCCCCCATTTCACATTGCACAAGGGGGGGTTGGATTGCCGAATGGTTAGTGCGTGCTTGTTGTATCATAAGGTCTGTTATTGAGTCAACTGGCGTGGTTTCGATTCTACGCTTGTACATGACAAGTAGTAGGGTCGCCTGTCCAACATCATGGGTTTTCTCTGGGTCCTCCGTTTTCCTCGCATGCTAAAGACCCCTATGCAAGCGAATTAATGAAATAAAATTGAACCATATGTTAGTCCCAAAATGACCTAGTTGTGGCCGTTAACCCCCCCTCTCTCTCTCTCTCTCTCTCTCTCTCTCTCTCTCTCTCTCTCTCTCATTGCAGGCATATTTACCAGACTGATAAATTCTGAATAACTTTTATCCCAACCTACCCAGTCTATACTCTATATCTTTTATCCCAACCCATCTGGTCTATATTCTTTATCTTTTATCCCAACCAACCCAGTCTATAATCTATATCTGTTATTCCACACAGCCCAACCAACCCAGTCTATATTCTATATCTTTTATTCCAGCTGATTGATAAAGCCCAGAAAATAAATGCAGAAGTTTTGGATAAGAAACATGTGTTTTTTGAAGATTGAGTTGATTCAGTGTTACTAAACAGATTGTTGGCGTGACCGCTGCTTGTACTGTTTGTTTTGATGGTGCTGAACGTCCACTTCCACCAAGGATGATATCCCTGACTAGAATCACTCCCAGACGAACTACTATTACTACTTGTACTGATTGGGATCCCAGCTGAATGAAAGAAATTGTTTGGTTGTAATTATTAACTAATCAACTGTTTAAATAACATTTATAAACACAACTGGATTGACTGAACACCAAAGTTGTATGAGGGCCCTACACTGTTAGAAATCATTGTAATTTTACAATTGTAAAAGGGTTTACAATAAATATCTTGTTATCTATATGTTAAACATACATTATGCAAGAGCTAAATCTGTCTATTGCAGGTCTTTCTTTAGGCCTGAAATGTTATCTAACTATTAATTAGACATCAGTTAACTTAACCAGACCATAATTAACTCTCGATGGCATCGCTAGTCTGCGATATTTTCTGGATTGGAATCCTATCTGCTGCTTAATGCTCATTTATAATTAAATCAAAAAATGGATAATCGAGACTATGTTTTTTATCGTACAGACGTTAGTAAAGATGATTGAGGCAAGACCTAAATTTCAATCGCTAAAATCTCGGTTCAGAGTGAATCAATTTCATTGAAATTTTCAGCAAATTCCCTTTTACATTATCTAGTTTTTTACTATTAAAGTGAGAACTGCCATCTCATTATCTAATCTCCCATAATGTATCTTTAATTAATAAATTATATCAAAGTTGTATGGGCCACTCCACTGTTACAAAACATTGTAATATAGTATAAATGTACTACGTGTTATTTACTATGTTTACAATAATTATCATGTTATCTATGTCATTTAATGGGGATCACGGTGGCTAAGTGGGTAAGACGCTGGCTCGCTAGCCTGGAGGTTGGGTGTTCGATCCCTGCATTGGCCGAAAAGTTCATCCAGATTTTCCGGCGTGGTTTCCCCTTGTCAGTGATGCATGATGGAGGGTCTGACAAGGACAGCTGTCTAGTCGTTCGGATGAGACGAAAAACCGAGGTCAGTGTACACATTGGCATGCACGTAAAAGATCCCTTGTCAGTTGGAATTCGATATTAGAGTAGGCCGTAGCGCCGCTGCCAGGGCAAAATTTCCCTCATGGCACACTGTATGGCGTATGCCCGTCTTCATTAGCCCAGGTTAGGAGCAGAACAGTAGGACGTTAAACCCCATTTCATTTCATTTCATTTCATTCATTCATGTCATTTAATAATCGCCAATGATATTCCTGATGCAATGGCCCGAGAAATCCCTCTCTTTCCATCGCTGGATTCAGTGAATTGCCTTCTGATACTTGAGCTTTCTTCTTAGTCAATCAAATCTATCCCAAGTACATCAGCATGACAGCCCTTCGTTTTATCTGGGGTCTTCGATAAGACTTTGGACAGTGATTTAAGATATTAAAAATGGCAAAAATATTGTTCGTCTCCAAACAGTATTGTTTACATTGTAGCGGTTGATAGTCTTGTTTGTCACGAAATTAGTTTTTCTGAAATATTCACTGGTTAATTGGGCGTATTAAATTTCGTAAGTCATGACGTAACGTTATTAGTAAGTGCAGAAGGACCACACTACACGCTAAACAAAAATCTAAACAAATTTGATCCAATTTGGAGCTCTGCTTAAAGCTGAATGATATTAGTACGCAGTTAGGTATTGGTTGTTAATCGGCCTATTGATCAGTCATAATTTGGAACAGAAATTTGCTTCCATTACAGCAATGTTAAGTGGGATTAGGTCTAATCAAACGAAATACTGCGAGGAGTCATGTTCCTGAAGCAATGACTGCGAGTTTTACAACATCTGGACGTTGCTAGATTACTTTACAATTCACAAACTTATAGCTACGTTATCTGCAGACACGTGAACAGTAGCATCCAATCAAAGGTTGCGACATAGCGACCTCCACGGAAACCTTGACATTGAACGAACCTTGTACTTTGCAACTTGATTATCACAGGTAGACATTTTAGCTAGAAAGCGTGAGACATGGTATTCGCGATTATCGAGGAATCTGATAGTTTGGTGAATACCGAATCGAAACTAGTGCCGAAAAATGCAGGGTATTACGTGAAGGCCTTGATAAGATGTACGTTGTTAAAGCGAGACCTAGCCTTCTATTGAAGATGACCAGGAGTATGAATGATACGACTATGATATAAATAGACTTGTTGAATCCAGGATACACAGCATATTATTTTACTTCTACTTTCTACAATCATTAACATAATGTTGAAAAAACAAAAATGTAAAGTCAAGCACACTCGGCAAACCATAGCAGATCCCAGTACCCTACTGTCTAGCCTCGGATATATGACGAAATATGCTATTGGAACTACTTTCAAATTCCCGAATTACCAACGGCGAACCCTTTGAAGAATGTTTTATCATACAAATATTTCAATGTCTGAAGCTTTGAAATATTTCAAGTTTATCCGATTTTCTTCAAACAAGGACAACTTTGCACTAAAAATTCTACACACACTTCAAAGTTCGAACTACACAATTTTGATAACTTCTTTTTAGAAGCGGCAAGTTTTTCTATAACTAAACCGGCGCCACAAGTATGCAATTATATAGGCGGAGGTACATATCACTTACGGTCATACAGCCGACACTAGATATAGAGTAACGGAATCTGGCGAGGTTTGCCGAGTGAGTAAAGCATTGATGCCGATTTGGCTTCACTCAACTCCGATTCTAAACCTGTGCACCTAAATGAGAAATACGTGGCTGTTGTTTTCTACGCTGTCTTTACTAGCCTAGTTGGTTTACAACAGTAGGATATTAAACCGTTTCAATTGTTTTCTACATGAACACTTAACGCATGAAGACGGTGGGTAATAATCACAAAATGAAGTGGGGTTTAACCAGAAAGATGGTGGGTAATAATCACAAAATGAAGTGGAGTTTAACGCATGCCTATAAAATTTAGAGAGCAAAATGTTGATTTAGATCAACTAATGGTCACCATATTGAATTGAATATGAATGTGAAAATAATCACAATAGACTGTAGTTCGCCTCCTGCTTCCGAAATGAACACATTTCTTGATAGCTTTGATCAGCGTCGAATGTTTGGTATTTCAAAATTTCGAATTTTGCCGTTGACGTTTATCGTGCCGAAATTTCCAAAATTTACAAATATGACCTATATATTCGAACAACTGAGATCAATCTGATTCCAAGAATATAAGTTCCATTCAAAGTTATTTATTTTATTTTTCGATATTTTCCCGCCATTTTCAATTCATTTTCTGATCCGCCCCGTTTTTAAACGGTTTGATTGATTTTTCTGAAACTTCTGGAGCAGGCAGTCAATCCGATTACAACAATACAAGTCTCAGTTATTTCCTAGATTATTTTTCCGCCCGGGTGCAATATTTCTCGCTACATTTAAGCTTATACCTTAGCGAGCTTTTGACCGATTTTAATAATTATTTTTTCTCATTGAGTTTCTTTAAATAACCCATGACATGTAACAGGAAATGACCGTGAATATGAAAGCTTTCACATCTGTCTGTCAGATCTAGTTATTATTATTATTATTATTGATTTGTGCAATGGGTGACGTGTCGCTTTAGTCTTCCATTATTTAACATTGAAAAGGACGAGGCGTGGCTGAAATAGAACACCATAGCCTACCGGAGGGAGTCAAATCGTGTGGCGCTACCAGTTCAAACCGAGATAATCGACTGCTGGTTAACCGTGATCGACTCAAGACCAGTGGCTACATAAATAGGCCTACGCAGGATACTTAGGTGAGTAGCCTAATATAAATGATGTAAGGTAGTCCATTAAGTGGAAACTGATAATGATATCGGCATTTCTCTTCAGCGGGTATTTCCAGATGTATTCTACACACTGGGTATTCCCAACATAGGAGATAGCTACATTCATATTAAGTTTGTAGAACCTCGTGGACCCGCAAATTGTCTTGTAGCCTATTTGCCCAGAACCGCAAATTGTCCTGTAAATGCCCCCAATACCAACCTACAAAAGAATAAATATTCGACAACCCTTGTCAACCTGTCGGACGATTTAGCTGTTGTGGGTGTATGTTTAGTTGTCTGGCAACCTATATTTTCATGTGAATATATATTTTATGTGTCAAAACAATGAATAACTTCATTTACTAATGGATAATTAAATTGGTCCTTCAAATTACGAAAGTAAAAGTAGAATTTTCTAAGAAACATTTTACTTTCAGTTTTCAATTCACTTGAAATAATTCGGTTATCAAGTCTGCAACATTAATATCCATTCGTCATTCTCGGTTATGGAAGCCTATAACTACCATTCATAATTTCTACTTTGTTCGGTTAACAAAAGTTTTGTGTAGCTATCGCGTCGATACTAGGTCAGATCTATCTGCCAAGGCCACCTGCTATGGCAAGCCAAAGCGGAATTAATTGCAAGACCGTTTTTATACGCCCACATAGAAATGTGGACGTATATTGCCGTCGCCCCCGTCCGTCGTCCACAATTTCTTGTGAACGCTCTAACACCAAAGGTTATCATCCAATTGTTTTAAAATTGATATATGTTGTTTACATTAGTGAGATGAAGAAGCCTATTTAATTTCAATAATTTCCGTTTATAACGTCTAGAGTTATGGCCCTTGTTTCACTTTGTTGAACCTTGTGAACGCTCTAATGCCAAAAGTTAACATCCGATCTTTGTGAAATTTATATGCAATATTTAAATTGGGGAAACGAAGAAGCCTATTGAATTTCAGCAATTTCCGTTTATTACTTTTAGAGTTATGGTCCTTGTTTCACTTTTTTAACCTTGTGAACACTCTAACCCCAAAAATTATTATCCTATCTTTCTGAAATTTATATGCATTATTTACATTAGCGAAACGAAGAAGCCTATTGAATTTCAGCAATTTCTGTGTATTACGTCTAGAGTTATGGCCATTGTTTCACTTTATTGAACCTTGTGAACGCTCTAACACCAAAAGTTATCACCCGATCTTTCTGAAATGTATATGCATTATTTAAATAAGTGAAACGAAGAAGCTTATTGAATTTCGCCTAGAGTTATGGCCCTTGTTTCACTTTATTGAACTTTGTGAATGCTCTAACATCAAAAGCTATCTGCCGATCTATATGAAATTTACATGCATCATTTAAATTAGTAAAGAGAAGAATCCTATTGAATTTCAGCAATTTCCTTTTATTACTTCTAGAGTTATTGCCCTTGTTTAACTTTGTTCAACCTTGTTAATGCTCGATTGATGAAAGTTATCATCCGATATGTATGAAATTTATATGCATCATTTAAATTTGTGAAACGAAAAAGCCTGTCAAATTTCAACAATTTCTGTAGATTACTTCCACAGAGTTGAGACCCTTGTTTCAATTTGTAGAACCGTGTAAACCCTCAAACGGCAAAAATTGTAATCTGATCTGTATAATAATAATAATAATAATAAAAACTTTATTTAATGAGGCAACGTATTTAGTTTGCAAAAAAACTAATCTTCCATGGGTCCCTCCTAAGCTACAAAGACATATATACATGTAATATCAGGATAAATTTAAAATCATTAGAAATGCAATAGCATTTTAAAGTGGGAACTTTGATAAGTCACTCCCAAACTCCCAAACTACAAAACATATACATTATACGAGTAGAATATAGGAAGAACACTATAATTACACACAAAATAAAATAGAATTCAATTGCAAGTTAAAAATAATAAGTATGTCATCAGTTGAATATTATGGTTCCTTCAGTGTGCAAAATAAATGACTTTTCAGTTTAATCTTAAAATTTTCAACATTTTTACACATCTTTATATCAAAAGGCAGATTGTTCCATACAAGACATGCAGAATAATGAAAAGTACGTTTCATGGATTCCGTTTTGCATTTTTGAAGAAAAAGAGATTTACTGGTCCGTGAACGGAGTAAGATATCCGTTTTGGAAACAAGAGATTTTTCAATAAAATAGAAATTTAGATAAAGTGGAGTATTAAATGTAATAATTCTGAATGATAAGACAATTTTATTGTAAAGAATCCTCTGTCTTGTAAAGGCCCCAATTATCTACAAAGGAATAAATATGCGACAACCCTTGTCGACCGCACGGACGATTTAGCCGCTGTGGGCGTATGTTTCGTTGCCTGGCAACCTATCTTTCTGTATGGAAAGAGAAAAAATCAAGTATATAACAATTTTTCATCACCTTCCAAGCATTTTTTTTTCTGTACAAAACGACGTATATCAATAAAGATTATTTTTTTTCCACTGCTGCTCTTGTATTTTGTTAAAATCAAGTCAATTTATACTGTTCTCGGAAATATTTTACCACTATATTCGGTTTTTATAAACAATTCAACAAAATTATTTCTCACATGTCAAGACAAAAAAAAAACGGTCTTGCAATTAATTCCGCTTTGGCTTGCCATAACCTGCAGATTTCCTCAAGGTCACGACTTTAGTAATAATGTCGGAGGCTAGGCCTAAAAATCAATCGTTAATATCTCGGTTCAAAGGGGAGCAATTTGACTGAATTTTTCAGCATATTCCCTGTACATTTTCGAGTTTTTAACTATTATAGTGAGAACTGAGAGCTCTTTATTTGATCTTCCTAGTGTCCCCGGAAGCGAATTTGCCCACTGCAAGATACTATCGACATGGTATTCACCATAAGCCATTAAAATAAGTATGACCAATCTATTTGCTTTGTTGCATCTAGTAACAATTTGTTAAAGATACATTATGGTAGTTCTCACTATAATAGTTAAAAACTAGATAATGTAAAGGGAATATGCTGAAATTTCAGTCAAATTGATCCACTATGAACCGAGATTTTAGAGATTGAATGTTCGGTCTAGCCTCGATCATCATTACTAAAGTCGATAGGATAAAAAAACATAGTCTGGATTATCCATTTCATGATTTAATTATGAATGGAAGTCGAACAGCAAATCGGAACCTAATCCAATAAACATCACAGGCTAACGATGGCATCGAGAGTTGATTATGGTTTGGATAAGTTAATTAATGTCTAATTAATAATTCATATAACATTTCAGGCCTAAAGAAAGACCTGCAATTGGCAGATTTAGCTCTTGCATAATGTATGTTTAATCTAACAATTGATGGTTTATCAATTATTCTTTTTTCAGGATTCCACGTTGAAGCAAGATGGAGGATGCTAGATGTCATTTTGATTTGGATCTAAATGTCAAGACAGCTAGGGACAGACAAGAGGTCGAGACAAGGATAACTATTTTGAAAGGTTATATCAACGGAGGCATTGAACCACTTAAATTAGCCAATAAACATCTACTTGGTTTGCTGTATTATTACATTAATAAGCTTGACGAATCATATGATACTTTTAAATCTATTGTAGATGAAGATCCAACAAATTTGAACGCCTTGGCTAATCTAGCGCATGTCTGTCGTGGGATTTTAAGCACAAAAGAAGCTGCCGAGTATGAGAGTTGTCGAAACCAGGTTTATGACAATGCGGATGAGTTAATTTTAGCGCGCTTTAAAGCAGAACATGCGTATGCGCTTGCTTTTGAAATCTACCATAGTACGCATGAATCACGAAGGTATCACAGATCCAATGAAATGTATGATGAATGTCTGAGCAAGATTTCTGAAAAGGCAGATGCACAAATTGAGAGAGCTGCATGGATGATTTGTAAAATTTGGAACTTTAAAAAACTATTCAATAGGAACTACTTAAAAGAGCAAGAAAAATTCAAAAATAAGGCAATGTATGATGACATCATGCATTTATTGCTCCAGATTCAGAACAATGTTCCGGAAGATTCGACACTGGCCGCTTTAGCATGGGCAAATTTTGGTTATTTTTTCTGGAAGAAGCCTTGCATGCCATCTCATAAAAAGGGTTGCGATGATATGACTGGTATTCAAATGCCAAGTGAGATTAAAGGCACGGAAATGGAAAAATTCTATGATGACCCAAAGAGCTGCTTTGAAAGGGCGTTGCAGATTAAAGAACACAAGGAAGTGCTGGAATTGTATGGAAGTTGGCTTCTGCACAAGACCGACTTCGATACATCTGTGAAAATATTTTCGCGGTCCATCAAACTAGATTCTTCAGACAGTAGCTATTTTTCTTACTGTAAACGTGCAGAATGCCGGTTAACAAAATGTCAAAAAGCGAATACAGCTCTTAATGAACTCATGAAAGCCGCTGAAAGATCGGTTGATATAACCCATGATTTGGAACTTGCTGTAGAAGATTTTGAGCTTGTTGTTCGAGTAAACCCTACTGCTTACACTTATCGACAACTAGGACGCTGTTTTCTTTTGCTCTCCAAACGTGGCAAAGATAAAAGAATACGGGCAAAGGCCCTTGCAGCATACCAGAAAGGCCTAGCATGTTTGGATGGTAAAAAAGATCCATGTCTTCATTTTAAACATGCTGAATGTTTAAAGGCACTAGGAGAGGATACGCAGGCCAGGGTGAGCATGCAGAGATCTGTAGAAAACCAAAATCCACAATCTACCTTTGTTCTGGATATAGAATTCTTAATGACATGGTACATGGAGTTGTGCAACGATGGAAGCACAGAGATTATTCCAGAAGCAGCTTTTTGGTTTAAAATGGCTTTCTCCAAATACAGCAGGAAAGAATTTAAAACAATGACCGTGGCATTGATAAATACAGATATCGACTTCTTTATAAAACTTTTTGGGTGTTTATGGAAAGATGCTAGCCCACAGTTGGAAGAATTTATCATGGATGTCTTGAAAGACATCGAAGATTCCCTTTCTAATTCTCGCCTTCACCAGTTTTTATCGTCTTCTCGGTCTACAGGAAGTGAAACGTCTACTAAGGAAATTAGAGATTCCGGTGCCATGCGACCGCGGAATAAGAAGGGTTTCGAGTATGATTTTTTTATTGTACATAGTAACCGAGACGGGAACTGGGTTAAATTTAGTTTGTTGCATCACATGGAGATCATTCGAAATTTTAAGGGGTTAATTGATATGAGGGATTTTAAACCTGGAAAGACTATTTTGGAAAATATCGAAGAGGCTATACGTGATAGTTACAAGGTTATTTTGTATATTACTGATAACTTTACGCAGAGCGACTGGTGCAATCACGAAGCCCAAACGGCTCTAACGCGTGCGCTAACTAATCGCCAGAAAGGTAGTATTATACCAATTCGAGAAGGTACGACAAAAGTTCCCGACTTCTTGTCGAATGTAACCAATCTCAATATAGAAGAAGGTGTCATAGGTGAAACTGATTTGGAGAGACTAGTTCAAGCTCTTGACGAATGAGTACTATTCCTAATAGTACAGGTGTGCGAGGGGGGAGGGACTTTTAATTTTATGCACCGTTACTTTGGAACAAATTACCTTATTTTATTCGGAAATCTCCATCAATTATTACATTCAAATCGCATTTCAAAACTCATTTAAAATATTCATTTTGTCTTAAATATTGGTTATCAGAAGCGCAACTTTTTACGGTAAGATAACAACATTAATGTTGATTTAAATTGACCAATAAGTCGTGTTTGCAATGTCGATATAGAGTTAAAGACTTCGTTCCTTTAATGCGTATCTCTTAACCGAGAATTACAATCACCCATTTCGTTACAGTATATTACTGTATTTGTTATGACAATCACCCATTACGTCACAGTATATTACTGTATTTGTTATGAATTGTAGCACAAAATTAAAATGTTCTTGGTTGTGATTAGTTGGAATTCCTTCACCATTGGACAATAACATCTGTCTAAATTCGGGGAATTTCAATGCGAAATGATATCATTCAATCGTAGCATTGAAATCGCCGAATTTGGGAGTTACTTTAAATATTGCCCTAATATATATAACAATAATCGTTGGATTTTAACCATTGAAAAGACGGACCACATAGCTTTTTGAATTTCGTCAAATCTTCACAAATATTAATTGCCAAACTATAAAAAAATTAAATTTTAAGTATCTTTTTTTTGTTATTTATGAATATTTCATAGCAGTTCATCTTTAAATATTTATTTATGAATATTTTTTATGGCAGTTCATTTTTTTTCTCCAATTAGCTTAAAACAAGACTCATTTGATCATAGGTGCAAAATATCAAAAAGAACTATATTATTAATACAATGTTCTCTGCCTAGAAAGTGACGCTATTTTGACAAAAACTCAGTTTTGACAAGTCTTTTCTTTCCTTCTTTATTTAGATATAGGGAGAAAGTATGGTCGAATGGTTAGCGCGTGCGCGCTGTATCGTTAAGCCTGTCATTGAGTCAACTGGCATGGTTTCGATTCCCCGGTTGTACGTGACAAAGTGTAGTGTCGCCTGTCCAACCTCGTGTGTTTTTTCCAGGTCGTCCGGTTTCCTCCCACTGCTAAAGACCCCTACGCGCAAGCGAATTATTGAAATATAATTGACCTGGTTTGTGTCGAGTGGATGTTAAACCCCATCTCTCTCTCTCTCTCTCTCTCTCTCTCTTTCTCTCATTTTGTTTATCGGAAGTTTCAGATTAGGTTATGGGTTTAAAATGAGATATTTAGATGAAACAGAACAACATATTGCACACTGTATATGTTATTATTAAAATCAGAAGTTTGTCAATTTGTTGTTCGTTATATTGTCTGAAATGGACATTGATCTATGGTCAACACATTTTATAATAATCCGACAAGGGGAACGAAATAATATAGTTTTATTTAAATTGTGAAGCGCATGGTTTACCCTGGTCAGTGAGCCAGAACTTCGGATCTGGCAAGGAACAAAGTCTAGTCGTTCGGATGGGACGAAAAAAGGAGATCAAACGTAGCGTGCACATTGTCGTATCCGTGATGCCGGTAGTTTGAATCCGAAATAAGATTATGCCGCAGTGCCGCTTTCCGGGCAAAACTCCCCCATACCACATTGTATGGCGTATGGTCATCTCTATTAGCCCATTTTATATTAATTTAAGACGTATTATGAACCGAGGTCCTGACAAAGGACAACGTATAGTCATTCGGATGGGACGAAAAATCTTGTCGTCCTAGTTGAATATTGCACAGCTATTTCCTCATACTGTCATCGGGGAGCCATGGTGGCTCAGTGAGTAAGACGTTGGCTCGCTAACTTGGAGGTCACGAGTTCGATCCCTGAGTTGGCCGAGAAAGTTCATCGAGATTTTCCGACGTGGTTTCTCCTTGTCAGTGGTGCAGGACCGAGGTCCTGGCAATGTTTAGTCGTTCGGATGGGACACACTGGCATTCACGTAAAAGATCCCTTGGCAGTCGGAATTCGATATAAGAGTAGGCTGTAGCGCCGCTGTCCGGGCAAAATTTCTCTCAGAGCACACTGTATGACGTATGCGCATCTTCATTAGCCCATTCGGAGCACAATAGTAGGACGTTAAATCCCCTTTCATTGCATTTATACTGTCATTGAATAAAACGCTCCCTTGAATATTTAAAAACAAAAATTTTAATGTCCAAATGCAATTCGTTTAAAAACTTTATTTTTGAAAGATCTTGCAGTTCTACCCATTGGATAGATTAATTAACTGTCGCATTACGCATTCTATCAATGTTAATCGGGTTGTTGTGATTCATAATTAGATTAATGGATTAATGCTAATCCATTTATTTACATGGAAACAAAATTACCAGGGAGACACGTGACACGGTGTATATAAGTCAAGGTTCATCTATCTTAAACATTCACCCTGTCTTCTAGTTTTCACTGTTAACCTTGTTACCTTCCAACATGAGAGAAATCGTCCATATGCAAACTGGCCAATGTGGCAACCAGATTGGAGCTAAGGTATGTTTAAATAATATATAACTTGTTGAGCTATGCTTTCCTAGGTTTTGAGGTGGATGGGTGGCCGAATGGTTAACGCGTGTGCATTGCATCATAAGGTCTGCCATTGATTCAAGTGGCGTGGTTCCGATTTTTCGCTTCTACATGACAAGGAGTAAGGTCACCTGACCAACCTCATGGGTTTACTCCGGATTCTTCGGCTTCCTCCCACGGCTAAAGACCTTACGCGCAAGCGTATTATTGAAATAAAATTGAACCATTTTTTAGTTCCGAAATGACCTAGTTTGTGTGAAGTGGGGGTTAACTTTCTCTCTCTTGTCTCTTATTTGGGGCTATTAGCCATCAGGGATCACAGGAGTCACATTCTGTTTGTCCAGTTAAAGTATCCACAGGAGGTGCAGGTTTAATTATATTTTAATATAGAATTGGTTGTAGCTATGGATAAATACCATAAATCGATCCTGACATTACGATAACTCCGATAATTAAATTGAGACGAAAAACCGAGGTCCTATGTACACATTGGCGTGCACGTAAAAGATCCCTTGACAGTTGGAATTCGATATAAGAGTAGGCCATAGTGCCGCTGTCAGGGCGAAATTTTCCCTCATAGCACACTATGGCGTATGCCCGTCTTCATTAGCCCAGTTCGGAGCAAAACAGTAGGACGTTAAACCCCATTTCATTTCATTTATTTTCTTTCAGTTCTGGGAAGTAATCTCTGATGAACATGGTATCGACCCAACTGGGACTTACCACGGCGATTCTGATCTTCAGTTGGAGAGAATCAACGTTTATTATAATGAAGCTACAGGAGGAAAATATGTACCTAGAGCTGTTCTCGTCGATTTGGAACCTGGTACCATGGATTCTGTACGATCAGGACCTTTTGGTCAGATCTTCCGTCCAGATAATTTTGTCTTTGGTCAGAGTGGTGCTGGCAATAACTGGGCTAAAGGTCATTATACAGAAGGTGCCGAGTTGGTCGATTCTGTTCTAGATGTGGTCCGTAAAGAGGCTGAAAGCTGTGATTGTCTACAAGGATTCCAGCTAACCCATTCTCTTGGTGGTGGAACTGGTTCTGGTATGGGAACTCTCCTCATCAGTAAAATCCGGGAAGAATATCCAGATAGAATCATGAATACCTTCTCTGTCTGTCCGTCACCTAAGGTAAGAAAGTTTATATACGTTGAAAGTACACGCATCAGTAATCTTAAAATACCATTTCAGTTTAAACATTCATTATGCAAGAGCTAAACCTTTGCACGTCTTTCTTTGCACGTTTTTATCGTACCGACTTTTGTAATGAGGATCGAGGCTATCCTAAAATTCAAACACTAATATCTCGGTTCAGAGTGGATCAATTTGACTGGAATTTTGCGCACATTCCTTTCACATTATCTAGTTTTTACCTATTTTAGTGAGAACTGCCAACTCTTTATCTAATCTTCCATAATGCCCCTTTAATTAAAAGCAGTTCAAAGGGTAGTGAACATGTCTTATCAAATCCAGATCTTTGTTTTAATATTTATTTGTATTTACATTTATAATTTCAGGTATCAGATACAGTTGTTGAACCGTACAACGCTACCCTTTCCGTTCATCAACTGGTAGAAAATACAGACGAGACCTATTGTATTGATAACGAAGCTCTCTATGATATCTGTTTCCGTACCCTCAAACTAACCACACCCACATACGGTGACCTCAACCATCTAGTTTCGGCCACCATGTCTGGTGTGACTACCTGTTTAAGATTCCCAGGTCAGCTGAATGCTGATCTACGTAAACTCGCAGTCAACATGGTTCCCTTCCCACGTCTACATTTCTTTATGCCCGGTTTTGCTCCTCTCACATCTCGTGGTTCCCAACAGTACCGAGCTCTCACTGTACCCGAACTCACCCAGCAGATGTTTGATGCTAAGAACATGATGGCTGCCTGTGATCCTCGTCATGGACGTTACCTCACAGTAGCTACCATGTTCAGGGGTCGTATGTCCATGAAGGAGGTGGATGAACAGATGTTGAACGTCCAGAACAAGAACAGTAGCTACTTTGTTGAATGGATACCCAACAATGTTAAAACAGCCGTCTGTGATATTCCACCAAGAGGCTTGAAGATGTCCGGAACATTTATTGGTAACAGTACTGCCATCCAGGAGCTTTTTAAAAGGATATCTGAACAATTTACGGCTATGTTCAGGAGAAAGGCTTTCCTCCATTGGTATACCGGTGAAGGCATGGATGAGATGGAATTTACAGAAGCTGAATCTAACATGAATGATCTGGTATCTGAATATCAACAATACCAGGATGCTACAGCTGAAGAGGAGGGAGAATTTGATGAAGAAGAAGGCGAAGAAGAAACGTAAATAAATATACGCAAATCAAATAGTTCAACTATATATTTAAATTAATTTATTGATGGCTATGTTCATTGCCATCATGTAAATTACAATAAATCACAATCTGATTAAAATACAGATCTTTATTTCGTTTTGTTCTTTTATACTTTCGATGGCCTCTACTACATGAAGATCTGACCAGACGTAGTGGAAGGTCGCGTCAGCGGTCATACGAGCGGCTTTTGACCTATGACGTTAGACATATAATCAATCAGCGTTGACAATTCTAGTGGTTTACCCACAGTTCCGCTGCACAGCACGCCAAGAACTCGCCGTAACAGACTGTTTCATTGGCTAATTCCTCACATCAACCAGAAAGCCAGTTATATAACAACTCTTCCAGATCCTAGTGTTGTAAAGACAAGTAAAATGAAATTTTGAACTATAAAAAACGAAACGAAATAGGATCTGTGTTTTAATCAGATTGAATAAATAACATACAATATATCTAGCACGGAGTTTGCTATTAACATGTAGCATTTTCATTGACACGTTCGGGAGTATTAATAACCAAGTTGATTGATTTATAGTAATGCCGCCACGCACTCGTGATTGACACTCAACATAAAATGGTTAGATTTTTTTTCGCCACTTCTGAAAAAGAATCGCCAGTACCCCAAAACTTTATCGCCAAAATCAAAATTTAGTCGCCACTTTCATTTTTTTTATCGCAAATTGCGACTTTGGGGAACCACAGCGTGAACCCTGGTGACGCATACTGTTTGTTTGCAGCAAGGGAAATGAAATAAAATGAAATCGGGTTTAACGTCCTACTGTTATGCTCCAACTGGGATAATGAAGACGGGTGTACGCCATACAGTGTGCTAAGTGGGGGAATTTTACTGCCAAGGGATCTTTTACGTGCATGCCACTGTGTACACGCACCTCAGTTTTTCGTCGTCCCATCCGAACGACTGGACAGCTGTAATTGTCAGCCCCCTTCCTCTTCCCGCACCACTGACAAGGGAAGGGGAAACCTCGCGGGAAAATCGCGATGAATTTTCTTGGCTAAGACCGGGAGCGAACTCGTGACCTCAAGGTGAGCTAGACGTGTCTTACTTAGGCACCGTGGCTCCAATACGGAAGCTTTCATTATGATGATTTATTTGGGAACTTTCATTAGAATTGAAATGAGATTGAACGTCATAAGGCCTGTCATTGAGTCACGTGGTCTGGTTTGAATTCCCCGCATCTTCATTAATTGCCCTGTCCAAATTTATAAATCTCGGGTTTATCACTATGCTTATCGGACTCTGTCCTGTATCCGTTACTGCCTGATCCTATACACAACTAATATGAAAATAAAGCTTTTTACCCGACCTCGGTTCTAAGGCTATTTTGGAACCCTTACTGTTTATTTTTCATCGTGATTCTTCTTTGTTTGCCAAAAGGAATCATTT